AAGCGCAGGGACGGGATGGCAGCCGATCTCCTAATCCAACAGAAGGGAGAAACTCGGCGCCCAGGGGACAAGGTCAAGGACAGCCGCTGGGCTCTAATTCGGGCCCTACTCATCTGATTGGAAGGGTGGCGGTTGGGCTTAAGAGGACAGCCCAAGAACTCAATGCTGGGCCGAGTAGGAAGGTTTGCTCCAGCAACCATGGGCCACTAAGGCTGGCCGAAATTGAATCCCCAATGGAGCCCAACACTTCCAACTTTTATGTGCAAGCAATTGGTGAGCCAACTTTGGAAAATCCAATTCCAATACAAATTCAGGATCCATCCAATTCCTACGGGTTAGGTAATTTATATTGTGATGAAAACCCAGAATTTCTATTTGAAGGTTTGGATGAAGCTAACACGTTTGGTGGTCAAGGTGATTTGGGCCTACTTAATCTTGAGGCCCACTTATTATCTTCAGACTCTGCAGTGTCATGCTCTCCGCTGGGTCCGGTGGAAAATGGAAAATCTAAAGGCAAAGCCATCTTGATAGAATCCTCGGAATCCCCGATTGTCTACACTCGAAGGAATGTGGGTATTTGTATTCAGGAGCCAGAAGAGGGCGTGGTGGATTCAATCCCCAAAACCATTCAAGAAGATAGGGTGGAGGAAGCCAACCCCAAGTGGCCCCAGTCCGATAAATGAATGTTTTCGCGTGGAATTGTCAAGGTGTGAGGAGTCCCTTGACATTCCAAACGCTTAAAACTCAGAGATGTTTATCTAAATCGTTTCTTTTTCTAAGTGAGACAATGTCTTCTAGAAGCACGGTGTCTTCTTTTATTTCTTCTTTAAGGTTTTCTGATTGTCATATTGTCGACCCTTCCGGTATGTCGGGAGGATTAGTTTTTGCTTGGCCACGGTTGGCTTCAGTGTCTGTTATTGGGTCCACATCCTTTTTTGTTGCAATTTCCATTATCAATAATAACTCCTCTCTCTACGGTGCGTGCCCTCGGTTTGTCTTGATTGGGGTTTATCTTTCTTACATCATCACGAAAAGGCAAGAACAATTAGAGGAACTAAAACGATTCTCCACTGGTCTCTCTGACCCTTTCCTAATTATTGGAGATGTCAATTGTTCCTTATTTCCCTCCGAAAAACTAGGGGGTGCAACGTGGCGGACGGATAAAGCTCGACCATTATGGGATTTCCTTCACCAAACTGGCCTCTTTGAACCTCCTTTCCAAGGACCCAAATTTACTTGGACGAACCGAGGCAGAAATGGGGTCACAATCGAACAAAGAATTGATAGAGTCTTTGTATCCCCCTTGTGGATGAATTATTGGCCAAACTCTACATTGTTTCATCTCTCTGACAAAGGATCAGATCATAGGCTCCTTCGCATGACCACTAGTGTTATAACCCCTCTTTTTAAAAGACTTTTCCGATTTGATATTCGTTGGACTGCAATGCCAGAGGCAGAACTAATCATAACTTACGTTTGGAACTCGCAAGTGGCAGGGTCAAACCAGTATTGTTTATTCTCTAAACTGCTACGGGTGAGACACACGCTAGTCGATTGGTGTAAAGGAGGGCAATCCAATTCAGCCAGATTGATCAAGGACTTTGGTACCGCTTTGGAAAAAGCTAGGAATGCCCAAATAGTGGATTGGAACCTAGTACGATTCTTGGAAGAGAATTTGTCTATTCAATATAAAAGAGAAGAGATTTATTGGAAACAGAAGTCTCGTACTAATTGGTTAAAAGTGGGCGACAAAAATACCCCATATTTCCATTTAGTTGCCTCGTCAAGGCGCTTAAATAATGTGATTTGGGGTCTTGAGGATGAAAGAGGACAGTGGTGTACTTCTGAATCAGAGAAATGTGGCATAGCTGATAGATACTATCGAGGACTATTTCAAAGTCAAAATCCGACCGATGTAAATCTCTCCAGTCTAGTTTTCACCAATTATCTGACTGAAGAACAGAATCTCGGGCTGATAGCTCCTATATCCGTTGAGGAAATAAAAGATGTGGTATTCAGTATGGGGAAAACCCAAGCCCCAGGACCAGATGGATTCACAGCCGGTTTTTTTCAACATTATTGGCCCCTGGTTGGTAAAGACGTTACTCAGGCAGTCTTATCGTTCTTTCGTACAGGGAAGTTACTGAGAAGCTTTAATCGGACTTGGATATCTCTGGTACCAAAAGGATCGGAAGTTCGCACAATGAAAAATCTCAGACCAATTAGCCTTTGCCAGGTGGTCTACAAGGTCATTTCTAAGGTGCTAGCCAATAGACTTAGCAAAGTATTACCCTCGATCATCTCTCAATCCCAAAATGGTTTCATTAAAGACCGCCAGATTGTGGATAATATTATGATAAGTCATGAGATTTCCCATCATATTAAAACATTGTACTCAGGATCGAAGTGCTGGATGGCGCTTAAACTGGATATGGAAAAAGCGTATGATCGTATTGAGTGGCCATTTCTGTTTGAAATGATGAAGGAGTTGGGATTCAATAGCCAGTTTGTTTCATGGGTCCAGGAGTGTGTCACCACTGTCTCCTATTCCATCCTAGTTAATGGCACCCCGTCAGCTTATTTCAGACCCTCGAGGGGACTACGCCAAGGGGATCCTCTGTCTTCTCTTTTATTCGCCATATGTACGGAAGGCTTCTCTGCAATGATAAATCAAGCAGTAACCTTGGGATTTTTGGAAGGAATAAGAATACGCCAGACCTGCCCAATGGTCTCCCACCTCTTTTTCGCTGATGATTCTTACCTCTTCGTTAAAGCAACTAGTGAGTCATGTTCCAACTTATTATCACTGTTCCAAGGATACGAAAGACTAAGTGGGCAAAAAGTTAATCTTTCCAAATCCGCAGTCTTATTCAGTAAGAATACTAAGAGTGAAGATGCAAGTTTCATGGGGTCAAGGTTGGGAGTAGGGGCAATAGGGGCGCAAGATTCTTACTTAGGTCTACCCTCCCTTATTCCAAGAACTAAGAAAGATACCTTTCTTTTCATTGAAGAAAGGGTTGGGAAAAAGTTGCAAGCCTGGAAGCAACGTACCTTATCCAAAGCAGGCAAGGATATTTTAATCCGAACCTCTGCCACTAACATTCCAGTGCATGGCATGATGTGCTTTAAGTTCCCTGTAGAAGCATGTAAGCGGTTAAATGGATTATTGGCAAGGTTCTGGTGGGGCTCTACTGCTAACTTGGATCATCCAATTCATTGGATATCTTGGAAAGGTTTAGCTCAAAGCAAATTCCAAGGAGGATTAGGATTCAGAGACTTTAGAGCTTTCAATCAAGCGCTTCTCGCAAAACTTTGTTGGCGTATTTGGACTAATCCCAACTCGCTCATTAGCCGGATGTACAAGGGAAGATATTTCAACGGAAGTACGATTATGGAAGCCACCATTGGCTCTAATCCTTCATGGGGTTGGAGAAGTATCTTATTTGGGAGAGAACTGCTTGTGCAAGGCATGCGATGGCAGATAGGTGATGGTGCTAAAGTGGAAGCCTTCAAAGATAATTGGCTACTAGCGGAGAGGCCATCCCCTCCTATCCTCAGGAGACATGAAGTTAATTTTAACCCAAGGGTGTCCTTTTTCATCACAGAAGATCGACGAGGTTGGCATATTCCTAGGTTAAGACATTGGTTTGAAGAAAAATCAGTCGGGATCATTCGCAACATGGTAGTTCCCATACTTCAACAAGAGGATAAGTTAGTGTGGCACTACACTAAAAATGGGACCTACTCAGTCAAAACAGGGTATCATCTTGCCTTGGACAATTTATTAATTCTCACCCAAAAAGCGACGGTTTCCATCTTTGACCCTCCATTTTGGAAAAAAACGTGGTCTCTTGACGTTCCACCTAAGCTTAAAATCTTTATTTGGCAATGCCTGAGAGTTATCTTGCCAACTATGACGGCTCTTAAATCTCGAGGAGTAAGATGTCGAGCTAGGTGCCCAGTGTGTTGGGTTGGCAAGGAAAGTATTGAGCACCTCTTTCTCCATTGTCCCCTTGCTCTCGAGCTCTGGCATATGGTGGGTCTAAGCTGTTTAATTATTTCCGCCCCAACTGAGAACTTCGGTATTTGATGGCGACATGTTATGAACTCGGCGAACTTCCAAATCCACTATCTCCCCTGCATTTGCCTTCTGTGGAGAATTTGGAAATCTAGAAATAAAGTGGTCTTTGAATTCACCCAACCACTTGCCTCTTCGCTTGCCCGTCAATTCTTCTTCCAAGTCCAAGAATTCTCCTCAATCTCCTCCCAGCCCCTAGCCTCTCTGCCCCGCCCTCAACCGTCGCCTCGCCTTGTCAGTTGGATTGGCCCCCCAGATGGTTTTATCAAGGTTAATTTCGATGCCGCTGTTCGTGCCCCGGATTGCTCGTCAGGACTCGTTGCTCGAGGATCAGATGGGCAAGTCTTTTTGGCCTTGGGGTTCCATCACCCTGGAGTTTCCAACCCTTATCTGGCTGAACTTTTGGCTGCAAGGGACGCCATCTCTCTTGCCATCTCTCATAGACTCCCCCGCGTCATCATTGAAGGAGATTGCGAAGTAGTCATTCGACAACTTGATGGGAGATGCTGTGAAGATTCTGTGGGTGGGCCCTTGCTTCGTGATTGTGTTCAGTTAGTGAGGTCCTGTTCCTCGTGTTTTGTTTTTAGTGCGGTTCCGAGGACTGCCAACTGGGCTGCCCATAGAGTGGCAAAGCAAGCCCTGTTGCTGTCCCCTGTAGAGATAGCGTCCTTTGATTTTGTAGGGTGGTTGCTTTTATAGTTTGTTTTGGGGTTCGGGTAGAGGTTGAACTATTGTTTCTCGCTCTTACTTGGAAAAAAAAAAAAAAAACCGCCGTAGTTAAATTCTCGAACCCGACCTCTCTCCCTATAAATTCCCACCAGCCCAACTGCCTTCTTCACCTTTCCCAAAACTCGAATCAATTCCCCCACCAAAAAAAATCCCCAAATTCGTCGAAACCCAGAATCCCTAGATCGCGAAAACCATGAAGAAGCCTCAGATCCTCGCGATCCTCCTCCTCCTCGCGCTCGCCGTCGCCGACGCCGCGCTGCTCGGCGGGTGGCGCCCGATCGACGCCGAGGACCTCAAGGATCCGGACGTGATTGACGCCGCGAAGTTCGCCGTCAAGCAGCACAACCAGAAGGAAGGTGAGAAGCTGAAGCTGGTGAGGGTGGAATCCGGCTCGTACCAGGTCGTCCGCGGGAAGAACTACAAGCTGGAGCTGACGGTCTCCGGCGCCGCCGACACCAACGGGCTGTCCAAGTACGAGGCGATCGTCTGGGTGCAGCCCGGCGCCGGGAGCCCCAAGAAGCTGACCTCGTTCAAAAAGGTGCCGTGAGTGAGCATTGCTCTATCGATTTCTCTGGCTTTTTGTGTTCGGATGATGCGATTGTATATTTAAATGTAACGGGGAAGGAATCGTTGATGCGGTGATTATGTGAGATGTATCTGTGTGCGTGTAATCGGAAATAAGGAGAAAAAAAAAGGCTCTGTTGCTGTTAGTACGATTTGAGATCTGTTTCTTGGTGGTGGTTTTCTGATCGGACTGTTTGTTTTCCGGGAAAACTGGTTTTTGGAACTTTCTCGAGAAACCGGGCATGTGGCTTGGAGGGTTAATTTTTTACGCAAAGGATAAGCGGAATTCAAGGTGCTTAACGTGATGGTGTAGGAAAATGAAAGAGCAAATTAGGAAAGGAAACTAACTACACCAGACGACGAAAGATAGCTTTGTTTTGACTCCCATTTTAGTAACGTTTTATTATTTCGTTAATCGTTGGTTTAAAGTTCTTAATAGGAATGGCAATGGGCAGGTCCGGGGCGGGTTTCTTGGTACCCAGATCCGCCCCGTAGCAGGTCGGGTCCAGGTCGGGTAATTTATCACGGGTCACGGGTCGGGGCAGGTCGACCTAATGGGTAAGCAATTTATATGAAAAATATTAGAAATGTTCGTTAGTTTTATGTTATTTTTATTATAAGACCATGGAAACAAACAATATTATGATAAATATAGTTAAATTATTGGAGAAATTGAGGTTTTCACTAATTTACATCTTTATTGCAGCTAAAATTTGATTTAGTAAAAGGAAAATCCTAAGTAATTTGACTAAAATTAAGTATAATTTAGGCAAGAACGGGTCGAGAATGGGGCGGGTCAGGGCAGGTCGGGTCTATGAGAGTACCCATGCCCACCCTGCTCCAAAACAGGTCAAACAGGTCGGGTAAAACGGGTCAGGTCTAAATTGCCATCCCTAGTTCTTAACAACCGATTTTAGATTCGGCCCAACCAACGCATGTCAGTTCGCTCCATTAACCGGGCCTTCAAATGGATGGCTTGGGCCTTTTACCTTTGTCCACATAAGCATTTCTCCTATTTCTATACCCTTCTTTGCAAATGTAAAGACATTGCAAGTATCATTGGTGTAAATGCAAAAGTTATCATAGACAAGTGTAATGCCTGGTGAAACTCTAGAATGTTAAGATTGGATTCATATTGCGCGAATTTTGTTCAATCCTATATATAAGATAGATGGTTTCAAGATTCAGTTTGTTGGTAGCGATAAAAAACAGAGAGGCTCATTTAGTGGTCTGACATGTTTTGTTGTTGTCACACCGCTCGTTAAAACGGTCCGACTTCCTTTTATAGGTCGTAGTAGATAGGTTGCTATTTATATCTCTGTAACTTTGCTCAATCGTCTTATTTAGAGTGTTTGATTGACAAAAAATAAAGACATTGTAGATAGCTTAGATCGATAGATAGCTCCCAGTCCTAACTCCTAACTAGTCTAGCCTCATTCATCCTCAACATTATATGATTCGATCAAGTACGTCTCGCGACTCTCATTATCATTTCACTCACTGGTCTCTACACATGGATTTTGTGAAAGCAATTCATGCTGCTTTTAGTTATCGAATTACCCTTATGTTTATGGTACTCAAAACCGATAATTTAGCTTTCATTTTGTCAACCACCTTCCACGAGCAGAACCAACTCCCACTGTTGTGGAACGAGAAGATCCCCTTTTAGATCCAATGACTTGATGACTGGTCATTTAGACTTGTCTATCTTCTGTGTTGGGGCTGACTCTTATGAACGAGCTGATATACATTATCTCTCGTGTAGTTTTCAAATAGATTCTTTCTCGATCAATTTTACATTCTATAACCCTCTACATTAATTATGATTGGATTTGTTTCCCTCTCCATGATGAAATTTATTTTAATTGATCAGTCATCATTAGTATGATATTATATTCGAGTTTTACAATCAAGTGTTCAAGGCCAATGAGACCTACAATTACAATCCCTCACGTTCGAGACCCCCACCCATCTACCACATGTGTGAATCACACCCTTCTCTTAAAATACACGACCAAATTGCAAATTGAGTCCAACCCTCCACGGCGCCACCAAAAAGAAAAAGAAAAAACGATAAAAGGGAAGGGGATAAGCTACTCAAACGATACCACGAAAACCCCTCTCCTCTCGTCTCCTCCAACCCCCATTCCCTGTCAAAGCTCTCTACAGAAACGGGGGCTGCTGTTGGAGTTGGGAGGAGTCGTTAGGATTCATTTCATCATCTGCCCAACCTTCCTTTTCCCTTGTTGTGTTCATCGCCTTGTTCACTGCTCGATTGTAAAGCTTCAACCTTTGACCTCAAAGCGATGGCTTCTTCCACTGCCCAGATTCACGCTCTCGGAGCTATGGGGTTCGCCTCATCTGGGTCATCGAAGAAACCCAGTTTCTCCTTCGCCCCGAAGACCGTCTTCCTCGGTCAAACCCTGGGGGGTTCGAGGACGGCGGCGTTCCTGAGGTACAACGGCAGCGGGAGCACCAGGCGGAGGAGCTACGGGCCGTTGAGGGTTGTGAGCGAGAAAGTTGTGGGAATCGATTTGGGTACCACGAATTCCGCTGTGGCGGCCATGGAAGGAGGGAAGCCGACGATTGTGACCAACGCGGAAGGGCAGAGGACCACGCCGTCCGTGGTGGCGTATACCAAGAACGGGGATAGGTTGGTGGGTCAAATTGCCAAGCGCCAGGCCGTGGTGAACCCTGAGAACACTTTCTTCTCCGTGAAGAGGTTTATCGGGAGGAAGATGTTGGAAGTGGATGAGGAATCGAAGCAGGTTTCTTACAGGGTTGTGAGGGATGATAATGGGAATGTCAAGCTGGATTGCCCTATTTTGGGAAAGCAGTTTGCTGCTGAGGAGATTTCAGCTCAGGTATATATCTGAATGCTTTCCTAGTAGCTTGATTGAGATTGGATTGTGAATTGGTGTAGTTCTTTGTGTTGAATGTTTGACATAGAAGTCATGAACTTTTACTTGGTTTGACCTCGAATTGAATAAGATTGCAAGAAGTTAGTGGCATCCTTATTGGTTTGTGTTCTTAAATGTCTGTTTGATTGGATTCAGGTGTTGAGAAAGCTGGTTGATGATGCCTCCAAATTTCTGAATGACAAAGTGACTAAAGCTGTTGTCACTGTGCCGGCTTACTTCAACGACTCTCAAAGGACAGCAACAAAGGATGCTGGCCGTATTGCTGGGCTAGAAGTCCTTAGGATCATTAACGAGCCTACAGCTGCTTCGTTAGCTTATGGGTTCGAGAGGAAGAATAATGAGACCATCTTGGTGTTTGATCTCGGTGGTGGTACCTTTGATGTTTCAGGTATCTAAATGCACTTCATCTTTTGAAATTCTGTGGTCATTTTCGAAGATTATTTATGTCCTAGTGCTTGGTGGAAATGTTGGGATGGATGGTCATTTTGTGTGTTTTGTGTGCTGCAGTTCTTGAGGTTGGTGATGGAGTCTTTGAAGTGCTCTCTACCTCAGGAGATACTCATTTGGGTGGTGACGATTTCGACAAGGTTTTGATCGTTTCACATTGTTTGATGTTTTTTTTCCTTCTGTTTTCTTTGGGAAATGAGTCCTTTAAATGCAATTTTACTCTTTTGTACAGAGAATTGTTGATTGGCTTGCTGCCGACTTTGAAAGGAATGAAGGTATTAAGCTGTTGAAGGACAAGCAAGCTCTCCAAAGGCTGACTGAGACAGCTGAGAAAGCTAAAATGGAGCTATCATCTCTGACTCAAGCTAACATTAGGTAGATGAGTTTTGAAATGTTGATCTCTCCTGCTTAACTTGTAAGTTCTTTTTGTAGCTTAGACTGATGAGACTTGCTTGGTTTCAGTTTGCCATTCATTACCGCTACCGCTGAGGGCCCGAAGCACATCGAGACCACTCTTACACGGGTGAAGTTTGAGGAGCTGTGCTCTGATCTCCTAGATAGGTACATCTACTGACACAGCTTCACCACATTCATTGTGTTTAATATCTTTATTTTCCTGTCCAATACATGATATAGATTTGCACACAGCTACTTCATATATACTTTGCCAATGTCGGTTTATATTGATCTATCCTTCTTATCCTTAGGCTTAAAACTCCAGTTGAGAATTCTTTGAGGGACGCCAAACTCACCTTCAAAGACTTAGATGAAGTCATTCTAGTTGGTGGGTCGACACGTATTCCCGCAGTACAAGAGCTTGTGAAGAAGCTAACGGGGAAGGATCCTAATGTCACTGTAAACCCTGATGAAGTCGTTGCTCTTGGTGCTGCAGTTCAGGTGATTAAACTTCTGTTGATCTTGTTTCTGATTTTCGAAATTATGCTGAACCTAACTTCATTATTATGTGATCATCACAGGCTGGAGTTCTGTCCGGCGATGTTAGTGACATCGTGTTGTTGGATGTCACACCATTATCTATCGGGCTGGAGACCCTCGGAGGAGTGATGACAAAGATCATCCCAAGGAACACAACGCTGCCAACATCCAAATCAGAGGTGTTCTCAACCGCAGCAGATGGGCAGACCAGCGTTGAGATCAACGTCCTTCAAGGCGAGCGAGAGTTTGTGAGGGACAACAAGTCTTTGGGAAGCTTCCGTTTGGACGGTATCCCACCAGCACCACGTGGTGTTCCTCAGATCGAGGTCAAGTTCGACATTGATGCCAATGGGATCCTCTCAGTCACTGCTGTTGATAAGGGCACCGGGAAGAAGCAGGATATTACAATCACTGGTGCCAGCACTCTGCCTAGTGATGAGGTAATATTACCACCACAAACTACTATTCTCTTGGTTAACATTATAAAGTCCACATCATTCCCAATCGATGTATTTTAGGTTAGAAGACTAAGAGTGCAGTGTGAAATTGGAGTCCTGAACTCGCATTCAAGATTTTGATGTCCTATACAAATAAAAATGTATTCATGTGCGCGCAGGTCCAGAGAATGGTACAAGAAGCCGAGAGGTTTTCCAAGGAGGACAAGGAGAAGAGAGATGCGATCGACACCAAAAACCAGGCAGATTCAGTGGTGTACCAGACCGAGAAGCAGCTGAAGGAGCTTGGAGACAAGGTCCCAGCTCCAGTCAAAGAGAAGGTCGAGGCCACGCTCCAAGAACTCAGGGACGCGATTGCTGGAGGATCCACTCAGACGATAAAAGACGCGATGACCACACTCAACCAAGAAGTGATGCAACTCGGGCAGTCTCTCTACAGCCAGCAGGGCTCTCCATCTGCCGGCGGTGAAGGTCCAGCTCCTGGAGGTGAGTCTGGTCCATCCGATTCGTCCTCGACAAAGGGTCCCGATGGCGATGTCATCGATGCCGATTTCACCGACAGCAAATGAGATTGACTCTTGCCTTAGTTTAAGAGGGTTTTTCTTTTGGTTAAACTCTGGGGGGAAAGCTAGGGTGGAAACTGGATCGTAGAAGAGAACTCGGTCAACACCCTTTTTTTTTCTTTTTTCTTTGCCTGCTTTGTTTGATCATGTTATCTGCAACTCAATTTTGGTGCATACAAAGACTCGGGGAAGTTGTTTTGATGGATGGAACAATACAGGAGGGATAGTTCGAAGATGAACAACGATAGGTTGGTAGTAGACTTGGTTTTCATGATGGTATCTCATCTCTGGTTCATTTTGCATTGAGCAACTGTTGAAATTCAAGTTTAGAAGCAGCCAGAGGTGATGTTCTTGGTGATCAAATTCAAGGTCGACAACTGAAAAACCTTTCTTAGATAATCAATTCCTAAAGAACACCACAAACTCTAGCTAGCCCGATTGGGATGAAAAACAACTCATGCCACACATGGTTAAGTTGCTGGCGTTTCTTTCCAACATCTGGGAAATGAACCACAAATAATTGGCAAAGTGCATGTTAGATATTTGTGCAAGGATTGGGTGGTGGTGCATATGGATTCCATGATGCATGTGAATGTCAAATTATTTATACACTTATGACAAATTAGGCCAACAAATTTTGTGCATTAGGAAAAAAGTACGAGAGCAAGAAAAAAGTGGTGGTTTGGGAAAAAAAGTTTTTAAAATAAGTGGTGGCATGTGAAGGCATATCCAAGAAATCTTTTCCTTGCTTGATTTTGCTTTTCCCTCCCTTAATTTTGTATGACATGAAAGGTCGAATTGCAAAAAGATCATCATACTAATTTATTTTTAAATCAAAATATTAAAAAATATTATTACATAATCGATTAAGCAGTATTATTCAAGGGTGTAACTTTGACTAATTAGGTCCAGAACGAAGAGTTAATAAGTAAGATGTCTAGAACATACTCCGTTCAAAAAAACCAATATTGTACCGCTCATTATAAAGTTTTGCGATCGTTTACTAGTGGCTTTCTTTTCGATTCAATTCAATCTAACGAAGAGTCTTAATTAATTAATTAATTAATTGTAACTTCAGTTTTATTTGCTATCGATGTCCACAAATTAACCGAATCATAAAACTCAATAGATTATAATTTTCCCCCTTTCTTTTTGTTATTGTTAGTTATTTAGGTTAAATTTTGACAATAAAAAAAAAGATACTCTCATCGAAACGGAGCCCAAAATAAAAGTGGAATCATCGGATCCCCCGATATACCCGATCATATAAAAGAAACCGACTAACCACCACAAAACGAGATTTCCCTTCTCTTAGGAGCCTCGCCGGAGCTAGAAGAAAGAGTTCCCCGATTCAGCTGCCAGGCAAGGCAATTGGGCACCGTCGCTGGGCGCACTTTGAGCGAGCAACGAAGGAGAAGAATCAGTTGTTGTTTTGGGCGGTGGGGGGGAATTAAAGGCGCGGAAGTATAGGACTGTGCGCGTCAAAGCGTGCTGCTCCGGCGGCGGAGAGAGTCTCTTCGGGTGATGTGGTGAAGAGACTCTCCCAGCAGCCGGCAGCAGCACAATCGCGGCCAGCAGCTGTGGTTGCTACTGCTGCTGCTGCTAATCCAGCTTCGATTTCGGCGTCGACGACGTTTGGAGCATCTCCGGGGGGTCTATCTCCGTCGAGATCGCAGAAGATGAAGGGGCTGTTCAAGCACAAGCCTCGCACTCCTGCTGATATCGTACGCCAGACCCGCGATCTCCTCGCCTATGTCGACCGCTCTTCCTCCTACTCCACCGATTTGCGCGGCGACGTCCGGCGCGAAGAGAAGGTAAACAAAAGAGGGGGGCAATTGAAAGTGTTTTGCTTTCTAGGTTGATTGGCATTCCGTCGGCTGCTTAGCAATCTGGTCAATTACGCTGCTTGCCGATTTTATTTATTTATTTATGGGAATTTGCTACAATTCTAGATCGATCGATGAATTTTGAGTTCTTAAGGGAGGAACTAGTTGACTAGGGTTTTGAAATTCAGGAAGTTTCTGTGCAAATGGAGAGCTGTTGCCTGAAGTGGTGGGCTAATTGACCTTGATCATAGGGCCATTTGGATGCGAGTCATGCTTACTGCTTAGCTTTAAGGTTTTAGGCTCACAAATGTGGTGTCTTGAAGGATGGCGGTGGAGGACGAATTGACCTTTGATGGACTCCACTCATCTCTAGTGAACTGGTGTGAAATTTGATTTTCTTGTTCTTCATGGTATCAATATATCTATGCTTGGAGTGTAAAAGTGACCTTCTGGGAGTGTTTAATGGCTACCTCTTCGTGTTAATCCAAGTGCCTTGCCTGTGTTCCAAAATTGTTGAGTGTCATTCTGGTTTTCTTCCCAGTTTGTGGGAATTTGCACCATATTCTTGGGATGAAATGTTTCAAACTGAATTATTGTGTTTCATATTCATAGCAACAGAAATTTCTTAGATGGCTTTTCATTTTTCGTCATTACAGGGACGAATAGTTGATGTAGGATAGAAACTCTGTGAGTTGGTGTCAAGGTGATAACTTTCTGATTGAGCGGGGAGGCATATAGTTCTTGAGAGCTAGACAAGCTGAGATAAGAAGTAGTTTGATCTTTTAATGAACTCTTATGCAAAATGGACATATGGTAAATTTGGCTTCTGTGTTGAACCTGCATTTGTAGCGTGCAAGTAGTCAGCAAGCATGATTTGATTACTAAACTTTGTGTTCTATTGTTGTTTGGAATGGAATGTGTAGACTTATCTCCAGTTTTTTGGAATTCGTTTTTGGATTTTTGGCACTCTCTTTGTTTATTTCAGTCTCACATGTCATTCCATGTGTTTTAATACTCTGGCAGATGGTGGAGTTAGCTAAAAATATGAGGGAGTTGAAGACGATTCTTTATGGCAACAGCGAGGCGGAACCAGTAGCAGAAGCTTGTGCACAGTTGACGCAAGAGTTCTTCAAAGAGAATACACTCCGCCTTTTCATTATCTGTCTTCCAAAGCTAAATTTGGAGGTAAACTCGTTCGAAGATTCTTAGATTTATATGTGATAAATGGATCAGTTTATGTAAGAGATTTTCGTCCTTTGGGGTCCAACTGGAGATAAACTGAACAGGAGTATTGTAATCAAAGACTGGAATTATTTATGGAATTTCATGCTTAGCTTGTCAAACTTGTCATTTGCAGACCCGAAAAGATGCCACTCAAGTTGTTGCTAATTTACAGAGACAACAAGTTCAGTCTCGTCTAATTGCTTCTGATTATCTGGAAAATAATACAGATCTCCTGGATATTCTAATAGTTGGGTAAGTTGCCAGAACTTCAGGAAATGACAGATTGTACTCTGTTAACTCCTGGATGAAAATTTATAATACAGATTAGTTCTAACCTGAAAACATTGAATAAAATATCTCGAATAAACTGTTCACTCCTAATTATATAGATGCTGTTCTTGCAGTTATGATAATCCAGAAATGGCTTTACACTATGGTGCAATGTTGAGGGAGTGTATACGTCACCAGTGTGTTGCAAAGTAAGCTAAGAACACTTGGCTCGAACTATTTTATCACGCCCAATCTATATTATAGATTTTTCTTCCTTATTGTAAGTCTTGTACGGGAACAAGTGAACATATCTTGTTAGATGGAAGCATGTATGATATTATCAACAAACCAATCCATTTATCCTTCAGTATGGTTGCATATATGAACTTCCAGCTTCATTGATTCATCCACACTGTACAGTCCTGGCCTGACTTTCCAAGAAAAGAAAAGGAAAAAAGGCCTTCACTTCACATTTTTCTGTAAACTGATGGCTCCATGTTTACATCCTGTAATATTAGGAGCAGAAATTTTCAGCCTAGAACATCATTAGCTTTGTGTACTCTCAATAAAAAGGTGTTGATTTTTAATAGCATTCCTTGATGTGCATCGTGACTAGATTCTCTGTTCTATTTTACAGATATGTCTTGCAGTCTCCAGAAATGAAGAGATTCTTTGAGTATATACAGCTCCCTAATTTTGATATCGCTGCTGATGCTGCTGCAACTTTCAAGGTTGGTACATAATTGACCAAGGATTACCAAAATGATTATTTTTTCCCACCTTTTCTCCATGTATGTATTTTAATTTTTGTGCATCCACTTGAAACCTCTATTATGATGAAGTTTTGAAGTCCCTTCTTGAAGTGGAATGCAGTCTGTAGAATTGTTGCTTGGCAAGAGTTATTCTTGTTATTTTCTGAAACTAGGAGTTTCCTGTTGTCGTGTTGCTGCTGTGGCTGCATCTGGAAAATGTCAGATTGGCAGTGTTAGCCCACTATTTAGAATCTACCAATCATGATTCCTAGCATATAACTATTTTTTAGCTCATAAAGGAACGGGATCAGATTATCCATAGAGAACGTTTTGGTTGAGCTGTATCTAATCGCGCGATGCTCGTTGCAGGAACTCCTAACAAGACATAAATCTACTGTGGCTGAATTCTTATCAAACAACTATGACTGGGTAAGTTCAGCTTTTTAACATGATTCTTCCATCTTATTTAGCTTTCTACTTCTGTTATATATAACAGCATCGATCCAACATTGTTATTGGCAAAATCTAACTGTAAGTCTTATAGGGTGACCATTCTGTTTTTTCGGTTTTGTTTGATTGTATAATAACTTCTGATTGAACTAGCATTAAACTTATTTCTTAACCACCGTACATATTATAGTTTTTTGCAGAATACAACTCGAAGTTGCTCGAATCTGAGAACTACATGACAAGGAGACAGGCTGTCAAGGTGATGAAGATCTATAGTGTTACTTTGTTGAGCAATCTATTTACTTTGTTTTCCCTGCTTTAATTGAATTTGGAGCAATTCTTCTATTGTCTGGTAATGTATTTCCGTTTGCTAAGCATTTCTTCACCTTGCAGCTATTGGGAGACATATTACTGGACCGGTCAAACTCACGTGTGATGACAACCTACGTGAGCTCGAGGGACAACTTGCGGATACTCATGAACCTGCTTCGAGTACGTATCAAAATCAAAATTCATTTATCTTTCTTCCTGCTATTCCCGATTTCTCGATGGTCTGTTTCATTGCGACGCTCTACTTAGACGTGTCAAATCTTTCTCTGCAGGAATCAAGTAAAAGCATCCAGATAGAAGCATTTCATGTTTTCAAGGTGCAATATCCCTGAACAATCATAACATCAATCATGCACTCATGCTCTTGTCAAGAAACACCAAAAATTTCTGCTGATTGTTTGTTTTCTATGCAGCTCTTTGCGGCTAATCAAAACAAACCTGCAGATATTGTGAGCATACTTGTAGCGAACAGAAGCAAGCTTCTTCGTTTGTTTGCCGACTTCAAGCCAGACAAAGGTATGTACAAGAAGCTACGTTTAGTCTCAAGTGTAAGATCCAACGATTAACTCGAACAGTTCTCTCCCTACGTGCTCAGTAATCTCAATGTGTGTTTTCTGGTTTGTACTTTTTGCAGAGGATGAACAATTCGAAGCAGATAAAGCGCAGGTGGTGAGAGAGATAGCGGCACTCGAGCCTAAAGACCTTGCATGAGCGAGCAAGGGGTGCTGTGGTGTAATTCCCATTTGTTGTATCACAATACTACTTTTAATTGTAATTCATGTAGGTAACCCAATCCTTCTAAACACACACTTTGCCTTTTTTAAGTTAAAAAGATAGACGCCTCAATAAGGCATTCTTCTTTCTTTCCCCCATCCCTTTACACTCTGATTTTTCGTAAAATTTGTTGACTTGGTGCTCTACTGAAGAGAGGAATAAATGAGAGACAGTTGAAGAATTGATGCCATTGTTGCTAGTTTCTCTGGAGCCATGATTTCTTTATCGTTTGTACTTTCAAGCACTCCAACAAACATGGTGGATCAGTGTTGTGTTCTCCTACACCAACCGCATCGCTCCAAACCTGACGGTTCCTCAGTTCAATTCTTAGCATATTCCATGGCATCTTCCTAAAGAGAGTTCGTATGTTTCACGTGAGTAGGGAATGTAACTCATAGAGGTACGTTTGGCTCCACTTAAACAAAGAGAGTGCAAAAGAAGAATATTAGGCTAGAGGTAAGCTAAGAAGTACGAAGCATATGCCAATTACCAAACACTTCTCGTCTTCTCCATACTTAGCGCTAGGAAAATAAATGGTCCAGTTTGTTCCTCACTCTCACACTCCCATTCGCCTGCTTGCTCCTATTTCTCCTCTGGCCCGCATCAATCCAAATTCACTCGCTCGCCGCAAAGCCTGTATCTTTCGATCAGTCCGACTCTTTCCCTGCGCGCGAAACATGGCGTCAAATGGTAAAAATAACTCATCTTTCGCTCTTTTCCCTTCACATTCTCGAACCTGGATGTACTTTTGTTGTCTTCTTCGTCTTCTTTTCCGACGTGGGCTCTCCCGATTTCCTTGTAACGTTGTTGGGCGCTTCTCAGATTCGCTCAAGGAGTTCCTGGAGACCGCAGTTGATGCAGCTAAGAAAGCCGGGGAGGTTTGTATTTGGTATTTTTACCTTTCCTTTTCTGCGGAAGCTTTTTGTTTCGCTATTCGTGAATGTCGTTTTTCTGTTGTTTCTGGAATCTGCCAGGTGATACGTAAAGGGTTCTACCAGACCAAACAAGTGGAGCATAAAGGCTCGGTAAAACGCCCTCTCTTTTTGAATTTCCTTCCTCATGTTTGTTCGTGAATGAAAGATCTCTGACAACTGTTTCAGTGAGAACTGAAGTGTTGAGATTGGTTTGATATAATGCTGATATGTAACTTAATGAGTAGCAGCCGATTTGGCAGTGCAGTAGAGTTATGAATTTCAGGGCTTATAGATAATGTCTAGGCAGGGTTGTTCACATCAGCAGGGTATTGTCAATTGTGTGAAACCTTAGGTGCTTGTTAGCTGGAGAAATGAACTCTAAACATTATCCGAGTAATCACGAGTATGCATAGCGCTATTTGGATTGACGTGTTTGTGTGATTATGGATGGGATTAAACTTGTGCATTTGTAGTTGTACATTTTGGCTGGCTTACTGGTGACCTTATGGCTCTCTAATTGCATTCGTGCAGGTTGACTTAGTCACAGAAACTGATAAGGCGTGTGAAGATCTTGTTTTCAATCTTCTCAAGGAGCGCTACCCCACTCATAAAGTTAGTTTCATGTTCGACTTAATGGATTAAATGGATATTCCTCCTTTGTACAACCCTTTCTTTACCTAAATTTCTGTTCTGCTCAAATAGGCATCTTTTTCACTTCAGAAGACTAGCTTTACCGTCTCAAGTGTTTATCTTGTAATGGTCTTTCTGTAGTTCATTGGTGAAGAAACAACTGCTGCCTATGGTGTTACAGAGCTGACTGACGAACCAACATGGATTGTGGATCCTCTTGATGGAACAACCAACTTCGTCCATGGGTAAAAGATTGTTCTGTGATGGTTATTTCGATTTTCTATGTGTGCGTCTCATTGAGTTGTTCACATTTGTTGTAGCTTTCCCTTTGTTTGCATTTCCATTGGCCTTACGATTGGGAAGGTCCCCAAAGTTGGTGTTGTCTACAACCCAATAATGGAGGAGGTGAGGCTTTATAGTACATTCCTATTGTCATTGTCGATCATGTGACTATGTAGTACATTTAACATAGCATCTCAGTTATACTTGACGACTTTCTTGGTTTCAAGTCTTTAATTTGTTCTTTCTTCATATAAGAGTTAAGATTGTGGGTTTTCTGTAATGCAGCTATTCACAGCCATCCATGGGCATGGTGCTTTTCTGAATGGGAATCCAATTAAAGGTTCGCTAAAGAACTGGTTCATAAGATGTTTCAACTTTTTTCACAGTTGATATGGACAATTTTTTTTACCCGAGACTGAAACAACTACTTGGGGGTATTTCCCTCTTCTTATCCCCCTTTCATTTGCAGTATCTTCCCAACCTGAGCTTGTGACGGCTCTTCTAGCGACAGAGGTATTGGCGCCATTTCCCCAACAAATATGATTGTCTTATTCGATCGTTGCATTTCATGTTTCCGGAAATTTAAGTTGCTTATATTAGGCTGTAGAAGTATCACTGTTTGAGTGATTCACATTGAATCTTGCTGAGTGTTTGATCATATTTTGAATCTGCTTTGAGCAGGTTGGAACAAAACGTGATAAGGGAACAGTGGATTTTACCACAAACAGAATCAACAGCTTGCTTTATAAGGTTCGATCTCTGAGGATGAGTGGCTCTTGTGCATTGAATCTCTGTGGAGTTGCATGTGGACGGCTCGATTTGTTCTACGAAACTGGATATGGCGGCCCATGGTAACGTTCACACTTGCATATTCTGCCACAAAACCTCAGGTCCTCAGTTCAATACTTTGATTCTTACACTACTATATCTTTTGCCAGGGATGTGGCAGCTGGTGTTCTCCTAGTTGAAGAAGCTGGTGGACTTGTATTTGACCCGTAAGTTGCTACTGGCAAGAAAGCCATTATTTTTCTAGCATATTGTTGATTAAGCCTTAAGAAATCAACTCAAAATGTGGATTAATTATTCACTGTCTTGATCTTTATCCTGCAGATCTGGTAAAGCATTCGACATCACATCGCAGAGAGTTGCAGCATCAAACTCACTCCTAAAGGATGTATTCGTGGAAGCTTTGGCCCAATCAGGGTGAGCAGACGGTGAAAAATATGATCAAGGGTAGTTGGTTGGTTGGTTGGATGGTTGGTTACTGAAGACCATCTACTTTTCCTAATCTTATTTCTAAAGACCTAGTCATGGTGAACTCGTTGATGTCATCGTTAGGCTATTGAAAATTACGTCTAGGTCGACAATTGACATTTGATATTCGATCTTTGCCATTAGACTATGGAATTATATGTCTCGCTCAACTCTAGTGTTATTCGAACTCAATTTCAGTACCCGATGTAAACACGTATGGACGTGTTCGATAACCAAATTGGTATGTAATCCAATGGAGATTCAGCTTAAATATGAGCTATAGTTCATGATTATGACATGGAAATGGTGAGGAAGAAGCAGTGGGTATTATTAGCTGCATAGAAAGAAACAGATACATGTGGAAGCAAACCTATATGGCTATATCCTGCACCAGGTACAACATGGAAACTTCCTCTACATGAAAAATCAAAGTGCCCTTCCCTATAAATAAACATTTGCAATAAGTTAACAAACAAACGTTACAATTTGAATGAGACTGTAAGAAGAAGAATAAGGGATGGAAGGTCAATTATCTGAACAAAACCACATCTGTTGTTCCTAAGCTCCATTGCTACTCCTCTGTGGTTCCTGCTTGTCACCATTATCTCTCTCTGACCTCCTCCTCTTCACGGTGATGTACCAGGTTGAAGCTTCCAGCCACACGGCGCTGAATCCCAGCGCGACGATCACACCAATATAAGCATTCTTCCATTTCTTGCCAGGCTGCAGGATTTCAAACCCTTTGAATATGTTGATGACAGTCAGAGTGATGACAGCATACCCAATTGTGTGGTGGTATATGTTCCAGTAGAATCTGTACTTGTGATCTGGTTTTGGCCTTAGAAACAAAGCAAACACCTGGAAAAGGATAGGACAGAATAAACAATGTTGCCTGAAAGCAATAGAAGAAAGGTTTCAGCTTTTTGCGCCAGTTACCTGAAGGGTTCCAAGGCAGAAGAGACCGATCCCAATCGTTCGATGTGTACTGTAGACGATGCTTGGAGACTGGCTACCAAGTTGCAACCCGGTGATCCAGCCAGCGATTCCGATGATATAGGCCATGGATTGGCAACTAAGATGAAGGTAAAACCAAGCAGGGCCAGTTGAGCTGAAAACTTTGAGGTACCTTGCTGTCAAAGCTCCAATTGGCATCATAATTCCCCAACTCACTACATTTATCACCCCATGGATCTGAAATGTAGACAAGGAAGAAAAAAAGTTATTTCTAAGAACACAATCAATACATACTTAAATTTCTTTCAATGTGTAAGTAATTACAAATTTCTTGCTTTCTTCCATTACCACTTATAAATTTCGTTTCTTTTTGCTTAAAGATGTTTTCTTTCTCAATCCCCCTTATTATTAGACTACCTTACCCCTTCCTTAAGCAATACACAAAACTTTCCGATCAAGCACCATCAAAAACTCCAACAAAAAACTGAAAAAACCAACAAGAACCCATAACCGAGAAAACAGAGCTCCGCAGCATTTCTACTACCCACATTTCTCTTCCTCATCCGATCATCACCACCGCCACCGCCCGCAGATTGTCCGGACAGCAGATTCAGAGTCGCCGCCGCTCTCACATTACCCCCACTCGTCGAGTGCTGAATCGGCTTACCCGCGTCCACCGGCCCGTCCTGCCAGACATGGTTCAGGCTCGTGGTGTTCTCCTTCAGCCGAATGTAAGCAAAGATGACGATCTCTTGCTCCCCTGCCGAATACTCCGCTGTAACGTCCCTCACATCGACGCTGAGCTTCGCCTCGATTAGAGACGTGGAGTAGTCGTTGACTGGGGAGGTGTAGGCGGTGAGCTGGCCGTCTCGATGGTAGGCGACGAGAGCTTGCGAACCGATCATGGCAGGGGCGGAAGGGTTGATTGCCCAGGCGACCCACGTGGAGGCAGGGGAGCTGATTCCTGCGTGTCGGTAGGCGATTTGGAGGACGCCGGTGGATTGGTCGTAGTCCCAGTGGAGGAAGGAGTCGAGGTACGGGAGGTCGACGCATGAAGGGAAGACTCTGTTTTGGGAGAAGGTGTGGGTTGAGCATTTGGATGACGCAGGGGAAGAAGAAGAAGAAAAAACAGGGGAGGTTGCTTGGATTAGAAGAAAGGTGAAAAACAGAGGGATTTTGGGATTCAGGGTAGCCATTGTGTGCTTATGTTTAGTTGGTTGTTCAAGGCCACAAAATCTTCTTCTTAAGCAATAGGAAAAGACTCTTAGTAGGAACAAATTTTGCTTCTTCGAGTGTTGCTCACCATTGGCAGAATGGAGAAAGTGGAGAATGTTGTCTGAGCTTGTGTTTTGGGGAGATGGGTTGTGGAAAAGGACAAGAGAGGGAGGTGGGAATGGGGAGAAAATTTGGGAGTTAATATAGAGATGGAGGTGGAGAAGAAGAAGGTGGTTTTGGGGTTGGTTTTTAGTTTGGAAAATGAGCTTAGTTCATTGTTGTTGGTGTTTTGGAAATATTTACCTTGTTTTGATGTGACTATGTGAATCTTAGACGGCAAAACTATTTACCTCGATCATGTCATTCAAAAAATGACATGAGATCCAATGTATTTTGGTTGGAAGTTGGAACCATTATATGGGTGGATTGTGTGATAATGTGTAAGGGTTTGTATGATGTGTTCTCGACGTTTCATATTTACGATACATCATTTTAAGATACATTTTTTGACTTTATGCATGGTTGTAAATCTGAAAAGTATGCTTTTATGGATTTATAAAGTATTCGTGAAGCAGTTTTGGTCGAATGTGTTACGGTTTAACTATTACAAAAATGAAAAATGAAGAGCTGGAAAGGGATGAATACATATTATGAGATTAGGTAGATTGCATATCTGACGACAAATTTGATAAGGTAGTGAATTTATTTGGCATTTTGAGTCGGTAAGTTTTATGATAAATTATTATTATTTTATTCTTTGTTGTTATAGGCCACTTAGCTTTGTTAAGGTTTTGTAGTTTAGTGCCCATGTATACTTTTATTGCCTGTGATATTGGATCATTATGTTTATGTAATTACGTTTGAAGCAATCTTTGTAATTATTATTCGCTTAATGACATTTAAAAGAAACCTCGAACTTGTAGGTGCCATTATCAAAACAAAAGCTGTAAGTTGATACTTTTTAAGACGGCATGTTCCCCTTTGATTCTTTCCCCACTACCCATCGTCTTCTTCGACAGAGACTGGCAGCGGCAACAAGAAGCATCGGCTGCCGCCGTCGTGCCGTTTTGGGACCAACTGGACAATGAAAGAAGATGGCTGATATTCGTCTGCTTGCAGAAACGCCTTCCTAATTTCTTGGAAATGCGACAAGTTTGTGAAACAATAGAATAAAAAAAAAGACAGAGAATTTCTTACATTTAAATGAGTTAGTATTGAGATGTATTAGTTAGTTCTCATAATCTTTAATATATTAACAATTCACTATTTAAATATTTTGGTATCTATTTACAATTTAATTGATATGGTGAGAATTTTAGTAATTATAAGATCCATAATTAACTTCTAATTCGTGCTACTTGGGACTGATCAGTTATGCAGGCGCCAACAACATGTTTGCAATTTGCGTGTGTATAATTGTCATTCACACCATCAATGTGTTTTAATGGGTTGCCGTGGGATGTTGGGAACTGTTAATTGCAATTAGTTTTTGGTTAATTGTTGTTTATCTAACTTGGGCAAACAATCATCCATGTAAATAAATATCTATTAAATTAAGGCTCAACCACTAGACTAACAACCCTATGGAGTACAATTGGGATTTGGGCATTCGTAATTTATGCTTAATTAATCACATTTTGTCATAATGATGGAAGATTTCTTTGTATGTTGGAATAATGGAATGGAAGGTGGGGTTTAGAGTGACTGAGGCAGTCCGCACAAGATAAGGAATAAGAAAACGAACCAAATTCCTGATTCTGGAACTTGAATGGACCCAACCCAAGCCCAACTTCGAGCCTCTCTTTTGTGGATGGGCTAGCAGCATAACTGCAATAGAAACCCCCAGGCCCGTTTCTATATGGGCCCAATTTCTGTATGGATTTTCCAAGGCTGCATCAGGGTCCATGTTTGGACTTCAACTCTCTCATGTCATGTCTATCTCACAATCCATAGGTCCTTAAGTATTTTTATAAGAGCTAGAAATAAGAAGAAGAAAAACAAAAAGAAACAGTTCCTGTCAATTTATATGCACAAATTCCATGTTTCCACAATGACAACAAATAATATGATGGATGTGGGGAACTTATAATCGTGTGAAGATTATACTTTCAAAGGTGTGACATTTTTTAGATAGCAGCATTTCTACTGATATGATGAGGGAGGTGGGTAGTTAGCTAGCTTAGGGGCACACAATGCACTTATTGCATGCATGGCAAGGCCACACAACCATCAATTTCATGACAATGCCACATGTGGTTAAAATTGGGAGTAAGAATTACAAGTTGTTTAAACTCGCTCGTGTTACATTGATCTCTTTTGGGCGGTAGAGGAGATCTGTGCAGGGCACCGACGACTCCTTGTTTATCTAGTTTGTGTTTTGACGATCTAGTTGCTATAATATAAAAACACAGAGCTAGCTATGATATGGTGGATTGTTAGGGAGGGTGAAACAAAACCCATATGATCACATAAGACTTTTACTGTTTACCTAGAGGACAGCCGAGAGCCGACAATTGACTAGATCCATCAGCCGACCATAGTAACTAGCAAAAATTTAAAAAATTTGGAGATGAAGGATCAGCTTTGACCTATATCTACCGACATTGAGATACAATAATGAAATCCTCCACTCGATGAAATTGTTACGGTAACATAACAGTCGCCATTTTATGACCTCTCAAATTTGAGGAGATGGGATTATGGTTAGCTAGGCATCATTATCTAAGACTGTTTAGTTGTTGGGAGGACTATAATTAGCTTCTGGTCTTAAACTGATCTCTTGTTAATGACCACGACGTTATATTAATTGTGCATGGCAGCCGACAGGCTTGGCAAATAATCGTGTGTGATTGAAAAACTTGATGTGTATGTTCAACCACGTCGTTTAATTACGAGCACTATAGTTCGACGATCTAACTATATATACTGTTTCGAGCAATGTCACTGAGCCAAGTGGCATTTCTTGTGTCCAAAGAAGTGATTAGTGGCATCTACTCGATTAATAGGGTTCATCACCGCAATTTTGAAGGAATTCGGTCTAACCCTAATCTACACTAATGATCTAAGTCTATTAGTAATCAATTTCGACAGATTTTTTTCGGATGACATTTTCGTAAATTTTTAAATTGTTTTTTTAAAAAAGGCAAGTTTTTTTGGATTTTGAAGGCTATATATCGTGGATTCGAACTGAGGCTATTATTCACCGATGATTAAGTCTATTAAGCACCGATTTGGATGGAATTTTTATGAGGCCATTTTTTGAAAATTCAAAGAGGTATCATCACAGATTTCAGGTAAGTTTTTCGTAAGTCTATTTTCCTTATATTTTGAAGGCTACAAATCACGGATTTTGGTCTAAGGCTAATCTCCGTCAATGATAAATTCTATCAATCGTCGATTTGGATGGATTCTCTGCGGATGACATTTTCGCTAATTTTGAATGATTTTTCGAAAGACAATTTTCCATAAATTTTAAAGCGTATTATCGTTTTCTCCATCACATTCTTAGTTTTGACATTGTTACTCCGAACATCTGTGTCATTAGAATGGAAGAAAGTATCCAAACTAAACTTATGTTGTGTGGGGTGATAGCCAAAACCAAAAAATTAAGATATTCAACGAATCGTTATGAATGAATATTATTACGACGCAATTTGCATAAAGTTATAAACAAAGCTCATTGACAATTTGACGTGGACAGTTGAAGAATCAAAACCCCATTTCTCATTTATTGTTCAATACCGTGTTTGATGTTTCGTGAGGACACAAGTTATTTTTATTTTTACTGAATTTACATAGAAACAAATTAAATGCATTAGATAATACCTAATATTGCTTAATATATATATATATATATATTATGATGTACATTATGGAACAGGAGAATGGTACTATGTACTCTAGTGATCCAGGCGACGAAACCAAATCTTCCTTACAAAATTATTGAATTAATTAATTGGGGGTGTTTGCAGGTAATGCCAATGGCCAGCCAGGGTGCTAAACAGCTCACAATGTCCCAATAAGAATCAACATTATCATCGATTTCCGAGAAATAACATAAAATAAAAACCATGTTATTTAGTGACAATCTTGATTTTATATGTACATTGTCAGAGATTGTCATACATATATATTTGGAATAATAATGAACAATAATAAATCAGTACTACTAGTGTTTTTATAATTCAATAGATTGGCCGTGCACTTGTAGTCAATAATATAGTTGTATATATAACATATTCTTTTCCTTTCCATTTGGTACGTTGAATGTGGGTTTTATCATTTATGTCTTGATAAAATTCAATTATTTTTCCGAATATATCTTAAAAAAATTAAAATCTTTGAATGGTTTAATGAGTAGTGATGCAATCATCAAATGATGATGGAGGAGATTGGAGATCTTAATTATTATTATTATTCATTAGTATGCTTTTCATTGTATTAGTTATTAAATTGTCCAATTGTGGATCATAATAAGACACTAATAAACAGATGCAAAAGTTAATTAGTGACATGATAGAGAAAGCAAATTGTTTTTGTTTTGGTGGTATTGGAACGAACGTTGAGAAGCCGACAAATACCACATACAAGAGCACAAATTAGTCTGAGATCCAACTCCAAAATAAGCTAAGTTTCATCATCACAAAACTAAAATCCATCCATTCTTCATTCATTTTGATTGAAGATAACATGCGAGGACTGAACAATTGCCATCCTCGCATTTAGTATAAGCAGGGGGACAAGCATACACAATCTTAATTTGCATCCCCCGCCCCCTCGAGTTTCAACAACGGAAAAGTTCTTATAGGTAGAGCTACTTCTGTATTTTCACATCAAAACGTATTCCCAAACTTGCATGAGAACAACGAAAAGAGACGTCCACAACAAAATTATCTACTTCGAAATCAAAAATTCAGAGTCGCTTCATGTGCTCCAAACATCAATTCACTTCACTCTCTACATTTCGTGATCGATAATTCTCTCGAATCAAGTAATTACCCAACTCCCGACCCGAATAACCGATCATATATGTACCGCATTAGAACAAGTAACAATCATTTTGTTCCTAATCACCTACATTATCCCATGAACAATGGTTTTTGGTCAAGGGTTGTGGCCCAAAATTATGCAAATGGCCCAAAGTTGAAGCGTATTGTCACCATTGAATTGATGAATATGAAGGAAACGACAGGATCCTTCACAAAATCTGGGTCAGAAGAAGCCTGAAAGTGAAAAGTGAAAAGAATGAATCGAAGAGAGGCCCACTTCCCCAGCTTGCTCTGTACGGGTACACGTGTGAGAACCGTGTCGTGTCGGCACGTGAGGTTGTTTTTTTCACTTTGTACCGTTTTACCCAAACCCAGATTAACCAAATAATTAATTTTCCCTCCAACCGAGTACGGAAACGACAAGCCGTTTCTTTCTTTTAAGCCACAGGGAAAAGATTCGAACAGAGGAGCTGTGACGGACACAATTGCCCTTAGACGCGTAACTTTATACTTTCTCTCTTGTTATTATAAAAAGTAGTTTTTAAATTAAAAGTTTCTCTTCGTGGATATCAATTTTTTGCCAGCACAGCACAGCCACAGCCCTTTTTTATTTATTTATAAATCTCTCATCTTCACTTTCCCTTTCCCTCCTTCTTCCTCTCCAGCCACTCTCTGTCTCTGCAACCATGAGAGAGTAGATTTTTCCGGAAACCAAACACTACCCATTTCCGATTCATCCTTCCTTCACCACTCCAAGCAATAAAAATGGTGTCTTTCGATGATTCCCTCTCCCACCACCACCATCACCTCTCCAGCTCCGGCCGATTCCCTCTCCCTCGCACGGATTTCTACTCTCCCCTGCTCTCTCCTTCCGCCTCCACCACCAAGATCAACCGCCAAATCGGCCGCTCCATGCGCACGATCCGCTCCACTCTTTACACCGGAGAGGACAGCTGTTCCTCCTTCGCTTCCGCCGCCGCCTCGCCTGACCACGGGTTTGTGTCCGAGAACTTGACCGACTCTGTTGTGGACATGCGCCTCGGGGAGCTCGCCGCCAGGAACTTCCTCAACTGCTCTGGCAAGTCAGAGAAATCGTCGGCGGCGAATTTGACCTCCTCCGCGGCGGCGGCGGAGGAGTTTTTGGATATCTCGCAGGCATTCAGTGATTTCTCCGGGTGTAGCAGCGATATATCCGGGGAATTGCAGCGATTGGCGTGCTTGCCTTCTCCCAGACGAGGAGGGGAGGAGGAATTGCAGCCGGAGCCGGAGCCGTGCTTCGGGTTTCTGCAGAGGGAGAGCTTCTCGACGGAGATAATCGAGAGTATTTCGCCGGAGGATCTCCAACCGACGGTCAAGATCTGCGTGGACGGCCTTGAATCTCCGTCAGTGGCGGTGAAGCGATCCGCGGCGGCGAAGCTGCGTCTCCTGGCGAAGAATCGGTCGGACAATCGAGCATTAATCGGCGAATCCGGCGCGATTCCGGCGCTAATTCCTCTCCTCCGGTGCAGCGATCCGTGGACCCAGGAGAACGCCGTCACGGCGCTGTTGAATCTCTCCCTCCACGAAGGCAACAAGGACCTAATTACCAACGCCGGAGCCGTCAAATCTCTGGTCTACGTGTTGAAGACAGGGACGGAAACCTCCAAGCAGAACGCAGCTTGTGCATTGCTGAGCCTCGCATTGGTGGAAGACAACAAATCGTCAATTGGAGCTTGCGGCGCAATTCCTCCCCTGGTTGCTCTCCTAATCAACGGATCCACAAGGGGAAAGAAGGATGCTTTGACGACTCTGTACAAGCTCTGCTCCATCAAGCAGAACAAGGAGAGAGCGGTGAGTGCTGGAGCTGTGAAGCCACTGATAATGATGGTGGTCGAGCAAAGTTGTGGAATGGCTGAAAAGGCGATGGTGATACTGAATAGCCTGGCGGGGATTGAAGAAGGCAGGGAAGCTATAGTTGAGGAAGGAGGGATTGCTGCCCTTGTGGAAGCCATTGAAGATTGTTCTTCTCCTAAAGGGAAGGAGTTTGCTGTGCTGACACTGCTCCAATTGTGCACTGCGTGCTCGACCAACCGCGGGTTGCTTGTGAGGGAAGGTGGGATTCCTCCTCTTGTTGCATTGTCTCAGACTGGGACTGTAAGAGCCAAGCATAAGGTCAGTGTGAGAGTGAAATTCCTGCTCTTTCATTTCGCATTTCATAGAAACTGGTTCTCATTTCCCCATGGGATTTATGCTTTGTTAATGGTGTTTGCAGGCGGAGACACTGCTTGTATTCCTGAGAGAATCAAGAAATGAGGCTTCAACTTCAAGTCCTTAGAAAAAATAGAGATGGTGGTAGCTTTTTTCTCCTCCCCCAACTATTTTCAGAGAGGGTAGATTATATCATATCACTGCTCACTAGCTAGACTTGTGATCGAGGGTTGGTTTTGTTGGATATGTACATAGGAGTAGTGCTTTTTGTTTCCTTTCTTTCTTGATATGTACAGTGTGCTCTTGTTGTAAGTTTGAATTCTCTCCATGAAGTAAGAAGAAGTTAGAGAGGGAAGGGAGGGTAGGAGTTGAGCAAAGAAGCCGACTTTTGTGAAATGTATTGACTTTCGAAGACTAGGAGGGTTTTTGAGAAGGGGGGGATTGGGAAAAAAAAAGGTTACTAATTTCACATGGTATTCTGCAGGATGAATACTGTGTGTATGTCTGTTGGTGTGTGTTCATGTAAATCTACGGATTTGGGTTAGTCTTCCTTATGTTTTGATTTGGATGGTGACCCAAATTTCTGTTCTTTGAAGGGTATGTTCCCTTTGTGTAAAAGTATAATCAGGTTTTAGAGATTATATGTATTGCGCCTGTATTAGGCAGTTTGGCTTGGAGCTGTACTGTGGTGGAAATGTATTTCACTAATGAGTAATGACATATCTGGGTTCTTCTGCTTGGGACTGTTTCCACATTGTGGATTATAATAACCAGGAGCAGGCATGATCCTATGATCCTAGTACAGAATCGTTATACAGACTGGATCGGAAAGAACAGACGATGATCGCGCAGTATGTTCAGAAGATTCTGTCATTTCGATCGGGTTCGTTTCGATCCAGGCATCGGTTCTTCCTGACATGGTTTCTTGTTGTGTTGATGTAATGCAGTGCAGGGACCTTCTGCACTGCGGCCATGGTCTTCTTTCTGTTCTTTTGTGTGTTGTTTTCTGATGATGAACTCTTCTCCGGCCAAAACTTGAAACAGAAGTAAAGGCTTGAGGAGCAAACAAACAAAAGGTTCTTTGCTCAATTTCTTGACCTGCCGCCAACTGGAAGGCCAAGGATTATCGATTACTTTAATGGCTGGGAGGAAAAGATATAATAGTTTATTAAAGAAAAGAAAAGTAATGCAGAAAGGGTTCTTCTTCTTCTGGGTTTGGTGTTTGAGCCTGACCTGAAGGTTGGCTTGTGGACTGTAGTACCTTTTACTTTCATTTGTTTGTTATTATATGGTGACTAATATTTATAAATAATTGCCTTCCTTTGAATGGTGTTTGGCTTCTTCCTCATTCTTCCTTGCTTGAAAGGTGTAAAGTCTAGAAACCATAACCACAAGGCCACAACAACACAATGGCCAACCAAAACCTTATCTCCATCACAACAACTTGTCTACTTTTGTGCATGAGCTTGATTGGAGTATTGAATTGTTGCTTTCTTCAAAGGAGAGAGACCGAAGACAAAGTCTACTTCATCTTTTGAAACGAGGAAGGATGCAATATGGTTTGGGGGACAGGTGTTCTCTCCATAACAATGACTGCATTTCTCTACTCTCCTTTGTGCAAATGATGGGCTTTAGAGACTAGGGTTATGCTTCTCGAGGTGCATTAGGGAGTAAATGATTATGATAAGAAGCACTAAAATATTGCACTCCATGTGCAATGTTGATGATAGCACTGGGTTTAACCACTAGTGTAGTGTAATCATGTTTGAGTGGTATTAGATCAGTAGAGCAATAATGAGCTGGTGGGCATGCATTCCGTTCGGTTCGAAGTGCAACTCACCTCAGATCACAAGTAAGAATTCGTGTGGATCGAGCCTTGAACCTATATAGGTACCGTTTCGGTTGTGTTTCTTGGTTTTAGGGTGGACAACGTGTGCATTTTACTCTGAAATCAGAAGTAACTTGGTTCGATTTACCCTCGTTCGAACCGTTGAGCCCTATATGTGATTGACCTATGGGGTTATATAACCAAACATGTATGGGTATTGCTACCCAATTTGAGGCTCTCAAATCTCAATATGATCTTAGATTTGACTAGGAATGGTTGGCAATGCATGTCTCTATTAGCCAACAAACGTCCCCTTCACCAGAAGCCAAAAACATCCAACCCCACCCACAGGAAGGTTAGGAAGGAAGAGGGACTTTTAAAATCTGTAGGAACAGCAGGTTTCTATGCATTTATGATGGATTGGGTGCTCTCCTAACTTTACCTTTCCTTTTGTCTGCAGCTTCGTTTAGCTGGCAAAGAACAGGTGTGGTGCTCTGTTCTTCTGTCTGTCTTGCTCCCCTGTTTTCTTTTGAGTGCCAAATGGCCACCATACTTGATGGTTCTCTGCTTTTCCAAAGGCTTTCTCTGTTCATGGAGTCCTTTTTGTGGTTATCGTGGCCAAATGGTTTCATGGGAGTCCTTCACACTTTATCGTGGCCAAATGGTTCGTCTAAGGTATATGGAGAACATTAGAGATACTTTTATGCATTCAAATGTTGATTTCAAATATTATTGTAAAGAAACATACAATATGCTATCGATAAGAGAACTCGAAAAAATGACTTATGTAGGTCTCGAATCATGCCCAACTCTCTTGATTATCATTATGATGCAGGTTTCCTTCGGTTATCTTCCTTGATTACTTATGTTGTTTGGGAGGTTATGTTGACATTTAAGATGTTGTTTGATCTTTTGAATATAAAAGAACATTACAGATATATTTATGTATTCGAAAAAGAACCGATATTATTTGTTCGGCAAGGGGGAAAAAAAGGTGGCCCATGCAGGTCTCGAACCTGCGACCTTCGCGTTATTAGCACGACGCTCTAACCAGCTGAGCTAATAGGCCAGATGGTTTGCTATGTGATTTTGTAATTATATATCCAATGCAAATAGAAAATATAAAAGAAATTTTAGTTTAGTCAAAGCCGAAATAAATAATAATATCGGTCCAATTTTGGTTAATCAAAATTTTAAACAGAAAGTTCAAGTTTTGATAATGTAGTATCAACATTTTGTATCGGACATAAGCAGGCCGCTCATGTGGGCTTGGCAACTGACTCTGGATCATGTTGAGAAGCCCTTACTGAAATTTGGGCCCTACAGGCCCAACTAGCCAATCTTGGTTTCTCTTCTCCTTTGCCATTTGCCAAGGCAAAAGGAAAACCCAGGAAGGATAAACCTTATTCAGTTCTTCTTCATCTCTCACTCGCTGGCTGTCCCGCCCGAACCAGAGTTACAAGAAAGCCTCTGCCTTCCATTCGCAAGACATTTATTAATTAAGCCTCCTCCGTTACCTTTATTACCATCTTAGAACAGCTGCTTTCCCTTCGAACTTGTTTCCAGGTACTTCAAGTCCTTTTGCTTACTTATATAGTCCAGGAAGTTTGTGGAGAAAAATGGCGCGGAATCCATGTTCGAGCAAAAGCTTGGGTTTTTATGAGTTGATTTGGAATTATATGAACTTCAATAAGCTTGATTTGGGGATCTTCTCATTTACACGAGTAGAAGAGAATTTCAGTGCTTTTTGGAATGATTGGATTTGTGTGTTTAAAATGCGTGCAGAGGGAGAGAAGGAATTCCATGATTTCTCCAAATTTGGAGTCTCCTGAATCTGGGTATTGGTTATAAAATATTAGTGAGCAATGCTGCAAAGAACTTCAGTTTCCCAAATTTTCAGCAGGGCATCATCGCCTCTCTTGTTAATGGTCACTACAAGAAGAATCCCGCTGATTTCATTTCTCCAGTGTAGCTATCATACTTTACGCCGTCCTTCGATTTTCTCATACCATCATCATCCATTTGCTCTACCTGTGAAATTCACTAGTAGAAGAGCGGAATTTTGTAGCTTGATATCTTCGGCAGCAGCACGCATCCATGAGTCGTCACCAACAGTGACTACCAGGGTTTCTGGTAGAGAAACGAAAGCACAGAGGAAAGCTGCCCGGAATTCGCCTGAGGGGCAGCTTCGTGTGAAGATCGACATGTGCTCGAAATCTGGAGACCTAACTGAGGCACTACGCCTGTATGACGAGGCAAGGAGGGATGGCATCCCGGTTACCCAGCACCTTTACAATGTATTGCTGTATTTGTGCTCTTCTTCTAATGCGGGTTCCTTCTCTGATTTGGGTTTGAAGAGGGGATTTGAGATATTTCAGCAGATGGTGATTGATAAAATTGATCCTAATGAGGCTACTTTTACAAATGCAGCTAGGCTTGCTGCGGGTCTAGAAGACCCTGACATGGCATTTGATTTGGTTAAGCAAATGAAGGATTTCGATATCCCTCCAAAATTGAGGTCATATGGCCCAGCCTTATTTGGCTACTGTGAGAAGGAGATGGCGGAAAGAGCTTATGAAGTTTATCTACACATGAATGAAACTGGTGTAGTGGCTGAAGAGGCGGAGCTTTCTGCACTTTTGAAAGTGAGTTCTCATGCAGGGAAGGGAGATAGGGTGTATGAGATGATTCATAGGTTGAGAGCCACAGTCAGACAAGTTGCAGATTCATCTATGGAGATTATTGAAGATTGGTTTAAATCTGAGGGCGGGGGGAAGATTGGTTTAGGGAAATGGGATGAGAGGAAGGTAAGGGAAGGAATTGTGAAGGGAGGTGGAGGGTGGCATGGACAAGGGTGGTTAGGGAATGGCCCGTGGAGAGTGACGAGAACTCAAGTGGATGATGAAGGTGTTTGTCGAGGTTGTGGGGAGAAGCTTGTTTGCATTGATATCGATCCAAGAGAGACAGAACATTTTGCTAGCGCATTGAGTAGCTTGGCCTGCAAGAAAGAGGTCAAATCAGATTTCATCCGCTTCCAGGTGTACAAGAGTTGCTACTTCTCTCTCTATGTATCATTTGCAATTCCAGCCAATAACCCTCTTAAGTTCTATTTGTTCTACATTTTGACTTGAAACTAATGATGCATCAGTGAACTGTCTTCAGGAGTGGCTCCGCAGGCATGGTCCATTTGATGCGGTTGTAGATGGAGCTAATATAAGTTTGATCAACCAGCAGCATTTCAACTTCCACCAGGTCAGAAATCAAGGTGTTTAGAGATACACACTCTTTCATGAAAAGATTTGTGCAAATGTGTAATTCATTGATTCTCAATGGTCTCATTTTTTTCTGTGATGCAGCTTAATAATGTTGTGAACCAATTGCGTGAAATGAGCCCATCAAAGAGATTTCCACTTATTATTTTGCATAAAAGCCGTGTGACTGGAGGTCCTGCTCAACATCCGAAGAACCAGGCACTGTTAGAGAGATGGGTGAAGTCTGGTGCACTTTATGCTACACCTCCTGGTTCAAACGATGATTGGTAAGTTTTCTGATTTCTGAGAATTCTATGGTGTTGTTACACTCTCAAGTTAGCTTACATTATTAGCAGTATAACTTGCTTACATTCTCTTTTCACTATCTGATTCTATCTTATACACTGATATGCAGGTACTGGTTATATGCTGCTGTCAGTTTTAAGGGTTTGTTAGTCACCAATGATGAAATGAGAGATCACTTGTTCCAATTACTCGGAACATCTTTCTTTCCGAGATGGAAGGAGAAGCATCAGGTATGGTTATCCGCTTGCATTATATCGTATGTCTAAGTTTGTCCTATGCTGCATAAGCTATATGTCCTGGTTGGAACTTCAGTTGCCATTTCAGTATTTACTACTTACTACTTGCCTTTCACTTTTTTTTTGTTACTGCTGTAAGTCCTATGCAAGTGCTATAGTCCTCTGGTTGCTTAATGATTGTATAGTATTAAAATTCTATTTAACTTGAAGTTACTTGCTATTGAAAAATTGAACACTTGGATGGAACAATTTGCAGGTTCGATTGTCGGTATCAACATCTGGGCTCAAATTACACATGCCGCCTCCTTATTCAATTGTTATTCAGGTGCTAGCCCAAAAAAAAACCAGCTCTCTTTTTCACAACACCATTTTGCAGAGAGAATGTGGGTTTATGCGTTTCTTGATTCAAATGCAGGAGTCCGAAAAGGGTAGTTGGCACGTTCCAATGACCACGGACGATGATCTTGCTACCCCAAGGCAATGGCTATGTGCAACTAGACAAAGGGCAGAGAGACACACACATTCACAATGAAGAAACTCCTTGAGCGACTTGGAAGTTTACTTACCTTCATCAGAAACTCCCAACTGATGGCAGATGTGGTTCTTCGGCGCAGTGGTTTAACAGTTGGTGTAATCTATGTAAAATCATCAATTTTGAACTGAATGGTAGATTAGTTGCAGAGATGGACTGCTGCACTGCTGCATGTTGCTCTCTCCACATATGCAACTACTGAAGAATTGAAAACTGACCTGGTGAATTTCCCTTGCCAGTTCCCAATGGTGGTAGCATGAGTTGCTCTTGTAGGCTTGATTATTGTTAAGGAATTTAATTTATTTCAATGTCAACAACAGAAGAAGAAGCTAAGGGCTTAGAAGGTAAGATCATTCAAGTACAACAAGTCAAGGTGTTGTTTTTATTCCCTTAGTGAAATAGGGAACTGTATTCATCCCTTCAATCGAATCGAAAGTAGTAATTCATGCAAATTATTGCCGGAAGATTGCTTATTAGACTAACTGAAATACGGATTCATGAGGATGACATATTTCTTGAAAAATAATCTTCTAGGGGTTCTTTTGAGAAAAATATAAAAGATCAGTGGCCATACTTGACAAATGAATACGGTTAAACTAACAAAACTATTAACCGGGAAAAATGAAATAATAACTGAATGACCAAAAACCCTGAATAAAACCCCAGAAGACGAAATCCGCAACTCCAAAAGTGTTCACCGCCGATGAATTCATCCACGAAGCGCCTTCAATCCGACTGAGAAAATTCCAGCTCTGAGTTCTCCCCGCCATAATTCATTCTTGCAGAAGGTAAATGCCCTCTCGACTCTCTCAGTTCCACATCTTAGCATTGAATTTGATCCCTCGAAACATATCCAAAATGCCCGTTCTGGGCAAAAAATGTAATTTCCGGCAGTAGATTCCGTAAGTCCAGAAGCAATAGTCGATCCCCAGCTTAAAGTTTCCGTCTTTGTCTATTGCTGTTCGAAGCTGATGCTGTATCATTTCTGGGTTCGTCTCATTTCATAGCTCTATGTGAACTTGATCGTCTGCCTGAGAGCATATTTTTTAGTTCGTCATTTTGCATTCTTCTGTAAACCCTAATCTACTTTTAGGAGATGGATGTTTGATCGTATTGGGACTCCTTTCGAGAATTCTGAAGATGGTTAATGAATTGTAGAAGTAATTAACTGCAGTACTATACTATGAGCTCATTGAACCAATCCTAATCCTGATGCAGAGCTGAAGACATTGATGGTTTGCATGTGGTGAAATCCTAGGATTCAGATGTTGGGTTTGGGATACTCAATGGACGAATTGCTAAAGAACCACCTTTTCGCAACTCATGCCATTGCTGGTGCAGGCTCGGTGGCATTAGGCACTGCACTAACTTACCCTCTTGATACAATCAAGGTCCTTACCCAGGTTTGTGTACTGTAGAATCTGTCACCGAATCCCAGTTCTAACAAGGCTCCTTAATTCTGTATTTTCTGACTATGGATGGTTGGTTTTGAGGTGACGAACAGGTTGGTTCAAGTTCTAATAAGCAGTTGACTCCACTTTCAGTTTTAAGAAGAGTTCAAGCTCTGTCTGGAAACTCAGGTCTACTCCTTGGAATGTGCTGAATGTTCCTATTTTCTTGGTTTTGTCGTTACGCAACTCCTTACTCAACTGTACTTTCTGATTTTTCAGGTGTATACAGTGGATTGGGTTGGTTGACTTCAGGCAGAATTGTTGGTCTCGGTACTCGCTTTGGCGTCTATGAAATTTTGACAGCATTCTATAAAGGTAACCGCTTCACTAAAACTTCTGTTTTGTTTCGGTTAGTTTTGTTCACTTCCTTGAATTGTCCTTATTGGGAGAATTGCTCCAGGACGCTAAATCAGCATCTATCAAACAAATAGCAGATTCCTATGAAAGAGTGTAGTTCTCTGAAGTGAAAACTTGACCTTTTTTAGATGTGAGCTAAGTCCATCTTCTGCAGTGTAGTCTGCAAACTCTTGGTAACAAATCAGATGGAAAGCTGAAGAAGACCTAGATACTCCTTTCACTAGTCTCATCAATGATATAAGTAAGTGAGAAGTGCCTAATGATGATTCCATGTAAAAACTTGTTTCTGCAGATGGTCGAGAGGACAACTATGTATATGTTCACGAGGCCCTCATGGCAGGCATGGCAGCTGGTGCCTTGGAGTCACTCACAAGCTCTCCATTCGAATTTGTCAAACTTCGTGCTCAAGTGACCTCCGCTTCTTGTGCTCGAACTTCTACACCCTCTACAGAATCTAGATCCGTGGGACCCGTGATTTCCAAACTATTACGTGGATACACTCCTGACGTAAAAGCGCTGAGCCATTCGACTGCCCTTCTATCTACGCTATCCACCAAGCACCCAGACCTCGTCGGTGCACTGAGAGAGCATCCATGGATGATGACTGGCTCTGGGAGGCCACCGTCAGTTAGCGATGTTAGTAAACCATCGCATGTAATCTCATTAGAAGGATGGAGTGCTTTCTGGAGAGGCATTCGATCTGGAATTGTTCGAGATTCTGTATTTGGTGGGACGTTCTTTTGCACGTGGCAGTTCCTTCACCGGGCAATGCTCGACTGGAAAGCAGTCGGGATGGTTCCTGAACCCAGGTTAGGAAAGCTCCTTTTCTTCTTCCGCTTAGCAATCATATCAAGTTCAGTTGTCTTATTAATGCATCTGTTCTTCCCTGTGATTAATTTCTAACTTTTTATCAGGTTTGACGATGAGATTGGGCCGCTGTCACCATTAGCCGTCAGTGCTGCTGCTGGGATTTCAGGATCAATTGCTGCTGCTGCCTCTCATTGTTTCGACACAGCAAAATGTCGGTTCCAATGTACCGTGCTGCCCAAGGTAACTACGCTTGGTTTGAGTGGTTTTTTTTCCCACCTCTGCTCAATTCTTAGGGTTCCTTGATGTTGCATTGTTCATACCTGGTATTGTCTTGTCCCAGTATCTTAGATACGAAAGGGCGCTGTTGAAATGGCGTCGGCCAGGGACAAGATTCGAGAGAGCCACGGGAATCCACCCTGCAGATAGAAACGTTCTATTCCGAGGAATCTGGCTGAGGATGGCTCGCAGTGGGGTCGCGTCGTTTGTTATCATAGGAACGTATTATTTGGCTGTTGATCAGCTCCTTTCTTGATGAACCACAGATGAACATTAAGCATATGCCAAATATTGAGCAGGTTTTGCTTGTCCTTAGTTTTTACCGCCTTATTTAAAGCACTGCAAGTAATTATTGGTAGAAAGGCCATAACTTTTTGGCAGTGCAGTTCATCACAACGTTGAAAGAGATGCTGTAAAATTTAGCAACTCTTTTGTTCCTGGCTTCTCCAACTTCTGTATTCGATTATTTGAAGATATACTGAATTGCTGATGTTCTGTTAAGTTCACTGTTGCTCCTTTCTTGCATGACATCCCTGAGCTATGTTGCATCCATTTTTTCCCCCTACCATTCCAAGTAAGAGTTGATGATGGTCTGAATTCACACCCGATGAGTATATGATCATATTGATAAGGGAAGGAAGATGATCACCTGACCCGGATGAAGAACTAATCAATTTGGTTCCCACCTGGTTTAAGTTCTTTTCCTTGTCAAGTTAGCTCGGTCGATAATGGCGGAAGACCAGTATCGAAGACAAGACTAGTAATCGGGTTGAAGCTATTCATCAAACATACCTCAGTACATCAATTTCATTCGGTCTGAATCAAGTACTGATTCAATCTAATAACATACATATAAGACAACATCAATGTTTCTGATGCAGAAGATTAACTTTTCCTAACACAGATAAAAACTCAAAGTAAAAACAACCCTTACCCGTTTTTACCCTCCAACCTTCATTTCACCACCTGAAAAAAATATGAGAAGCGAAGGCAGAGGAAAATCACTCTGTTTTTCCCCCTGTTACCCAGAAGTCGATAAAAATACTCTGTTCTCTTTCTCTCAAACTCTCATACGCTCTCTCACTCTCTTCACGCCGCATTATCATCACCATTCACCTTCCCGACCTTCTCTCCCTTCCCCTTCCGTCGGCCGCAAGGCCGGTAACCCTCCGCGAGCATCTTCTCCACCTCCTCAAACGGCAGCCCTTTGGTCTCCGGCACAAACCAGATGATCAAACAGAGGGAAAGGGTGGAAACTCCGGCGAACAAGAAGAACGTCCCGCCGGGGCCAAGATGCTCTGTGAGAGTCAAGTAGGACTCGCTGACGATCAAGTTGGAGACCCAGTTGGCCACCGCGGCGATCCCTCCGCCGACTCCTCTGTACTTGAGCGGGTAAATCTCAGAGTTGACGATCCACGGCACTGTCCCCATACCGGGGGAGTACGAGACAATGTAGAGGCCGAGGAAGACCACCGCGAGGATCCCGAACTTGCTGGGACAACCTTGCTCGAAGAACACCCGATCCTCGCCGTGGCAGAGGTCTCGATTCGGCTTTGAGACCACCAGGCACGCACCGGGCTGGTACTGCTCATGGCAGAGAAGAAATGAAGGAAATTCAGCGAGAAAATTACATTTACAAGGCAGAATCGACATTGTAAGAAAGTTTTAAACACATAAAATACATCGGTAACGAAATATTAAACACGTTGCGAGAAAGATGATCGAATTAGTACGAGAATTAAAGTTTCGAATTACCTCACTAGCCTTGTTGGAGCAGAAGCCACATTTGGCCTTCAAGCAAGTCATGCAGCTCCATTTCCCGTCGGCAGCACTCTTCGTCGCCCCGGCATAAGCCGAACACGTCGAATTCGCCCCGAAGTGGACCGATTCAATCGAACCAACTTTCGGAGCATGAGAAGAAGCTTCAATGAAAACCACGGATAAGAAAATCAGGAAAAATATGATCCCTGCCATGGAAAAAATCATGAGCCTCTTCCTTCCATAACGGTCCACAAACAGCATGCTCACTATGGATCCGAATGCATTGAGCCCGGCCGTGATGAGGGACAGAGACAGGGCGACGGATTTGGAAGCGAATCCGGCAAATTGGACGATGGTCGGAGAGTAGTACATGACCGTGTTGATCCCGACGAATTGTTGGGCCACTTGGACCGTGATACCGGCGTAGAGGCCACGTCGGACCACCGGGTTCTTGAAGGCGTTCTTGAGCTTGGACAGCATTGTCTCGCCAATGGCTGCCTCGTCGGCTTTTTCGGATTCAATGGAGGCCTTGAGAAGGGCCATCTCGGCTTCCACTTCCTCTGGTGAGTAGATCTTCTCTAGGATCGATTTGGCCTCGTCAACTTTGTTCTGAAGTTAATCAAATACGTTGAACAATTCTAAAACTTGTCACACTCTAGAACTAGAAGATCTAAATCGACATTTTGAACACGACGAATATGCTAATCAAAACATTTACCCTGCTGTAGAGCCATCTAGGAGACTCAGGGAGGGACATCATCAGCACAAACTGAATCAAAGCAGGCAGCCCAGCAACTCCAAGCATCCACCTCCAAGTCCCAGGAGCCTTGCACCACAAGAAACCCCCCAAAAAACTCAAAATTACCAATGAAGTCCCAAACTTTACCATTTAGAAACACAAAAGCTCAACTGGGTTGTGGTTTATACTTATACCTTGGTGAAGGCTAGATTGATCAAGTAGGCCATGAACTGCCCTCCAGTGATAAGCAGACCATTTGTGCTGACGAGTGCTCCTCGAATTCGAGCAGGGGAAGCTTCGGAGATGTAGAGAGGAGCAGTCATGGAGGCCATCCCTACTCCTAGACCTACGAGGAGTCTTCCAATTATTATGATCCACGGGTTTGGAGCCGCCGCCATGACTATGGCTCCAACGAAGAAGACAATGTCGGCTCCGAGGATCGATTTCCTCCTCCCCAAGCTATCGCTTAGGAAGCCTCCTAGTGCTGCTCCCACTATGGCTCCAGCCACGGCCATGCTCACAATGGTCTCCTGTTTCCAGAATCACATAGAAATCGCGATTAAGAAAGTAAGTTAGGGATGGTGTTTACTACATTTCATATCGATATCGAAAATATGGAACTGACTTGTAGCCATGTCTTCTTGTCGATGGATTCAAAATCCTCTCGCATGTAGAGTAGAGCACCAGAGATAACCCCTATGAACACACATCAAAAGAAGATCAACCTACAAGATCATCATATCATTAATCGAATTTCGGAACATTTCTCTTCTCCCCCCTATGTTCTCATGAAAGATCAATTCACCTGTGTCATAACCAAAGAGCAAGCCGCCGATTCCAGCAGAGAGAGCAAGCCTCATGATGTATGGAGTCTTCCAACTCGTCCTCCAACATTCTGTAAACTCTGTCTTGTCTGGCTTCATAACACCTCCTTCCACCATGGTTTTCAAGCTCAACTAGCCAAGTTCAAGAAGTGGAAGTCCTAGATATATGCAAGACAGCCCTGTTAAAAAAAAATATGATTCCAACTAGAAAATTCGGACCAAAATAACCAGTTTTAGACCGGTTTCTTCATAATAGCACTACTGAGCTTGAAAGTTCCAATCTTTCATACACAATTTCAAAAAAGAATAAGAACCCAATCCTCCTAAGAAACATCACACAAAAACCCAAAAATCTTTTTTAATATAAACTATCCATCAGAATCTCCTTTGACAAGCTCTAGTGATGGCGAGACGAGACGAGACAGAAGCAATGAAAAACATACATCTACGTATACTGATGATCTTTTACCTTTCACCGCGATGAGCTGAACTTGATTCTGAGCTTATTCTTCTTCTGCTGTTGCTGCTGCTGGAAAACCTCTGTTTGCTATAGAACTCTTATTACTATTATCTAATTGAAACCTCCCAATACCAAAAAGAACGTTATTCTGTTTGCCAATGAAATTGAGTTGTGAATGTGTGAATATAGAGGAGGGGAGGACAATATTAATGTCGCAGTAAAACGATCCCACTTAGATAAGAAGATTTAGAAAGGGTAATTGTGATTTAATTACGAGTAAAATGGGTAAGTGAAATGAAGGGAAATCTCAATTTTCTTGGTTAGACAATGGACTTTTTGGCTTGGTTGAGAAAGAAAATAGAAATAAATTTCAACGAGTTTCCATGAAAAGGGTTGGTAATAAATTTATCATACTGTTCTGTAGAGATATGTGCCCACTTATCTTGCCTAATAATTTTTGGAGATTAAAATTCGGGGTGAAATTTAGAAAGAATGAAGAAATTTGGGTGAGCTTATCAAGGAATATAGGAAGTACATGTATTAATAAAGATTGAAATTGTAGAAAAGGAAGTGGGAAAAAAGGAAGAAGTACTGGGTAATGGTAACTGATAATCGAAATTGCTTTTTACTATTTTTATGGGATGGATTTAATGTTTCAATAGTTTGATGAGTGAAATACAAGATTTTTTGTCGGTTAAGTCTCTAAAATCATGTTGCATAACTAGAACCGATTGATTAATTTTGATTTACAAGGGACAGATTTTCAATAGGTTAGCTTAATTGTATATTTTAGTACTTGAATAGTATTTTGAAATTACTATGTATTATGTAGAAGTAGAACTCAATATTCAAACTGAAATAATTGATCGATCGGTCCTATTTTACAAGTTGAAGGATGGATAAAAAAACTTAAAATCTAAGTTCGGTCTAGAAGTGAATGAGCGGATAATCAACCAAAACATGCAAAAGTTTTAGAGTAGCTAACTCATCTTCTTTTACCCATTTAAGGACTGGAATAATTTTTTAGGATTATGTTATACACGTAATTATTATTATCTACAAAATTTTGAAACCAAATATAGGATCATGTTCCCTAATCAAGCAATTAATCTAAGGTTTAATGAAAAAACTAGAATTATGGTTCAAGCATGCATTTGATTATGTTTCGCTAGATCTTTACCACAAATCCACACGCCATATTAAGTTTGATACGGATAAAAAAATAATTAATTGTAATGAATTTAGCCACTTTTACCAAAGGAAACTATAAATAATTTCTTTCCAAATCAGGATTAGAAGTTGAATTAGGGGAAACTCAATTCGTAAGAGAGGATTGTCTTTGATGATTGATCCCTCTTTCTTTCCTTCTTTTGGCAAATCCTACACCCTTGTAATTATATAAGGAAAATATATCCTCATCAATCGAGCAATTATAAAAACAAAGAATTGCCCCAATTATAAGATTTATTATTTATACATGTTTCGCAACAGAGAAATAAGAAATCAATATAGATGTAACAAAATCAATTTTTATCTTATATAAATATCATACAAAATCATTAAAAACCTATTCAAAAAAATCTCTAAAAAGAAGTTATCCAAACCCAAACCAACATTGAGATCAAATAAGTAAGACTTGACTTGTTATTTCCTTGTTAAGACCAATTAATACGATCAATCAAGTTGATAGAGACAGATAACTCTAAGCAGAACAAACTGAGACTGCGCTTTTTTTTTTTTACTTCATATAGAATTTTGCTTCCTTTGGTGGAGCGGTGGGAAACCAATTAAACCAAACTTATGGGATCATTTCGACGAGGATTAGGATAAGATTCTTCTTAACTTACAGCTAACAATCAGATATCCTTCAGCCTTATGGTCTTGATTGTTCATACAAAACTACAGTAGAACATATGTATGTTAACCTCTGTTTGTTTTAAGATTTGAGTGATCCAACACAGTAGAATGTTTTGATTTTTTTTTTTGACAAATATGTTTTGATGTTAATGACTATTATAAGGACCCTAACTAGCAAGATTCTTATCAGACATACACACATTTTGACCAAGGGGCTTAAGAATTTCTTCGATACGAATGAGATCACCGAGATAGATAGAGTAAGAAAAACCTTCGATATACTCTCAATAATAAGAGGTATCATTATGTATAGAAAGAATCTAAAACAGACGAAAAACGTTGTCTAAGCTATCCATGTTGGTTGTTTACTATACATTCTTCTTGAGTGAATGAAGAAGACCCTAAGGTATGAAGAGATAGACCCTTGATTAAGAATGGCAATGTTAGTTTGATTCCTCCTCCCCTATTTCTAAACTTATTTTGTTTATGTCATCAAACAATTCAGAGCAAACATAGATACCTTTCAATTTCATTTTCTATGTAGCTAAGCAAATCCAAACATTTTGATCACTAAACAACCATCTTCAAATCCGTAACTTACCCTTCTATAAAACTACATAATTCCAATATGCACTAAAAAAACAACACAATTTATGACTAAATCAAAGTTTTTATTCTTAAGAAATGAAAATTTACCCTATTTTCCTGTTTTTCTAAACAAGTGTCTCATACAACTCCTCAAACTTATTCTGAAACAAATGAAGAAAATTCTTAAAAAAGAAAAAAAGAAAGCCAAATTTTCATCAAACTAAGCTGGAGCTTTCCCCTTCCCCTGATCCCCTGCTTTTGCCTTGATGAACCCTGGCTTGAACCCATCTCTCAAGAGCTTCTCCACTTCCTCGAACTGCAGCCCTTTCGTCTCCGGTACCAAGAAGAAGATCGCCACCAGCATGATAAACGAGATGGCGGCGAACATCAGGAAAGCTCCGGCCACCGTCAGGGTCTGCGTCATCGTCAAGAACGTCAGGCTGACAAGCAAGTTGGACGTCCAATTGGCCACGGCGGCAATTCCACCTCCGACGCCTCTGTACCGAAGCGGGTAGATCTCGGAGTTGACGATCCATGGCGCTGTGCCCATCCCAGGGGAATATGAGATGATGTAGAGGCCCAAGAGGAGGACGGCCAATAACCCGATCTTACTCGGACAACCTTCCTCGTAGAGCACCCGATGCTCGGCCTTGCATTCGTCTCGCATTGCCTTGTCGTCAATCAAGCAGGCTCCCGGTTTGATCTGTAAATGACGGTAGAAATCAGTTCGATATCGGTTGTAATGTTATTCCACTTATAACCCATTTCAATACTCCAATTGAATCAAATCCTGTGTTACCTTGTCAGCAGCATTGGCACAAAAGGCACACTCAGCCTTCAAGCACTGCGTGCATCCCCACTTAGGCTTATGGAAATTCTCCAAGTAACTAGGGCAAGTCACATTGCTCCCAAAATGCTTGGTATCCATGAAATCGATCCCCGGAGCACCCAACGAAGCCTGCCGGAAAACGATGGCCAGAACTATCAGGCAAGAGATGATCCCGAACATGGAGATGATCATCAGCCGGCGGCGCCCGTACTTGTCCACCACCATCATGCTGATGATCGAGCCGACGGCGTTGAGCCCTGAAGTGATCAGGGAGAGCGCCAGAGCAACCGATTTCGAGGCGAACCCTGCGAATTGGACGATGGTTGGGGAGTAGTACATGACTGTGTTGATCCCGACAAATTGTTGCGCCACTTGGACTGTAATTCCGGCGTAGAGCCCTCGCCGGACCACCTTGTCGGTGAATGCTCCTTTTAGCTTGGAGTACATGTCTTTCCCGATCGATTCCTCCATTGCCCTCTCTGATTCGACGGATTCTCTGAGCGCTTGAATCTCTCTCTCCACTTCTTCTTCAGGGTAGAGTTTTTCCAGGATCTCCTTCGCTTCGTGGACGTGGTTCTCTCTATAAAGCCATCGGGGCGATTCGGGAAGCGACCACATTAACATGAACTGGATCAGGGCAGGGAGCCCTGCCACTCCTAGCATCCACCTCCATGTTCCAGGAGCCTGATGACCGGGAAAAAAAAATTGCTCAAATGATTAGAATTGATTCAAATAAGAACACAAGCAAAACAGAGCAAGAAGTGAAACAGAGTACCTAAAGAAACAAAGTGCAACGAGTAACCCCCAATAATTAGATGACACATACTTTGGTGAATGCAAGATTGATGAGGTACGACAAGAACTGCCCGCCGGTGATGAGCAAACCGTTGGTGCTGACCATGGCGCCGCGGATCTTTGCTGGAGAGGCCTCCGATATGTAGAGGGGAGCGGTCATAGAGGCCATTCCGACGCCGAGGCCAACGAGGACCCGACCGATGATGATGACGGCCGGAACAGGGGCGATGGCCATGATGATGGATCCCAAGAAGAACAGGACGTCGGCTACCATGATCGTCTTCCTCCGTCCGATCCGATCGTTGGCGTAGCCTCCGAGCGCCGCGCCGATGATAGCTCCGGCGACACATGTGCTGACGATGAGCTCCTGGAGGAACGTGCTCTTGTCCACCTCCTCGAAATCTTCCTTGATGTATAGCAACGCTCCCGAGATAACTCCTGCAAGAAGACAATGTAAGTAATATAATTAAGACGACAAGAAAAGAAAAGTGTCGGTAAAGGTCTTGTTAATAGCAACGAAACTCTTGCCCGTTGCGAATTGTTGGTTACCCAAACCCTAACATCCAGAATCATTTTCTCTCATTAAATAAATCTTCGTCGTTAGATCTAGAGTGTGATTGGATTGAGTTCTTTCACAAATACAAGGAATTTCATGAATAATATAGAATCATTAAATCAAGACGAGTAGTGTTACCAGTGTCATAGCCGAACAAAAGCCCTCCAATACCGGCAGCGAAAGCCAGCTTCATGATGTAAGGATTTTTCGACGAGATTTTCCAACATTCTGTGAACTCTGTTTTATCCGCTTTCACCGGTCCCCCTTCCACCATTTTTTACGTATAACTTAATGACTGAATTCCCTTATTTGTTTACAATAGATTTCACTACTAGGTGAAACACATGTCTTTCTTTTTTGATGAATTTTGTAGCTGTGAAGAGGGCTTTGGCTTGGTGGTTTTTGGTGGGTTTTCCTTTGTATGTTTGGGATCTTCTTATTCCCCTTTATTCTTTTGGTGGGAGTTGTGGAGTGTGTAGGGGGCTAGGAATAGAGAAATAAGTGAGAGAGCAAATAGGAGAAGAAGATAAATATATAAAAGACTTTGGCTAATTATAGGGGCCCTTTGATTTTTTATTTATTTATTTTTTTGTTGTTGTTTGCTTGTTCAAAATTTGTTTTTGTTTATAAGGCTGAACAAAAATTTCTCTCCACATAGTTTGGTCTTTTCATTTAGGGAAATGCTTACTTGGAAATCCATTTTGGGTCTAATTGTTTCCCCAACAGAAACAACTGGATATTGGGTTTCATTTAGAATTGAAACATTTTACCATATAACTACATTTACATTTATTTGGAAAATGGCATCTACTTAAAATGTTAATATAGAAGTTAAATATTTTCTAAATAAGGCTACAACCTTATCTTCTTATCATTTTAAAATGGGGTTTTCATTAATCACATAAAACTATGATTACATTTTTACCATACTGGTTTCATCGTTCTTTTCGACTATATCTTTTGCGTGTGTTTGTTGTACGTACCAATCAAGTACATTATCTTTCTGGATAATGTCCATATTAATGTGAACTACCACTACATGCTAGAATTTGAAACATGAACTCTTTATTAATGAAAGATTTTTCTTTTGTGAAAGACGTGTTTTTTCTTAGTGATCTTTCACCCAAGTATTGATGGATCATTGGATGCACTATCCATGGTAAAGGTTATGAGCCATGGAGAAAAATTACTATAAGGATACTCGTACAATATATTTACTCACTAGTTATCCAAACTCCAAATTATCCTTTGTACATAGCAAACGTTTGGTTGTGGTTCTCTTGTCCCCTTTATATACTTTCGATGATTACATTTTTACCATACTGGTTTCATCATTCTTTTCGACTTTATCTTTTGCGTGTGTTTGTTGTACGTACCAACCATGTACATTATCTTTTTGGATAATGTCCTTATTAATGTGAACTAACACAATAACACTTAATACTAGAATTTGAAACATGAACTCTTTATTAATGAAAGATTTGTTGTTTCTTGGTGATTTTTGTCCCAAGTATTGATGGATCACGGATGCACTATCCATTGTATAAAGGGTATGAGCCAAGGAGAAAAAGTACTATAAGGATATCTTGTACAATATGTTTAATCACTAGTTATCCAAACTCCAAATTATCCTTTGTACATAGCAAACGCCTGATTGTAGTTCTCTTGACCTCAGGGGGTTAACGAAAACAAGGGGATCGGTTAGCATGCTAACCCTTGTATGGGTTGGCAAAATGACAACCCCTATTAATTATAGGTTTTTAAGGTAATTAATTTGTGTTGCATTTAATAATCTGTATGAATTAAAAACACATTAATTACTTTCCTTTTTTCAGTGCACTGGTAGTTGTATCAGTGCACTGGTATACTGAACTCATATTAATTACGTTCCTTTTTTGGAACTACCATTGCAGTGATACATCTACCATTGCACCTGTACACAACTACCAGTGCACTGATACAACTATCAGTGCACTGAAAAAAGGAAAGTAATTAATATGTGTTTTTAATTCATACAGATTATTAAATGCAACACAAATTAATTACCTTAATAACCTATAATTAATAGGGGTTGTCATTTTGCCAACCCTTTTATGGGTAGGCATGCTATCTCATCCCGAAAACAAGCAAAACTTTCTGTTGGGAACAAAATGAAAATATTATTTGTCAAGAATGGGATTTGAACCCATGCCCTTTCGGACCAGTACCTGAAACTGGCGCCTTAGACCAACTCGGCCATCTTGACTTGATGTTTCATTTTCCATGTTATGATAATAATACTATTACTACTAATGATAACAATAACTTGAGGTAGCAAATGATTCAACAAACCATATCGAATCGATATTTTGATAAGATTGGATGAATATATTTCGATTCAATTTCAATTTTATGAACGATCACAAATATGAATTAAAAATGGTCTGAAATTGAATTGGTATAGGACGAATCAAACAAAACATACTTTTACTCTAGTTCTGATTTTTTTATTTTTTATCTTATCATGACTAGATTATTTTTTTCTAGTCGCAAGCATTTGGTAACACGACCTCTTATTTGTCTAATAAGAATTGAGTGGAAATATATTACATGTTGAATTTCTCGTTTAATCTGTAACTCTATATTTAATTCTTGATCTCTCTTCGGATACTTCTATCTAAATTACTTAATACGGATCATCATAACTTCAATAATTTCAATATCTAAATTACTCTGCCGTTAATCTGTAACTCTATAGCTAAACTAACAAACAATTCAATAATTTCCTTGAGAAACAACTCCAAATTAAATTCTTAACTAATCCCAACATGCGTTAATCTAACCAACAAAAGGAATACAAAACTATACATAAGTTTCTTTATTGAATAAACTAAACACAATTAGTTAAACATGAGAGGATAAAACAACTAATGTATATCTTCTATCACCAATAATCTCGAGATAAATCCATAAAGACACTTATCCAAAATGAATCCGTTCATATAATCTCGAGATAAAACCCGTAAGTTGTTAAGCATTCTGTTTCAGATCAACAACTTCCCAAATCTGTTGTATTCCCAAAACAAAGAGTCAGAGCAGCCCAGGAAACAGAGCAAGAGAGTAGAGCTTTCAACAATGGTGGAAGGAGGCGCAACGACACTCGCCGACAAAACCCAGTTCAGCGAATGCTGGAAAATCACTTCCAAGAACCCTTACATCGCCCGGCTCGCCTTCTCCGCTGGGATCGGCGGCCTGCTGTTCGGGTACGACACCGGAGTCATCTCCGGTGCCCTTCTCTACATCAAGGACGATTTCGAGTCCGTCAAGAACAGCACTTTCCTCCAGGAGATCATCGTCAGCACGTGCGTAGCCGGTGCGATCGTCGGAGCCGCCGTAGGCGGCTATGCCAATGATAGATTTGGTCGGAGGAAAACGATTATGGCCGCCGATGCTCTGTTTTTCTTGGGTGCGGTGGTTATGGCGGCGGCCCCTGTTCCCGGAGTAATTATTCTGGGGAGGGTTTTGGTCGGCTTGGGCGTCGGGATGGCTTCCATGACGGCGCCGCTTTATATATCTGAAGCTTCTCCGGCGAGGATCAGAGGGGCGATGGTTAGTACTAATGGGCTGCTGATCACCGGCGGCCAGTTTGTTTCTTACCTCATCAATCTCGCCTTCACTCAGGTAAATTAAATACCACATTTGGCTTCCTTTTACTTTCTTCTTTTAGGTTTGGAAATTTAATTTTCCTGTTTTTGCTCGGTCAGGCTCCAGGAACTTGGCGATGGATGCTTGGAATTGCCGGAGTTCCTGCTCTGGTTCAGTTTGTGTTAATGTGGTCGCTTCCTGAGTCTCCAAGATGGCTTTACAGAGAGGTAAAGAGATCGTTCAATTTCAATCTCGTAGTTGGTATTGCAATTAGAAATCAATTGGGTATTTTTTTAAAATATAATTTTAGGACCATAAAGAAGAGGCGAGGTCGATTCTAGAGAAGATCTACCCGGCAGAGGAAGTGGAAAGAGAAATCGAAGCCCTCAGAGAATCCGTCGAAGCAGAGAAAGCCATCGAGCAATCAATCGGCAAAGGCACGATCTCCAAACTGAAAGGAGCCCTCTCCGACACGGCGGTCCGTCGGGGTCTCTACGCCGGCGTGACGGTCCAGGTCGCACAACAATTCGTCGGAATCAACACTGTAATGTACTACGCTCCGACGATCGTCCAGTTCGCCGGATTCGCCTCCAATTCAGTCGCTCTAGCCCTCTCGCTCGTCACCTCGGGGCTCAATGCGTTGGGTTCGATCATCAGCATGATGTTCGTCGACCGGTACGGTCGCCGCCGGCTGATGATGGTGTCGATGGTCGGGATAATCACGTTTCTGGTGATCCTCGCCGTCGTTTTCAAGGAGGCATCCGTCCACGCGCCGGCTGTCAGCGCGATGGAGAGCGCAGGGTTTGGCGGGAACATGACCTGTCCGGCGAGTTTGAATATTGGCGGGAACAAGAATTGGGGATGTATGAAATGCCTGAAAGCAGGATGTGGATTCTGCTCCAATGCCGGTAGTCAGGTACGTAAATTTAAGGTACCGATCGAGTATTAACATAGCTGATTACAAATTTAGCGGTGGAATTTACTTGATTTTTTTCTTTCCGGCAGTATCAGCCTGGAGCCTGCCTGATCGGAGACAAGGTCGCGAGATCGGCCTGCAAGGTCGAGAGCGGCCGAACGTGGTACGAGGAAGGTTGCCCGAGCAAGATCGGGTTCCTCGCCGTGATCCTCTTGGCTCTCTACATCATCTCCTACTCCCCAGGGATGGGGACGGCGCCGTGGATTGTCAATTCGGAGATTTACCCGTTGAGATACAGAGGAATCGGAGGTGGAATTGCCGCCGTGGCCAACTGGACGTCGAATTTGATTGTGAGCCTGACTTTCCTGACGATGACGGAGACCCTGACGGTGGCCGGAGCGTTCCTCACGTTCGCCGGGATCTCGCTGTTGGGTCTGATTGCGATCTTCTTTCTGGTGCCGGAGACTAAAGGGCTGCAGTTTGAGGAGGTGGAGAAGATGCTGAGAGATGGGTACAAGCCTGGGTTTTTCAGGAAGGCAGGGGATTCTGAAGGTGGCAAGTAGGATTTTGATTTAGTAGAGAGTTTGTGTTAGCATTAGAAAATGAACATTTTTGGTTCTTAGTGATTACTACTAGTTATTTGACTTTACAATGGTAAGATATGAGTTGCATTATTACGATTTGATTTGAGTTGCTAATGACGATATCAACATTTATGATCACCAATATTACGAGATGTTGCATTGATCTTTCTACCTATGGTACCTACGAGATGTTGCTTGCAGATTCTTATCCTCATTTCCGCGGTTTTCGAATACCCGCAGGGTGAATAACTTCTCCCGACTGCCAATGCATAGGAAACCTATCCCAATCTCCACCAACTGGAGCTGCATGTGAATCAATCAAGCCATGTTTACTGGTAACAATGCCTTCATTTCATTCATGAATCACCTCTGCCATTGAATTGACAATGCACTCTCTCTTGCTATAAATTCAAGCTCCTGCATGCATTATTGCACATCTGCCATTTTTTGGGGCTCTGCTTCGTGACAGAGCCATCTGTTCAGCGTATGGCTACATGAGAATTGAGATGGATAAGGCAGCAGCATCAATGAGATAGGAGATGAGAATTGTTGGAAATCCAACTCAAATCCTGAAATAAATGGTTTTTTTTTTTAATTTTATTGTCATGGTATGAGCCAAACCGTTGTGGATAAAAAATGAGACAAACCGTCGTGGACAAAAAATGAATCAAAAGCATGTTCGGTTCATTTGTTACGAAAGTGTTCGATCTCTATTCACTTTCGTTTCAATCTTCCTTGTTTATTAATATAATTTGTTGGATCGATCCTTGGACCGGCCAAATCAAACTATATTTGATCTGATTCTATTCGATCCAAATATTAATTCGATGTAGACGGGACCGTTGCACACCCTACTCAATTGAATTCTCATGATTCGAGTTTGGCTCAATTATTGGGAAACTTACATAATTTAGTTAGAAAAACTTAAAAAAAAAGTCATTTAATGTAGATCAACCACTTATGTAGTGGTGAGCTTCCTTCCTTGGACCGACCAAGGATGGTAACTAGGCGAACTATATAGTAAATCTATCTAGTGGACTGAAAACCCAAAACGACAAAAGAAAACAGTACGTGGATAACTGGCCCACAGTGGAGTGGGTAAAGAACAAGAAAGAAATAAATAAACGGACCAGGCGGGCCCAAACTTAAATTCCCCCCGACCCACGGGCCCACTGCCACGGCCTGAAAATCGCCACCTGGCTTCGTGGCTTTCAACTGAGGTGGGTCCCACTTTCCCACGTCCGTCCCCGTCCTCTCTTCCTTTTCACCTTCTTCGCTCTCGCTCCTTCTTCAATTGTCCAGTCATCTCTCTCCCCTTTCCTTCCGTTCCATTCCCATCCACGCCTAAAACGAGCCCTTCTTCTTCTTCCATCGTTCTCTCTTTCGGTCACCTAACCCTAATCGAAATTCAATTCGAATCAAACCCACATTTCTGATTCATTGCTCGCTGTATCTCTCTCTGTCTCACTGCATTGTTGAAATCTTTGCTCGATCAGATCCACCCCACTAGTCTTGCTGTGGTTACCGTTGTTGGGTGGTTCCTTTACTTCCTCTATTTGTTGTTCTCTCAGCCGGAAACCCAATTGAAAGGAGAAAGGAGGAATACGCGACGTGGTCGTTCCCGGGTAAATAAATCTTACTAGCTCCGCGCCATTTTTTTTTTTGGTTGCTTTTAGGGTTCTTCGCGGGAGGAGAAAACAAAAATGAAAAGGTTTCCCCTTTTTCGCGGGGGTTTATACGGGTGATAATTATTGATAGACCCGTTTGGCTGTTTTCTCCAGTTTTGATCCGGCAATGGCAGCCTGTTCTTTTTGTGTTCTTTTGATTTGCCTTAACCTTCAATTCCTCCACCGGTTTTAAAAAAAATTCTGTTATTGGGGCTTGGGATGGTTTCCGTCTGTTTCTCTCGCTTGAGTGGTGCTACTGAGTCTTGAGCTAGGCCAGGCTCCTTTCGAAGTTCATTTGGGGCTGGTTTTCGTTACTTTTCCCCCCAGATTCTGTTTAAGACTGCATTTTGCTCATTTAAAGTGTATGTACCGCCTGAAGTTGCCTGTTCTTTTTGCTTCGGATTTGGACAAATTATTGTCCTTTGTTCTGCGCTATCTCTTAGCTAAATTATTGTGAGTGCAATGTTCTGCGGATTTGAGGTTGGCCAAGTTTGAGAGTATTACTGCTAGAGATTCCAGTTTAAGAATGCTTAATGGTTTTTGTAGTTTTTCATGAAAAGGGGTCGTCTTAAACGCATTAGGAAATAGGAACTAATTGCCAAGGTTCAATCATGACTTACATATAAGATCATCACTGCAATGCTTATAGGCGAGGGAAAGTTTATGATGGAATGATTAAAAGGGCATAGAGTATCTTGCTTTTCCTTATGTCTACCCAACTGCCCTCTGGACCCCTGCTATCTTTATACTTACCCCACCTTTCAAGTTTTCTTGGGTTGGTCTAACTCTACCTCCTTTATCTTAGCCAGGGGAGAATTGGCACTCAAGCAAAATACTGGACCATCACTAGGGAAGATCTGGGTTATAATATGCTTCCATAGGGTGTAGGATTCTGTGAAGCTTGGTAGAAGATGGCATTTTACTCAGAGGAGGATAACGCAGATGATTACCTGTTCAAGATAGTATTGATTGGTGATTCCGCTGTTGGGAAGTCGAATTTGCTGGCCAGGTTTGCAAGAGACGAGTTCTATCCTAATTCGAAATCTACCATAGGGGTCGAATTCCAAACTCAGAAGATGGATTTCGATGGTAAAGAAGTTAAAGCACAGATCTGGGACACTGCTGGTCAGGAGCGGTTTAGAGCTGTTACATCTGCTTATTACAGAGGTGCAGTTGGAGCACTTGTGGTGTATGATATCAGTCGACGCCAAACTTTCGAGAGCATTGGCAGATGGCTCAATGAACTTCACAGTAAGAAGATCTCCTCAAGTCCTTTCTCCATATTTGATTTTGAATTGATGAAATCTGGATCCTTTGGTCTTAGATCTCACATCTTCCATGTTAAATGATGGCATCTTCTGAATATGATTTCTTTTTACACACAAAAGTTATTTTCTGTACTTTGTCAGAGAAAATGCTTTCTGTTTTCTTTGCATATGCTAATAACCTGTCATTAGGGGACAGAATCTACAGATTAATCACATGTCCATTACATCAAAACAAAAGATGTGTTCGAGAGGTTAAGATATGTTGGGTCCATTTCAATAGCTTTGTTTAAGAGGTTAAGACTGAATATTGTATTCGTTTCAGCTCACTCCGACATGAATGTAGTAACAATACTTGTGGGCAACAAATCGGACCTCAAGGAAGCTAGAGAAGTGACCACAGCAGAGGGGAAGGCTTTAGCAGAGGCACAAGGTCTGTTCTTCATGGAAACTTCTGCTCTCGACTCCTCCAATGTGACAGCTGCTTTCGAGACGGTCGTGAAGGAGATCTACAATATATTGAGCCGGAAAGTCATATCTCAGGAGCTCAAGAAACAGGATGCCCCCGAGATGGGGGATGGGAAGACAGTGGTTCTACAGAGAGATGGTGAACAAGGCGGTGAAAATGCTGACGGTGAGGCACCTAAACAAGGTGCCGGCGGGTGTTGTTGATCAATTCAGGTTTAGGGAAGGATTAAGGAAGTCTCTTTTGTTTGTGATTAGATGTTTAACATTCAAATGAGTTATCTGTGTTGCCCCCCGCCCAAAACCCTAGAAGCCACTTATGAAGAAAGTAGGGTTCTTCTTCTTGTTCTCCATCGCAGTTGATTTGGAGATATCAGTGTTGTTCATAGGAGTGGGCAAAATGTAAATGAGATTATTATCTGAAGAACGGGTTCACAAATGATTATGAGACTCCTTTAATGTTCTGTAGTGCTCTGTTGCCCTTCTCTACTTAAATTATGCATAAATTAGTTTATCTCGCTTGATTTTCTAATCGTAGTAAGGTCTTGTGTTCGATTCTTCGTATCTGAATTCTCAACCCTCTACAAGTTGTTGCATTTAGGTCTTCGTGCATATGGTGCTAAGTAGGGATGAGATGTCTGTGAGTTCATGTGGTGTGTGAGTTCATGTGGTGTGTTATCTATCGAATGATTTTCATTAATTTTCAAAGAAATAACTACTATTGACTTAAAAATGCACAATTGTGGTTTTTTAATACCAAATGTTGTACGAACTAGTGAGTATATGTATTCATTAATTCCTTTCAATTGAGATCTTTTTGGTTGATCGATTTATAATTGTGTAATGTATTATGATGTTGTTTATTTTCTTTTAGTGGGATCTTGTGTTGTGTCTAACTAGTCTTCCTTGCATAGCTATGACCAAAAGTGTAATAATTAATAATTATTGAAATGTTAAGACAGATTTGGAAATCCTAATTTAAAAAAGTCAAAATCTAAAATAAAATAATACAAGAAAAGAAAAGAAAAGAAGTCATAATGCTCATTATTAAGTCTAAACGGCGCCATTTCGGGTTCCCACTGACGGTTGCGCTCCCTTTTACAAAACCGTTAAGTGAAGGCGCGAATGAACGATGTCGTTATGCTGATAGTTAACTACCTTCCGAGCCGTCATTTCGGTTAAACCGTCACCGCTAAGAGCGGGAGTCAGAGAAAAGTCTTTCTTCCTTCTTTTATCTTTCTCGCTAAACGGAGGCTTGCTTTGCTGGTCCAGTTTCATCTCACTGGTCACAGCCCTTCCGCCCCCAAATTGGCTGCCGGAGACGACGGCGAAGGTTGAGAAAGCAAGAAAGCAAGCTAGCTCGCCATTTTCGATTCCTAAAGAGAACCACCGATTTCTCAGTCCCAAGTCCTTAAGATCGTAAGAAATTAGTGGTTTTGAGTTTGGGGAAAAGGGGGGATTTGGGGGGTGGAAGGGCGGCGGAAAGGGACGACCTTTTCTAATTTTCTTGGTGTTCTTCGGTTTAGGGGGGGAAAAAAACTCGCAGCAATGGGGAGATTGTTCATAGAGGATGCGAAGGGAGAGAAGGTGCTCATTTGCAGGGGCTGCAGGGTCGATTCCGCTTCCTACGATGACATCGAGTCCAAGGAGTTTCAGGGTCGCTATGGCCGCGCTTATCTCTTCAGGAAAGTGTGAGTTCCCACCCCTGCAACTTCTCCTTTCTCTTCTTTGCCTTTCTTGGTCAGGGGGTTTCGATTGGGTTTGTGTCTCTAAGGTGTTTGATGCATTGCCCGTGAGAGTAAAGAAACTGTGAGTTCTGGCATGGTTGCCAAGTTAGGATTGTTAGAGAATGAGCCCGCGGAGTAAAGATCAGTGGAATTGACATAGGTCTGTGACCATATTTAGCGATGAATAAATCACACTTAAGACCACTATGGTAGGCAGCCATTTGTGAAGGAAGCGCTTAATAGATGTTATAGAGGGACATCCGAAGGATTCAGTTGCTGAAAGAGATATTCTAGTAATTAGTTAAAAAGAGAGATCCTTTGGAGCTCACATGGAGATTGTGGTGGAACTGCTTCTTGATTCTGCTTTGATTCTCTTTTTGGCAGTATGAGAAAAGCTGCTGGTGTCTGATGTCTATGCATGTTCCAAGTGAGCTTTTTTAGGTGATTGATGGTGGGGAGAATTCAGATTGGTTTTGTTGGCGGCTTTTGCGATAGATAATATCACAACTTGGTTAACAATACTTTTCTTTTGCTAGACATCAGAATCTTGCAGTTGGTTTTGGATTGGATCTAGCAGCTGAACTCAATCATGTCCCTAGTGAATGCATCTGACACATACACACATGAAACAGTGGCAAAATGCAGTGGAGTTGGAGTGTGTGCCACCATCTAACGTTATTGTTTTCATATATCTTCTGCTTTCAGGGTCAACATAGTAATTGGATCCAGCGAAGAGCGAATTCTTTCAAGTGGATTCCATGTTGTTAATGACATCTACTGCAGCTCTTGCATGCAGCTAGTTGGATGGAGATATGTAAGATGACAAACCCTCCTTTTCTTTTCCATTTTCACTGACACAGATGTTGTGGATTCTTCCACTGCATTACTGGCAGAGCTTATCATTCACACTAACACATAGTTGCGAATTACTATGTGCGCTGGATGGAATATAAAGACAGGGCATAGAAGAACACTGTCCTGACTTTGTTGGCATAGTTTAATGTCACATGTGTACCTAATCATGAGTGAATTGGCAATAAGGTTCTCCTAGCTAAGAGTTCGTTTCTAACAGATTGTTGGTATTGAATATTGATTGACTTGGAAGTTGTAACCTTCATCATGTACACCACCATTCATGCTGTCTGTGATTATGGGACACCAAGTTGGCCATCCAGAGTAGTAATTCAATTCTGCTAATCAAACATTAAGGACGAAACTTCACCAGTTAATCGAATCCATTCCAGTTGAAACAGCATTGCTCTTGCATCTTGTCTCTCCGGTAGTAACTGGAAATTATGATGCTAATCGTTCCATTGCATCTGCTCGATTTACTAACCGATCTCACTCCTCTTTCCAACCATGATGTGGATTTGTTTCCAGGAGAGAGCTGAGGAGGAGAGCCAGAAGTACAAAGAAGGAATGTTCATCCTGGAAAAGGAGCGGATGGAGAAAAAGGGCGGATGATGCTCAAACCAACTCCAGCACACGATCACTTCGACGAACTGCAAACTTTGGAAGGAAGTAAGTAGGAAGTGTCAGTCACTACATCACCTAAGTCTAAATGTAACTAATTGGAGCTACGATTACTTTTGATACTCGATTTTTGCCATGTAAGTAGAGAGTATTGTCAAACTAGTAGTAGGGGGAAGCAAATGTAAGAGCTATAGGGAGTTCCTTTAGCACAGTCAGGGAGAGGGCCATTACTGTTGAAACTGAATTCTGATTCATTTTGGTCCTTTCCTTTCTATATTCTCGATGTAATAGACAAAGTTGGAGCCACAGCCCACGGATACCACCAATTGCTTCTCAGAAAGTGTCGTTTTTCACAATTATGAGTTACTTTGGGGTGGCTCTATGTGGAATGTTGTCAATATGTTGGACCATAGTGTTACATTTTGTTTCTCAAGTGGGGCTGAAATGGGTGGGTCCAAATTCAGCAAACGTGGGTGTTCATTTTGGCTTTCGTTTATTATCATATTGTTGAGCATATGAAAATGTGGGGGCAAAATGGAGAGCACAAAATTAAATAAATGGTGGTGGGGATTTAAATTTTGCCATATTTGGGTGGTGAAGGTTTTATTAGTTATAATTTAGGTGTATTGATGCCTTAATCTAACTAATTTGGATGAAAAATCTCAGGACAAAGAGATGATTGTGATTATGGTTAGTTATTTCAAGTGATCAATTTACCTATCTATTATTTATGAGTACGTGAAGGATATTAGGTAGGTGGGGTTGGCCACACACTTTGATGATCTTATTCAAGAAAAGTAGAATCGAGATAGATACGGTACGGGTGTGATGATATGAACAATGAAGCACGTTTCAATTGCACCACGAAATTGATATCCATCACACAAAATTTCAACCAACATTTGAAAAGGGAGTTGGCATCTTTATCTACCAGATCAACATGTAAAGACCCCTTGCTCTTACGACATTATCATTGAAAACTCATGGTCATTTTTTTTTTCTTAGATAAGGGTGATATAGGTTATATTTTGTAATTAGATACTACTGAAGGGATTCGAACCTGGGACCTCCAGGTTCAAGGCTCATGGTCATTAACAATTAGCAACGAAAAAGTTCGTTATCATATTAGTTATTGAATAGGGATAAAAATAACTAGAGTGGCGAACAACGGCGTGGGCTAGTGGTATTTCTACTCTTCAAACACACACATATCTAGAGTCAAAAATTACAAACCACACCTATGTTGAGGTTAAAGAAGTACAATAAGAGTTCTTTACCAAAAATAGCTATAAACATTTATTAGGTAGGGCTTATATCTAATAGATGAAATCAAAACACATCCATCTCACCCTAAATTCATTCGAACTTTAAGTCACTTGGAATCCAAATATTGGGTATACCAATAGGAAAACAGAGGAAGAAAATGCTGGATTAGTAACACCATCCACAACCAAAAAAATGGAGAAATTAACATAAATCAGTATTCTGTAAAAATTATTATTTCCAAAGAGGGGAAAGGTAAGCAATAAATGTCCCTCTCAACTAGTGAAAGCCAATCAACTTGTACAAACCCTAATTAAGATTCCAAATCCGCACTTGACAAGGACTAAACAGTTTTCTGCTGCCACATGAAGAACCTGAAGAACCCAATACCCAAAGAAAACAATTAAAAGAGAGAGAGAAAAAAAAAAGGAAAAACACCCAAACAAAATACTGTTCTGCATGTTCATATCCTTCTTTTTCTTTTTTTGTGGCCTTCTGTATCTGTCAACATTGATACAGTATCTCTGATGTATACCCACAAACTCCTGATTTTACATCTTAAAAGTTCCAGATATTCCCAAGTTGGGAAGGAAAAACAAAATTAAAACCACTATATATAGTAAAATAAAATTGATAACAAAAGAAATTAAAAAACTCCTCCTCAAAGCTCAAACCTTACACAAGAAATTCCTCCTGACTGAATTGTTCTCTCCTGCTCTGCTCTCTAACCATAATTTCGTTCGATAACCCGATAAATTGATTAGCTCTAATCTCAAGATCCTCCTCACATAAACATCAAAGGGGGGTAAGAAAAATAGGTAAGAAAGTAAACTTCAGGTCCAAGAAACATGTAATGTACCACATTTACTTCAAATGTTGATGATGTACTCTTTCACCTACAGTAGCAATCTTTGTTTTCATCCTAAGCAGCAATTCCTGAAACAGATCAATAAAACCAAAGAGAAAACAAGTATTGATCATACATTGGTTCATAGCCAAAAATTATAAGCAAAAATTCAGCGAACATGCGAGTTTGTATTAAGCGGAAGACGTGAGCTTGCCTCTATCTGACTGTCTATCAGCAATGCCATAACCACCAGCATAAGCTGCAGTATTCTTAGTAATAACATCCGAAGCTGCATTTCCAATTCCAGAATCAAACAACTCTGATGTTGGGGATCTCCAGGAAGAATCTCCATAGAGTGAACTATTCTCATAAATGTCAGCATAAGCCGCCCTGTCATAACCTCCATTTGCAGCAGCAGCACGCGATGCCACAGGCGCAAAACCCGCCCCACTGTTTCTTCCATATCCTCCCCCTCCTAGTCCAACACTAAACTCTCCACCACCGACATTGTTATACGCGGGTCCCAAACCACCACCTGGCCCTGCATTAACCGAGGAATCCCAAAGAGCTCCAGAAAAGGAACTGAGCCCCGAGTTCCAACCTCCGCCGTTCGAGTTTGCATTTTGAGAAATGTTATCATTGCTCCACAAAGTACGAGAAACAGAATTCAAGCCCGAATTGTTTCCTCCTCCATAACCAATGGGGCTCCAGTACCTGTTCGAATTGCCACTGTATGAAGGACTCAACCGGCCGAACCCAATGTTTGACCCAAGGCTTGAGTTGCCACCATAACTTGGACTCAGACCTTGCTCGAAATTTAGACCTGATCCATACCCGCTATTGAATGGAGAAAAGCTGCTACGACTTGCAGTGACTGGCATGAATCTACCATCCATTCTAAGTCCAACAGAATTTGGATTGTGTGCCTGAGGGGAGTAGCCATTGAGGAAGCTATTGACTCTGGTAATTCCATAGTTATATCCAGCAAACTGGTTCGACCTGGCCGGACCAGAGGAGGATAGTTCCTTTGGAACGGCCCGTTTCACCTCAACCATTTTGCCATTGAGCTCATGGAATGTCTTGTACAGCACTTTATCCACAGCTTCTTCTGAGTCAAAGGTGATGAACCCGAAACCTCTTGGCCTTTGAGTGTTGTGGTCGTACATGACAACAACATCAGTGATTGTTCCAAACTGATCGAAGTAATTCTTGAAGTCGGTCTCTGTTACTGTCGATGCTAAACCTCCTACGAATATTTTCTTGGTCCGAGTTGGACCAGGTGATCCGTGAAGGCTGCTGTTGTTGCTGGTTCGGTTCAGAATGTTCTGATCGTCCCTAGGCACGGCTTTCTTCGCCTCAACCTGATGATCAAAATTTCATCAAACAAAAGATGACCACTACTAAATGACCATACTTATCAGCAGACATCAGGCATCAATCTCTAGTACAGCATTCTCATTGGATAATTTTCGTATGTATGCTCGTGACTTGCTTATCTATCTCAGATTGTTCATCAGTCTAGCAAAGATCAAGTGTGCTCAATAGAATCATGATGCATCTAGCTAAAATTCAAACTATAAGGAAGCTAGGAAGACATCTTTAGATATAACAAACACCATTGAATTATGGAAGTCATCACTGACATCACTTTCTCGATTCATATCTATCACTCTCCTGTTCTTCATGATCTGGATATTCTAAGATCCCGAATTGTGATGGTCATTCTCAATTCATGCTCTTCAATGCAACCAAACAAGGATCCAATTATCATAATTCACAAGCTTCAAATCCATAATTCAAGTCATATTGATGCCAACCACACTAACTTTCAACACTACCTTCAATTTGTAATGACACAAAAATAGAATCATGAATTTGGACCACAAATTGAGCATCTTGAACTTACATTTCGACCATCTATGAGGTGCTTCTGCATCACAACTCGCTCAGCAACAGCAGGATCAGCAAAGACAACAAAGCCGAAGCCGCGGGCTCGACCTGTGGACCGATCCTTCATAATCACAGCTTCCAGAACGTCCCCAAATACCTGGAAATACTCTCTCAGACGGTCTTCATTGGTGTCCCATGAAATCCCACCAATGAACAGCTTTCCGAGATCCATTTCCAAATCCTGAAAAAAACCAGTTGTCTCTAAAAGTTCAACAATTCTGATGATAATCAAATAACGGGATCTGTTAACCAAAACACACAATTCTCTATAACCAGGAACAATCCAAAAAACCCAGCAATCCGCATACGAAGAAACACCAAAATGCTGATAGAAATGAAGAATACCTTGACGCAGAAATCAAGCAGAAAAAAGCTCACCCAGATTTTATATGCAGGGATGTGTCTCTGTATCAAGTGGGTACTCTTGGATTCAATCCAGAAAGGCTTTACGAACTACTAACCGATTGATCGATAACTAGGATGAGGCCAAAAGGAAACCGATCGCCACCCAGTAATCCAAATGAACGGAAGACAAAAGCTTCGACTAAGAAATGTGTGATAACTAATAAGATCCAAAATTTAAGATAGCAATTACCCAAAAGGAGCAGGCTTTTCAGTTTTTTCCTCCTTTTTTCCTTAATGTTTCCCCTTTCTTTCTGTGTGGGGAAGAAGAACACAGAAAAGAACTGGTTGATTGATCAAAGAGAAAGAGAACCCAGATGAGGGGGAGAGTTGAGGGAGAATCTCAAGATCTGAAGGCCTCACGACAACAACAACAAAAGAATAAGAAGAGGGTGTGAGTGAGCAGCTAAGGCTCTCTCCCCTTTTTGGTTCTCTTTCTCTTTTCTTTCTTCCCCTTTTTTTCCTTCCTTCCTTCTTCCCTTTCTCTCTTCTTTGATATAAATTTACTGACACTGTTCTGGATTTCAATTGGGATTTGTATTTATATGTGTTAAAATGGATTTGCGATTTGGTATTTACCAGAAAGGGTGGGAGAGAGAGGAGAGGAGATGTGAGGGAGAGAGGGAAGGGGAGAAGGTTTGGTTTTTTGGTAGAAATAGGTTGTAAGGTCTAATGTGCATTAAAAAATCAATCTAGATTTGGACTACCAATAATGTTATACATAATTCCATAAGTTAAGCTAGAGTTCTAGAAAATGAATAATATGCACACATAAAAATGTAAGTGATTTTGATTGGTAAGGAAATCTGCAACATAAATTTTCTATCGAATAATATGAATAAGATAACATATATTAGTGAAAATATAGCCATTGATGAATTATGTACCCATGCATTTAGCTCAGGCGTGATCAATCGGAATGTTGATTATGGTGAGAGCCACAACAGAGTCTACCTACAAAGCTACTTTATTGAATCTAAATATTCATACTACCTCGATAGCACGAAGAGCTCTCATCATCTGAATTCTTTTGAAACCCTTAATGAGATGGTCGTACGTCCGAGAAAGCCAATGAAAGATAGGACGATGTCGGGCTTTACACACCCCCTGCCCGACAGAGCGGGATAATTCTCTCCAGATTTTCTCCTTTGATCATGTTGCCTACACATCGAATATGGAGAATGGTAGACAGAGCCATCAATGTTAACACCAACAAACCTTGTGTATGGAATCTTTCGGTGAATGCAAATTTGCATATCAACCCGTCCACCTTGTGCTCTTGCTCAGTAGTCGAGTCGTGCAAACATGTTGACTCCATATGCTAATAAGATGGTCAATCAATACAATGATCACAAATTTGTTATCAAGGTTTCATTTTAGTACTTCCACAACGTCCCACAAAGTAATACAAATGTGGTAGGATTGGTGAAATTATTTATGAAAGATAGTATTGTGTCTAATTCTTAATATTGTCTCGAAAGAACATAGCATCAGGCTCATATTGCAGTGACATTTGACCCTATAAAAGCCAAGTTATTTGTCCCTCCATTTGACTCTGGACCATAGCTCCCCTAACTCCATGTAATATAATTTCATAAGCTAAAAATTGAAACATCTTTAATCATCCCGAGTTTTCATTTGATTGAATTTTGTAACACACTTGACAAGTACATAAAACCTTTTTGTCCTGAAAGTGATAAACAAATAAATAATATTGAAGGGGATAAATTAAAGATGAAGAGATGTGTGAGAGACAGAAGGGATCACTTGTTCTCCCCCACTAATCAAACCCATAACCCCAACAACCTCTCTGTAAATTATTCACACACAAAAAATTACAAATGAAATAATCTTTGGAATCAATAATGAAAATATTATTGTGTTATTATGTGTATGACCCATTGGTCCAATTTGCATTTAAAATGTATGCAACAACAATTTTTTCTGTAATAAATTTATGCAACATTTGTGTAAACTAGTTTAAAATGGGTTCAAATCGAATCAAATCTTTATAGGACTAAATTGAAAGTGGAGGGAGAAAAAAAAAGAGAACGATCATCATTTGATTTATCATCGCCAATCCATATTTGTTTCCACTCGATCCCGATATTTCTTCGTACTATTTCAAGAACGATTGAGTCAACTCAAAGTCGGTTGATGCGGAAACTAGAGAATCTAAATCCGCATGAAACATAAATGAGATTAAAACACCAATCTCGATTTGATCGCATCTAAATGTTTGTAAGTTTTCTCAAATTTCAAAATCAACCATACTTCTAATCTAATTCTTTAACAACAAAGTTCACTTGGTTATAGACAACATCCGACTTTCTTCTTACGAATTTTCCTCTCTAACCAATTACAAATGAGAAAAATATCTTGATATCGAAACACAAAATTTATCACCATCATATCACATCATGTTTTTTCATCCACACCCATCCACTCTCTCTCCAATCTTCATTTACTTTTAATCCTTCGGTTTGAGTGAACCAACACAAGTAAAACTATTCCATCAAATGAGGTGAATTCTTTTGGGTTGGTATGAAAGATTTTGATTGATGGGATGAAAAAAAATGGGTGGCAAATGGTGAGAACGATGTTTAGAGCAAATGTGGATAGAAGATAGATTGGAATTGGATAGATAATACTATGCCTATGTGACCTTATTCGGACCACACTTTTTGCCGCATATTATATTTTGGTTGCCTTTCATTATTTGCCCCTTCTTTTATGTGTCTTTGTCTTGTAATACGGTATGGGTGAAAAGGGTTTGTACGTGAACATCAAGCTTTCACCTTTTCTACGTTTAGTAAATGGTGAAACTTCAACAACCTAGACGTAAAAAACAAATGAAATTCTTACACTATACAAGCCAAGTTAGTTACCCTTCCATGGTATAAGTAATAATGTATTTGAAGATGGCTCGATTGAATTATACATCTTAACCGTCACTTATCTAATCATATAGATATCATTATCACCGAATAGTGAGACAAATATGGACATTTGCTTCGATATGACAAAAATGATAATGATAAACAAATGATCAAGTACTCCATATAGGAGATTGAGGTGTAATGTTTTATGTGTCATCAAGTAGGAGAGCCTTCTTAGCTAGCTAGCTAGCAATGGAAACATATTCGGAATGAACAAACTGCAAGAGTGCCCATGATTTGAGCAAGATTACAATGAGAATGTAGCTCTCACATCGTATGTTAGCCTTGTGTCCCCTGGGCTACGATGAAGAACATTGGCATAGATACTTAACGTTGATGTGGTCTAAACACGTACAATACTATAAATCCAAATCAGGATGATGTAACTATGAAAATGATTTATTGAGACAATTGCAACTTATTCAATCACCTTTTTCATATAATAATCATACTCAATAGCCTTTAGGAATTACACTCTAGTATATGATAGAGAGGAGGCAATTAATAACCTATCATCTTGCTACTCGTGTTACGAGTGTCTGTTTACCATATGATTCACATTTTGTAATCTAAAATTAAATACCGACGGAAACCACAACCCACCAATCTTCTTTTGCTTTACATTAGGTAGTCAATATGATCAAATGTAAACTCTACATTGCATAAGCAATTGACCTTTTTGCTAATTTTCTAATTTGAAAAATATGCAAAAGACTTGTATATATATTTTGATTGATTACGACATATGAGAGCACAACATGATTTTAATCCCTTCTTCATGCCTATCACAAGTTCCAATTCAATTAGACAATTCTCATGTGAGAAAAACAATAAACAAATTATTATACTATTATTTGGTATCAAGATTTTAAACATATGGATTAGCTTTCCCACAAGCCAGCTAAGAATGGAAAGGCTCCAATCTATAATTGTTATAGCTGTATAAAGGTGGTGGTGGTAGTGGGGAATCATCATCAACACATATATATATACACACATACATAAACTAACTTACTTTTATTTTTATATATATAGACTATTTATTATTAAATAGAATGATAAATTGTAGACCCTCCATTAGAAAAGCCAATGTTTGATGCCATTTGGTTGGCTTAAACAACTCCACATACAAAGAGGGGAACCATCTCGTCTCAAGGTAATTTCAACGTATTGTTATTCACGTTCATATTTATATGATCTAATTTCACGAATTTTTGAGAATTTTATGTCATTCTATAATCTATGCTCGATTTAAATATCGTTCTTCAATTATTGCTCAAATCAATAAATTGCATAACGAACCAGCTAGCAGGTATTAAGGATCGGGTTAAATGGCTCCTTCCTAATCCTCTACTTACTATAAAAACACTTTATTCTTTGCCTAGGTATAAGTTTAGTAAATTAATGATGCAAAGGAAACACATGCATGATTGGGGTCACATGAATCATGATAACTAGCACGGAGCCCGGCCTATTGGCCGGGTTGCTCCTGAAATATTTCTTGTTTTTCTTTTGTGGTAGTGTATTTTTTTCCGATGAGTGGAAGTAATGAAATAGATTGGAATTCTAATTTATTTCTCATAGGTGAGGGCAAAAAACGTGGATTACTCTTTCATATTATTATGACCACTTTATGAAACAAAATACCAAATTAAGCATAGAAAAAATGAACTAAAATAAAGTGATCATTTCACATATTTACTTTAAATATTGGTACATTTATATATAAACATCAAACTTTTCGACCAACGAACCGAACCCATATCACTTATATTACTGATTTTAGATTAGTTTGGATTTCTGACCATCATAAAAGAAAAATACTATAATACATAAACCCCAACTATGGATCAAAAGTAAATGAAAAAAGAGGACGGAATAAATAAATAAAAAATAACTAATTCATTGTCCAAATGTCTTACAGAAAAGATAGTGATTAAAAAGAAAAGTGTGGGGGACGTGGGAAGTGAGGTTGTAAAAGAAGGAAGTTAGTCTCACTCTCACCTGTTCAAGAAAAGAAACCGTTAACTTTTACCAAAAAATAAAAAAACTGCTAACAATTTTGTGCGAACAGGACAGAAGGAAGTGACAAATTAGCCCTTCCGATACATGCGGTTTGATCAGCAGAGATTGACGTGGCAAACTCTTTTTTTTACATTGGCTTATATGTTTTTGTAGAATATGTTTTTATAGATAACCGGTAAACAAAATAAATAAATAAATAACAGCAATAACTGAAGCGTGGCGTGCTATTGCATAGCTCTTGAGGTAGCTTAAAAAAGTAAAATGGGCTATCTCTCCGTTAAGTAGCTAGGCCCAAAGTGGTAATTAATATTTGGCCCAATTAGTAGAACCATTCATCATCATCATCTTCTTCGTCGATGGAAACTGACGGTTTATTCTAATCAGTAAACACCACCATTACACTATTACAACTATAGAAGAAAAGCTTTGTTTCACCATCTGCAGATGGACTAATTAGTCAATTGAGAGAACACCAAGATGCTCAATCGGACGGAGAGAGGAAATACCCAGGTGGTCTAGGTCGCCGACCCGTTCAAAGGGAGTGGGAGTTTTGCTAGATCAGGCGACAGCGGCTCGGTAGAGGAGATTTTGAGAATGGGTGTGAAGATGAATTTGTGAGCGATAGTGGGCTGGGCACGGTGGAGGGGAGAAGGTGGAATCGAGATTCAGTTTGGATTAAAGAGTGGGTGGTTTACAGGGGATGGGGTGCTTTGTCTGTCAACTCAGAGCGAGAGAGAGAGAGGTAACTTTACCAAACAGAAAAATAGCGAGAGAGAGAGAGAGGCGTTGAATTTACTGCTTTAACCCTCCGTTTTGTGCGGTTTGGCGAGGAATAGCTGATGTGGCAATATGTTTATTTTGACATTGCCTTATAGTAATTTGTAGATTATTATCCATAATTTTGCCTTTTGTTTTGCTGCCTGGACTCCCACTATCCCCTCTTTTTTTTTTCCCTAACAATTTTATAATTATTCCTCCCTCTTTTATTTTGAATTTGAGTTTCTTTTACCGGTATCAACTAATGATGAACACATGCAAAATTGATCTGGTTGGGTTTTTCTTTGCTTGCAAATAAAATATCAACGATTTTCTTAGTGAGTTAAATGTTAATTGGAATATTGATTCACTATGTAATAAACGAGTTGAGCTCTTGAAAAATAAAATAATTTCAACTTGTTCGATTTGAAAACAAAATTTATCATTGAATTATTCTAATGATGTTCATGAGCAGACCTTATCCAACGAGCTAAAAATATAAACAAATAATTTCAAAGTTAAATCTCATAGCAAATCAAACCGAAACAAATTAAATTTTCGATTAAACTCGACTCGATTATTATAATCCTAAGGAAACAAGAACAACAGAAGACAAAGTGGAGAGAATAAATTGTGCAAAAAAGTCAAATTTTTTGCCTCTTTAGGCCGTGATTTCTGATTTCTCAAAGAAGACAACAAAGTACAGCATAAGGTTAGCTGTCAACAAAACGAGCGGCCGTGATTAAATCAAGCTTTGCGAGTGCATCTACTTTGCTATAGACTCGCTAACAGGTGATCAAAACAATAGCGGCGGGGGACGTTTTCATTTTTTGCGGGAAAATTTCCCAGCTCTCTCTTCCGTCGAAGCTGAACAGTAAAACCCTAATTTTTAGAGAAACGAATACAATGCCAAGTCCATCTCTTTCTCTGAATTAAGTCAATTAACCCTTTGGCCAAGCAAATTCCATTATTCCCCCTCTTTTGTGGTTTGCTAGATGTTTGCTGTTTCGAGAATGAAGGCTCTGTTTCCCCTTCAAATTTCCCATCCCATTGCGCCGTCCTTGCCTCACGCTGTCGCCTTGTTCTCCGCAGCTCCCAAGTCGACGCTTTTTTCTATTTATCCCGCAGTTACTCAGTTCCCCGCTTCTCCATCTCTCAGACCCATCATGGGTTCATCTGGGCCGACGTTTTCTCGTGTTCAAAACCGGAACTTTCGGCCAGCGGAGGCTGCGGGTGATTTGACGACGTCCTACCCCTCCGGCGAAATCCACGTCATTGTGGGTCCGATGTTCGCCGGCAAGACCACCAGTCTCCTCCGACGTGTTCAGTCCGAAAGCGAGAATGGCAGGTCCGATCTCCTACTCCAACTCACCTTCGACTACTTTTGTTTTCCTGTTCGTTTTCCATTATTCTGTTTTTTTTATTGTTATATTTGGTTATGGGATTTGGTGCATTTTGAAGAGGCTACGCGGTTCGATTGAAATGAATTAGATTCTGAGCAATTTGTGTTATATCCGACTGTTTTGGAACCCAATTATAAATAGTGGAAGTTACCAGCTTTCAGGTTAGAAATTGGCTCCAGTTGGATAGAACTTTTCAGGATCTTTGTTTCTCGGGGAGATTGAATGAAGCTGTGAGTCTCTTGTGGCGTACTGAATCACCAGTGGACGATAGAACCTATTCGCTCATGTTGAAAGAATGCATTCTCACAAGTCGGTATAAAACCGGGAGAAGAATCCATTCACAGATGCTCGTTGTTGGCCATCTTCCCACTGAATATCTCAAGACCAAGCTATTGATCTTCTATGGAAAATGTGGAGACCTAAGAACTGCACTTGTGATTTTCAACAAGCTAATTGACAAAACTCTAATCTCCTGGAATGCCATTATCTCAGGCTATGTGCAGAATGGCCTTGAACTAGTGGGGCTCAGTCTTTACGCCAAAATGAGACAAATCGGCTTGACGCCTGACCCTTACACGTTTTCTTCCTTGTATAGAGCCTGTGGTACTCTAGTCTTGTTGGAACTTGGGAAGCAAGCTCACGGCGTCATGATCAAGTGCAATGTTGAAGATAATGTGGTTGTCAATAGTGCCCTTATCGATATGTACTTGAAGTGCAGTGACCTAGTTGATGGGCAGAAGGTGTTCAATGAAATGCCAAATAGGAATGTGGTGACCTGGACGTCTCTGATCTCGGGGTATGGTCAGCATGGAAGAGTTGAAGAAGTTTTGGAATTGTTTAGTAGGATGAAGGAAGAAGGGTTTCAGCCAGATCATGTCACTTTCCTTGCTGTGTTATCTGCTTGTGGTCATGGAGGAATGATCGGTCAAGGTTGGGATTACTTCTCATCGATGAAGATTTATGGGATTGAGCCAAGATGGAAGCACTATGCTGCCATGGTTGATCTCTTGGGTCGAGCGGGAAAACTCCAAGAAGCTTATGATTTTGTTCTGAGCTCTCCACTTAAGGACCATTCGGACATATGGGGTGCTTTGCTTGGTGCTTGTAGGATTCATGGAGATATGGATCTGGCATCGATTGCAGCTAGAAAGTTCTTAGAGTTAGAACCGGGAAACGCGGGTAAGTACGTGGTATTATCGAATGCATATGCGACTGGTGGGTTCTGGGACTGTGTTAAAGATATCAGGGGGGTGATGAGAGAGCTTGATATTATGAAAGAGCCTGCTTATAGCTGGATTGAGATTCAGGGGGAGGTTCATGTGTTCTCAACACGTGATAAATCTCATAGAAAGTCAGAGGAGATACGGAGTCTCATTGTTGAGATGACGAGCATTTTAAAGGCTGATGTCTGTGATTTGGAGATTGATGAGCATTAGATCATGATGACGTTGGAAGTTGAGTTATCCCGAAATTATCTGAGTTGAGTTATCCCTAAAATATCCTAGTAATCGGAATCGAGATGCTTGATTTACTTTGTTAAATGAATTGATTGTTCTTGTGTCTATGTTTTGCAGAAGTGTGGCTGTTGTAAAATCGGACAAGGATACAAGATATGGTTTGGACTCAATTGTAACACATGACGGTCTGAAATTGCCCTGCTGGTCATTGCCCAAATTGTCGATGTTCAGACAAAGTCTTGGTGTTGATGCTTACAACCAGGTTAGAGAATTTGGACGTTGGATACCATTCTCAGCAGTATGCTTGTATATAGATCTCAGTTTTACCATTCTAAACGCAACGTATTTGTGACAGCTGGATGTAATTGGGATTGATGAAGCTCAATTCTTCGGAGACTTGTATGATTTCTGCCGCGAAGCTGCTGATCAGGATGGTAAAACTGTAATAGTAGCTGGCCTAGATGGCGATTACATGAGGTAACACTTTAGACACTTCACTCTTTCAAACTTGCGATTCGATAAAATGTGCCTCTGGTTTCATAAATGATCCCCCATTGTTAACACAGGAGGAGTTTCGGTGCAGTTCTCGACATAATCCCACTTGCTGATTCCGTGACCAAGCTGAGAGCTCGCTGCGAGCTCTGTGGCAAGCGTGCTTTCTTCACGTTGCGAAAGACGGATGAAACAAAGGTGGAGCTGATTGCTGGGGCTGACGTTTACATGCCGGTTTGCCGGCAGCATTATGTCAGTGGACAAGCAGTTGTTGAAGCTACAAGAGCTGTTGTAGAAGAGTCTTCCCAAAAGGTGCAGATATAGGCTAAGTTAGCAGGGCTGTAAACTTACAATATCCCTTGTGATGGGGAAATATATCGGTTTTAGGAAAATTGAAACCTTGTCAAGTACAAATGGCAAGGCAGTCTGTACATATTGGTTGGTTCTTTCTCCCCAGAACTTGCACCAACTTAGAAGCGGGAGGAGTTGTAGTTGTGATAGTTTCCTTCTTTCCTTGGCCAATCTCAAGAGCCACGAGTAAAAACAATGAGTTCTAGTTAATTCCAGGGAATCAGTTGATTAAAAAGTAAAGAACTTTGCTGCATCCCATTTGTTTACAAGATGAATCTTCACTGAAGTTTGCTTTGAAGTTCTAGTTCAGGACCATATAACAACTTGTAGTTGTTGGGGACCAGCATGTGAAAACCAGAAAAGTTGAGGGACCAAACCGAGCAAAGTGTTAGTGTCCCGCGTGGCCGTATCCCGCTCCTCAAACGACTAAACGACGCCGTTTCAAAGCAAAGACTACCGCCGGTTAACAGTCATTTTCGATGCGCGCGGTCTCCGGTTCCAGTGGTTTTAACCGGGCCTTACTTTTTTACTAGCAAAACTGTTCCACAGAGAGAAGAGCAGTTGAATTTGCTGCTGCTCGGAGAGGAAGAGAGAAGCTTCGAGGATCGTCGGAGGAGCCGTGAGCTATCACCGGCCGCCGCTTCTGCAGCTGAATTTGCTGATAAATGGTTGGTGATGTCGCCGCTTCCATTGGGTCGCTGTATCTTTGATTTTTATTTTGTAAAGTTCACTGCTTTTTTATGGGTCTCCTTGTCAATTGAGACCTTCTTCTTTCAATTGCAGACTAATGTCCAGAGGGTCAAACCGAAAGCTTGTTTCCCGTGCAATCATTCACCTGAAAGTCTTTCCCAGAACCCCATCTATAATCCTTCCCCCGCCCGCCTCCCATCGTTTTTTCTCCGATTCACAGTTGGAGCTCAAGGGTTCAAACGATGAAAATGAATGGGAAAGATTGCTTAAAGCATTTGACCTCAAAGAGCTTCGAAGGACTCTCAGTAATAGAATCACCCCATTTCAGCTCTGCAAGCTGCTTCATTTGCCTCTCGATGTCTCCATTTCCATGGAGCTTTTCAACCGGGTGGGCGCTCAGAAGGGCTACATGCACACATTTGATGTATACTATGCTTTAATCGATAAGCTTGGTGGTTCGAAGGACTTCAAATCTATAGAAAAGTTATTGGTGCAAATGAAGGAGGAAGGGATTGTCTTCAGGCAGTCTTTGTTCATCATGATCATGAAGCATTATGGCAGAGCTGGTTTCCCTGGGCAAGCCACTAGATTATTGTTAGATATGAAGAATGTCTATTGCTGTCACGTCACATTCAAGTCTTACAACGTAGTCCTCGAGATACTCGTCGCTGGTAATTGTCCTGTTGTCGCGTCGAATGTTTTTTATGATATGTTGAGTCGAGGCATCTCGCCGAATGTTTACACATTTGGAGTGGTGATGAAGGCTCTCTGTATGGTCAATGAAGTGGACAATGCTTGTTCTCTGCTTAGAGACATGACCAAGCATGGATGTGTGCCAAACTCTATTGTTTACCAGACGTTGATACATGCTCTATCGAAGAGGGATCAAGTTGATGAGGCTCTGAAGCTCTTGGAAGAGATGTTCCTCATGGGCTGCAGACCTGATGTAGATACATTTAATGATGTTGTTTATGGGTTATGTAGGGCCGAGAGGATCCACGAGGGTGCTAAGTTGATTGATCGGATGGTTCTGCGTGGGTTTATCCCGAATGGAGTGACGTATGGATACCTAATGGATGGTTTGTGTAGATTGGGAAAAGTAAATGAGGCAGTTGCCTTACTGAACGAAGTACCGAGCCCTAGTGTTGTCCACTTCAATATCGTTATCAATGGGTATGTGAAGAGTGGTAGACTCGATGAAGCTAAGGAAATTCTCTGTAGAAAGATGATAAACAGTGGATTTATCCCTGACCACTTCACATTCAACATACTTATACACGGGCTTTGCAGGAAGGGGTTGTTTGGTTCCGCTCTCGAGATTGTTGATGAAATGGGTCGGAAAGGTGTTGAACCAAATCTGAACACGTTCACGGCTTTGATTGATGGTTTCTGTAAGAAAGGTAAGCTTGAGGAAGCTAGCCGGATCTATGAAGTGATTGCAGATAGTGTTACTTACAATACTCTAATTCACGCTTTCCTGAGGCGGGATGATACCCAGGAAGCGATCAAGCTTATGAACGACATGGTTTTTCGAGGGTGCTCTTTGAATGAGACAACTTACAATAGTTTAATACGTGCACTATGTAAAGCTGGGGCTGTGGAGAAAGGGTTAGGCTTGTTTGATGAAATGATCAGGAAGGGTTTGGTTCCCAGTAATATTTCAGTTAACATAGTGATCAATGGCCTGTGCAAAGCTGGTCAGATGAACAATGCGATGGAGCTTTTGCGAGACATGATTCATCGAGGTATTGAACCTGACATCGTTACCTATAACAGCCTGATTAACGGTTTCTGCAAGATGGGACGTGTCGACGAGGCATTGAATATTTTCCGCAAACTGGTGGTTGAAGGCATACAACCCGATGCTGTGACTTATAACACTTTGATTTGCTGGCACTGCCGAAAGGGAATGGTCGACGATGCTTATTCACTTCTGGATAGAGGTGTCGAGATTAAATTTATACCAAATCAAGTGACATGGAACATCTTAGTCCATAATATTGTTAAGGATGGTGGAAGAGAGAGTCTGGTATTTTGTTTGTACCAAATCATGCGATGAGACATGGAATATCTTGGTCCACAATATTGTTCTGGATGGTGGAAGAGATAATCTGGTACATTGAGGCATATGCTTAGTTTTAGCTTCCCTGAAATGGCAATCAGGTTAGCTTGGCCCTGCCGGAAGGTAATGCTTTATTCGAGCTTCTTGAATTCTACTCTGATACCCAAATGGAGATTTGCCTGTTTTTTTTTTTTTTTTGTTCAGAACATCACATTGTTTCATGAAATATTATCCAACAGACTAGGGTAGAATCTTCCTTCCAAAAGGTTTCTGGTGTTATTTTTTCATTATGATTATGGAGATAGAGCTCGATCTAATGGGTTAACAGCTTAACAGGTCAAAATTGCTTAGGTGGCTGATCAAGTGGCTTCATAAGTCTCCAATGCTTGCCGTTTGAATTGACAGGTCATATTGCAGTGCCCATTGAACACCCTTCAACCGCATCAGCATCAGATTTGCTGTAACCTTTTCTTTACTCCACCCCAAACTTGACATTGTATTTACTCTCCAAGATTGCCAAATTAATTATATATGGTTGGACTGCTGAGTGAAATTCGGTTAGATCGGGACGGAGTCCGGATGGATATCCTTGTGTAGCTTCATCACTTGAACTACTGCAGCAAGCAATAGATACAGACTCAACCTGTTCTTTGACCATATGTTGTGAGACTCTCCCAGGATCCTTGTGGTAATTATTGATGATTCACTCGAGCCTTTCTTGTTTTTCTTTTTCTTTGCCTAATATTGGTTTTCCATCCTGATAAAAAAAAAAACTGATACTTGTTCTTCGAAATGTTCAGGAAGTACGCTGCGCAGAATGTATCAGCACTACGGAGATTGTCTACCCGCAGAGAAAGTACTTCATACGGCTGGCAATGTAATAACCAGGAGGCATCCATCAAATATCGAAATGAGTTACCGTCATTGTGACGCGTCGTTCATTTGGAGTTTCTTAAGTAGATCCACTTTTAATCTTCTATATTACTACAGTTTATGATTGAATTCGTTGTACAATTTTGTCTCTATAATTTTTTTTTAAGGAATGCAGACTACATTTGTTGTAATTTAGCAGACTGAACAATGGCGGAAATTACTGAATGAGGTATTCCAGAAGGCACATAACAAAATAAATCATCTGTAATCAAAGTTGATACACTGGCTGAATCGAACATGATAAAATCACACACATTACACAGTTCAGCAATATCGACTATACCGGAATCCACACTCAGTTCCTACCACTGATACAATCTAAACTCATCAATAAAATATCTTCAATCTCGGGACATACATTATACATACAGAGCATTCAACAGCTTGCAAACTTCTCGAACAATAATGGAAGCAGGCAACGCTTCATCAACCGAATAACCTGTAAAACAAAAACATATTGACAATGGAATAACAAAGTGCTCTAGGTCTGAGCAAGAAGAACATGACCGAGTCTCCTACTCTTACTCGCCATTTAATGCCAAGAAACACAATGACATCTGTCTTCTCATCAAGACAATAAGAGATGAATAAGCGAAAGGAGACATATCATTGAACTCTTGAGTTTCCAACTGCTTTAACTAAAGAGACTCGCAAGTCGCAAATCAATAAACAACAAGTGAAAGTTTCAAACTTGATAACAATGCCTCAGAATTGCAGAATTGACAGCAAGGCCCATTCGAAGGGCCATTCAGTCCCGAAAGATGGTGTTCTTTTATAAGAGATTTCCTCACAGGCATTCATTCATTCACACAAAGAAAGGAGAGATTTTTAGTGAAAAACTAGAGAAGGGTTGTAAGAATGTTTGTCTCATGCCTAGTCCCAGTAGGTAAAGGCGGCGACGCCGCTCCAAAAGGTCCATGAGAATGAGACCAGACCCTCAAAAGTTCCCCGCCCGGCGGAGATACTCCGGTGAAGGAGCACCTCAACGCTAAGCGGAGAGGGGGCCATCGATATTCGACGTTTACTCCGAATTTTACAAGCATTCGACTTTCGTCGGCTTGCTCCGAATTTAAGAGCAAAGCACGTCGGAATTTGCAGAAACAGAGATATCAGTTACAGGAAAACAAAACCCAAAAACGGAAAACTCAAATCGATTCGAAGCAGGACAGGAAATCAAGAGGAAGAACAAAAAGAAGATGAAGGAGAGATCTGATATGGGCGACGGTGATGGAGAGGAATACAGAGGAGACGGTGGCTTTTATATACAGCGTGAGTCGTGACTCGTGAGAGAATTGGCAGAGGGAAAGGATATTGCCGCCGACTTGCGGGAAAAGGGTTGTTTTTCGCGGCAGCTGTTAGGGTTTTCTTGCAAGATGGGCCGGGAGCTAGACTTAATTGTTAGTTTGGGCCGAGCGTGGTGATTGTCGGTACACTAAGGGGCCCAAAAGAAAGAAGTCCGTAAATAAAAAATTTGCTTTCATTGAGAGTTGAACTCAAGACCTCCCGCTTACTAAACGGGTGCTCTAACCAACTGAGCTATGAAAGCTTTATTGATTAATTTTCCTCCTAAGACTTTACATAACGTGTTTTTGTAAATTTAAATTTACGATTTATCGTATGCATAAATGTGATTTGAGGCGCTCGTATGAAGATGTTGGGTGTGTGGTCAATTAAGAGATATCCATGATACAATGAAGTCTATTCAATGTCGCCTCGTCATTAGAAGATCTCCCTCGTGTAGGTCTTTAGGTACATGTATCATTAGATATGTATATAAGTGAGTTGGTACGCTCGTTTTGTCTTAAGATGCACGAGTGATCAACTAGGAGACAACCATGATATAGAAAAAGTCTGTCGATGTGGCCTTATCATTGAAGGTTCTACTAACGTGTCGCAACCATATAGCTTGGCATCATTTGTGAAATGTCGGGAAAAAGTATCATAGATACATAGTAGTTTAGAATTGAGGGATCAAACCTTGTAGCTAGTTAATAAATGAGATGCAAGAAGTTAAAAAGGCATTTGATTGATAAAAACTGAATGAAGGATTTTAAGTTAAAAGGTATTATGTAGGAAGTCAGACTTCATAATCTAATTAGGGCAAAATTAAGTTTGAAGTAATAACAATGAATCGCTTCTTTTAAAGGAAGGGCATTACAAAGCAATGTCAAATTTACAAAATACATCAAACAAAGATGAAAACACTAACCACAACAAAAAAACAAAAATGGTGACAATTAAGAACATGCTGTCCAAAGACAATACGAGACTACAAATCATGGGAACATTACTAACATCTACAACTCTGAATGATCAGCAGCAGCATTCTTCTCATTCTCAATCGCATTCCACACATTCTTCCCATATCCATGCTGCAATGCATACTTGTGCTGCTTCAGAACGCTCACCAGCTGCTGATGCAGCTGACCACTCTCAGCTCTCTGCCAAAAATCAACACAAGAGTGTTTGAATAAAATCATCAACCAGAGTGTTTGATCAAAGATCATCAGATGATTGTGATATTACCTTAGTAACTTGGAGTGCTTTCTGAACCACATAGTTCCCGAACTTATCCTTAGCAACTTGGATCAACTGATTGGTGTGCAATAGATCTTCAACCACATGCTTCATCATCTCTCTGGAACTTAAACACTTCTCCACCACATGGCTACCGCCTTTCTGCATCGATAGCCTCGCGTAATGCCCTTTCAGCTGGCTGCAAATCTCCCTATTGCAGCATGGGTTCTCAAGTGCCAATACATTCTGCACCACATAGTTCCTGGAGAAAACATGAACCCTAAGAGAATAAGATGGCTGCCAACTTTCATGCTCTTTATCCTGACCTTTTACTAGCTTCAATAGGATTGCTCCTTACCCTAAAGGATCCTGGGAAAGATACACAACATGGTTGCAGATAGAGTTGAGTAGTTTGAATCTGTAGGGACCTTTGCTGTGGTTGATGAAGATGTTCAATGCTATGCACCCGAATTCGTTCGTGGCAAGCTCGAGACAGTGTTCAATGGCTTTTATATACAGCAACTGCAATCAAGGCCAATTGCTCAATAAAGCCAAAGTTGGAGAATAAATGAGGAAAGCTAAGGTCATTTTTACAAACCTCATTCTGCTGTGGTTGAAGGGTGTCTATGCACTCCAATATCACATGGTTTCCAATTGGATGAACCATTAGAGGATAGAACTCATTCGCCAGGATGTTGATTAGGACTGCCAGCATTGGAGATTTCTGAAGCCGTTTGATCAGCCGCTTGAGTGATTTTGAGCTGTTTTGGGAGAACAACACACACACACATTAAGCAAAGCCATTAGGGTCTGTCTAGCTCTCCAAGAACATTTGTACCAATGGAAGAGCTTATTCTACCCGGATCTGCTGCACGATAATTCGAGAAACGAAGCGATGTTCTGAACAATCTCAGCCATGATGAATCTCAACTGGGTATCAGAACAGAAGTCGAGCAGCTTCATGAAGACATGGCATCCATGTTGGTCCATCATGAGAGGCACAGTAAAGGGAACAGCTTTAATGTATGTCATCATTAACTGCATGTTATCGTTCGACTTGAGACTCTTCTGAATCTCAATCGAGCCGTGTTGGGTCTTGGCATTGGCCAAAAAGCTGTGATCTTTAGGCAATCCAAGGCTTGGAAACTGATGAATGCCATGATCCTTCAACCCTGCGCCACCATCCTGCTGCGGCCACATCAGCGGATTGTGAGGTTCAGCGAAGATTCTCTGCTCAAGGAATGGATTCTGAGCCGCTTCCATGGAATCCCGGAACCAAGCTGTGGGAACAGGCGTTTGTTGAGGAATTACATCATTCACTTGGTGGGTTCTTGGATAAGTACCGAGAAAAGGCTGCGAAGGATTTCCATTGCCATATCTATTGATGCTAAGCAACCCAATCGAGCGGGAGAGGGAATCGATGGAGAAGGACGTACTTGGCTGTTGCGGAGCTTCGAAGAAATTTGCAGCTGGGCTGTTCATTGGGCTACTCGAACTGCAAGAACTAACAATACAATGAAGAAGAAGAAGAAGAAACTGACGAACTGAATTCAGGCAGTTCGAAGTGTCTTAGTTTGCGGGTGATTGATAGAAGGCCAAATTTAAAGCGATGGGAGTTGGAAGAAGCCGAATCTTGGAAGGAACTCTGCTTTCCATAGCTGTCTAGGAGAAGAAAGGGCGGCAACTATGAGAGGCTTTTCTTTTCGAAAACAGTTTTCTTTTTATTCTCTGTGGCATTGTTTTAAATGGACTGGACTCAGGCCCAAGATAACGTTGGGCTCAGTCTGTATATATTTATAAAAAAATCAATTACAGTCACATGCTCGTAAAAAAAGTTATTGACTACCCAATCCCTACATTTCAATTTCCTAACAAAAAAACTTCTCCATGCTTTCTCTTCAGTTTCCTGTAAAATTCTGCAGAACAAAAGGTATAAACTCAGAATATGTCCAAATTTTAAAAGGATTGAAGAAACTAGGTAAAAAAAGAAAAAATAACCTTGGCATATGTTTCTAATCAGAACTTCTTGGTTTAAAATGTTCCCTTAAGACATGGCTGAGTAAAAGGAGTTGCCCTTTACTTGATACTCAAGGTTCTTCTTGTCTGACATTGTCTGGATGAGGAACTTCAGGCTGATTGTGTTCTACTGTTTCGTTCTGCAGCTGATCTCCAGCTTTCTTCTTTGGATCAGAATGTAAGGACCTCGCGATCCTCTTGAGACGAGTGAATCTGAGACCATTTTGCTGCAACAGACCTTGAAAAGGATGAATGATATCAATCATCATTGCAGAAGGATCACAGACGATTTCATGTAGTGGTAAGATCAGTGCATGATTTTTGGAGTTAAGTTCTTACAAGTGAGTGCTGGATTGGCCTTGATTAGTAGGTCGATTGCAATTCTGTTATTATCATTCCCATGGTGACTACGAGCTAGAGACCTTGCAAGTTGCTTTATGTGCTTTATTCTTGGCTGTTTGGGAAGTTTGGCCAATTCATGAGCTGCAACTTCCAAAGCTGTAGAGCAATACATGCAAAATCACAGAATAAGGAATCCAAATGGTAGAAATGATAAAGATTATTTTACTTGGGTTAATGAGTGGGAATGAAAATGAGATGCATGTTGGTCGGATAGTATTCGTCCTAAACAGGTCAGACTAAGGCTAGACTAGTGAATCAGGTCGAAATTATAAACGAAATAAAAAAAACTTACCAACAGGATTTGCATATGCTGCTTTGAAGCTGTCCTGCATTGGATCAACAACAATGTCATTTGAAGCCAAGCCATTGAAATGAGCACTATTACTAGCTTCAGGAACAGACAACAAAATCTGTTGTTGTTGTTGCTGCTGCTGCTGCTGTTGTTGTTCAACAACCCTGGCAATGTCTCCTCCTCCACCACCACCACTACTAGCTGCTGCTAGAGCCGCCGTGGCTTGTTGATTGAGCTGAAGCTCAAGCCTAGCACTCTCAGCTCTTTGCCTCCGCAGCTGGTAGTTCCTCCGCCGCCTGGCTAGATGCCTCTCCCTCTCTTCAGCGCTCATCGACTGCCTCCGCTGCCTGTCTCTTATCCGCCGCCTCTCCCTCTCTTGCTCCTTCTGCAGATGCTTCAACAATGCCCTCTCTGATACGTTCTCCATCACTGCTCAACTCTGCCAATTTGTAAACACAATGGTCTCTTAGCAGCCATTGACAAAGAAAAAACATCAAGAGAAGAACCCATAGGCCATAGCAGCATTGCGGTTCACAAGCCAAAATGTGACATGAAGACTAATGGTCTAATGAACCAGTTGACCCAATTTCAATCCGGAAGCCATAGATTGTGTGGGCCCCACAAAGTTCTCTAGCTGGAATTTTAACCTCCAAATTCCACCCAGATGAAAGGCAACAGACGAGCATAGGAAATTCCAAACAGCCACAACCAGACAGATCGCATATTTTGAATTTTTTTATGGGAAATCCATAAAAGGGCACGACACGATAAGGACAAAGCATGTATTAAACAACCACACAAAGAATCAATCTTTTTCATTTCTCCATAGTCATGGAGCATTCATCATAAACCCCCACACGCAATTCCAAGAGAATCAAAGCAATGTTAAACAAGAAGCCGTCGGCCAGTTCAAGATCGGTGCTATCCAAGAGAACCAAAGAACCGACCTTTACAGGTGTAACAATGGGTGATTATGGAAAAGGGTACGCGGGGAGATCAGAAATTGTCCGCGGGAAACGTCGAGCAAAGGTCGCGCCTTTACGATGATTCAGAATCCGGGCTTTAATGGAATTGAACCGGCGACAATTAGAAGAGTTTTCTCTGATTCTTCTGCCGCCTTCTTTTCTTCCTGCGTTTCTGTTTGTACTAATTATTCGCCATGCAAATGGGATTTGGAGCGGACGAAGAACACAGCAATGGCGATGGTTTTTTGGTGCGCAATCCCCTCCCGCGGTTCCCTTATTTTCCGTTCCTGAGCTGGAATCGTTTCTTTCTAGCGTCAGGTCACGGCCGTTTGCAGAAACTAATTATACCCTGATGATCACTGAATTTATGCGTAGGTTCAATATGGTCCCTGTATTTGTTTGTTCTCAGTACACAAGTCTCACTATGGGTGATGGTGAAAAGGAAATGAAACCGATTGTTCCTTGCAGAACCAAGACCAGAATCTGTAAAAATGGCCAATCAAGGTCGAAACATTCTGTCTCAACAAACATTTTCTGCATCAGGAAAACACAACAGGCTAATCTCATTTCATTACCCTTTAAAAAACAGACAACGAAAACACCTTGACCAAAAAGAATTTACAGATGCCATCATCTTTTCATCACCTAATTGTAATGGGGTATCCTCATCTTTCACCTCCAAGCAGAACAAGTGGCCATAGCTCTTCTTGCCCAGTAAAGATACAACCCACCATCCCTCTCCTCAACCCTAAACTTCCTATCATACTCCTGCAGCACCTCTCTCACTGCACCACTCACCGCAGGACTCAACCCACACTGCTGGAATCCGGCCATCTGAAACCGCGACCTCCACTTTCCCAAAAGCTCGTGCCTTTCCACCCTCTCGCTACCCTCGCAGGCAATCATGTTCACAATATCTCTGGCAACGCAATGCTGCTCGGCGTTGATCCTCTCCTTGTCGTTTCTCGGTCGAGCCACGTCAGTCGACTCAAACATGGCTGTGTAGTAGTCCAGTGTCTCGTGGAACCTGAGGTGGAAGGGAGTCGTGTTTGTGTTCGACTCCTGCTCAACCAAAGTTACAACCACAGGAGAGAGGCTCTTCACTAGTCGGAGGAGTCTGTCCCTGTGGTTCCACGTGTCGACACTCTCATCTGGCATGTGGTGGAGGATGTACGGGAAGCTGACCACGACTGCCTCACCTGGTTGGACCATCAGATGCTCCCGATGGACTTCACAACCCGTCATTGCTGTGTCATGGAACTCAAACGGCACGTTGAGTGAGGCTGCAAGCTGGGAGAGCCTCTGGCTAACTATGTGCAGCCCGCCTCCACGAGCATAAGCTGATTGAGAATCATCGACTCCGGTTATACGAAGTACTGGCGGCCCACCTGGACGTTGTGATAGCCACTGGATGATTGGGATCCACTGACTTCCCTGAGCTATCTGGAAGTCGATGATGTGGATTCTCGGCTCGTACTGGATTGCTTCTCGAATGACTGCATTGGCTGACGCATAGGCGAACTTGTAGTAGGGGCAAATCTGATAGAGTATCCCCATGTATGACATGAGATCCGAACTTATGGGAGAATCGCATTTCAATGCTCGGTAGATTTTGCTTCCGGAGAGCTCTAATCTCGCTCGAAGGCCTTCAAGCATGTAAGCGCCAACTCGTTGGATTGGGTCTCCGGAGACCGATACCATTTGATCCAAGACATGCATTAGCCCTGCTGCTCTGTTGATGTCGACTATGTCAACTGCTTGAGCACATGCTACCAAGACTTGCTTGATGTCTAGCTTGGGGATCATCGAGGTGGCAAAAGATGAGTCAGCTTGGTGGTGGGTGGCACCGGCGAAGCAGAAGTTGCAGCTGTCTGTGGCTTCAGATTCGGGAGCCATTAGTGACATCTCCATCTCGCGAAGCTTCTGACGGAGGAAATGGTCTTCGTCGGCAGAGGATGATCCACTCACAGGAGAGCCATAAGTATTATCAGGAGAATGGTGAGGATCAGTGAGGCAAGAATGTGAGGCTTGTGGGGAGATAGGGCTTCTGCTGCCAGAGGAGACACTCGCAGCTGGTGAATCATAGACGAAGAAGTTACTGATGGTGGTTGCTGGGGATGATTCGAGGGTGAAGTATTCTTCATCTTTGTAGGTTTGGAAGGAAATGGTGGGGCCTTGCATTGTGTCAACCGAGAACATGCTCTCGTCAAGGAGTTGGATCCGAGAGAGACTGTACGGGTCGGTGTCTTTTGTGGGTTGGTGGTAAAAGCCATGGATGGCTGCTGAGCCTCTTCGATGCTTCTGTGATGTTGTCATCTTAAAAGGAATGCACGGAATGACTTGAAAAACTCAGGCAAGCAATGAGCCTCTTTTGAGCAAAATCACCAGGCAACACCAGTGGCTCTCTCTAGGGGGTGAATTGGAAGGGGCGTCTTCGATGTCTGCAAGAAGAGAGAATTCGTAAGACTAGGTATACAGCATGAACATTTGATACAAACAGATTGCAAAGCACGTGATGCAGAAGACAGATTTGACCAGGATAGGGAAGAAACAAAGCTGGATAAAACCACTAGGGTCATATTTCAATTGGCTAACAAACAGTCTATGGATTAATGGATGCTGGACCCAAGAAATTTCCCCCCAAAATTCTTCTCGAATTGTCAAACAAACAGTGAACAAAAGATTTACAAAAACAAGATATGCTTGCTGATGATGGTCACCAGCAAAGCAATTGACCATAAAGCTGGTCAATCCAAAACAGGCAACCGTTAACAACAAGGTCTAAGTTTACGGGTGGAAATGATTGATTTCTAATGAATTGATGAACCATGATCAACAATGAAGGAAAATACGAATCAAAATAGCCAGCGTGGTTCACTAAGTGAGTGAGGTGGAGCCGCCCGGCGGGCAGCACCTGAGGACCGGGTACGTGTTCTACGGGTTCGGGTACGATTCGGTGAACGATGATTATAAGCTGGTGAGGATGGCGACGTTCGTCGGGGATGAGAATGCGTGCGATACTTACAATTACGATTACGAGGTGAAGGTTTATAGCTTTAGGAGCAACTCGTGGAAGAAGATTATGGATGTCCCGTTTTATATCCGGTTCTTGCATAAGCCCCTGCATCAGGTTTTGCATAGGAGAGGGTATGGTGTGCTTGTTGGTTCAGCTCTGCATTGGGTGCTGCCTCAGAGGGCGATGCTGGGTTTGAAGAATTATATTGTCTCGTTCGATTTCGTTGCTGAGAAGTTCGATGAAGTGACTCAGCCGGAGTATGAGAATAAGGATCTGAGCTACCAAGTTGATGTGGGGGTTCTGGAAGGGAATCTGTGTGTGATGTGTAACTACGAGCATGTATGCGTCGACCTCTGGGTGATGAAGGAGTACGGAGTGAAGGAGTCTTGGTCTCGGATGTTCTCGGTGCAGAAGATTAGGAATACTACTACATTTGGGTTTTTGAGGCCTTTGATTATTGCTAAGGATGGTAATGAACTGCTATTGGAAGTGAACGACGAGAAGCTTGTATGGTATGATTGGAAGACTGGGAAAGCTAGAAGTGTGAGGATTCGTGATGGGCCGAAATCTTTTGGTGCTGTAATGTATGTGGAGAGTCTTATTCCAGTTGATGATCCTGATGAAGTCGAGCGGCAGCGACGGTTAAGGGAGGATGCCGAGAGGGAGAAGTTGAGATCCGAAAATAACTATGGGTAAGTCTAAACTTGTTCTGATATATACTAATCTTGTGAACATTGATGATCTTGGGGGAAAAATACTTGTCCTCTTGCATGTATATCCAGAACTGATAACTTGTCCAATGTCTCCTTGAAATTCTGGTGATGGATCAGAAAAGAAGAAATGTTCTTGCATTTTGTTGCAAGTCTTTCTTTACACATTGTGTATGTACTTGAAACTTTAGCTGTTGTGGCAATAGAATTTATTATCTTGTGGACTTGCTTTTCAAGTCAATGGAAAATTTTCACTTACAACAGCCTGCAAGTCAACTGGAGGTCAATATCTATATTAGCCTGCTGATCTCTGGCTTAAAGCCTATGATCTGTTTATATAGTCTTTGATCTGGGTCAATGAACGGTCTTCTTCAATAAATTTCATCAATTATGCGGGTCCACATCACATTTCTGGCTGGTTGTGATGTGGAAAAAACATGTACTGAACAGTATTTCTGAAATGCTAGGGTTCAAGCTCATTTTATGTTTCAGACTGTAAATTTGGTGTCCACATGCTTCAGTCCTCCTTTTATCAATTGACATTGACCTGCAAGTTGCAAGTCATTGTTATGCTTTTCCACAAATTCTATTAGCATATTGTGATGATTTTTCTTTTTTCATTTTGCTGTCTTTCGTGGCTTAGCCTTCTAATTACTTGTACTGATCGGTTCTTCCTCGCAGGGATGACTTCTTATCAGTTGGATTTAAACTAAAGTTGTGACCAGCAGAGAAGACCCGGATGACCAAGAGATTGTCCGCTGGTGCGTATCCTTCTGCTGTCTGATTTAGTATTTCTTCCCCAGGGACTTCATAGACCGCAGTTTATTTTAACGTATTCGGTTGAGGTCTGAAGTCAGTTTTGTTGGACCTATCTGATAAATGCTAATCGTTGGCATGGAAACTGCAGCGAGCTATCCGCGGAGAAACATGGCATCACAAAGTCCATGTGACGCCATGACAAGGGAAGCCGAGGCATGTGGAGGAAAACCTACATCTTCCCTCAGCCCTCAGCAAGTTAAGGATGTGGTCTCTGGTTGGGAAGGTTTCAGCCTTGGGCAAAGCATCATTTGCCTGAAATGTACTAGGATTCCTGAGAGATATCTTTGTCATGTTTCTTAGGAAGAAGAAAGAGCTTGTAGAAAGGAAAGGGATCATCTGTAGACTACCTTGCACCGATCAAACAACCAAAACAAAAGCTAAAGAATAAGAAAGCAGAAAGTGAAAGCGACCCAGAAAACAAATAAAGGAAAGCAACAGAAAACAAAAGAGGTTGCTTACTGTACATGCATTGCAGGTTCATACCCGACGGCGATGAGAAAGGTGCAGCTGTATTACCTTTTACTCCATTTGTACCTGACTGAAGCTTGATAAGAGGGGAAGTAGAGAAGAGTTGTATGCAGGTTGCTGCTTGGTTACTGCATGTGCTTCTTCTGCTTACTTTCTCTGATGTAAGTGATGGCTGTGTATATTATGTATTATTGCTGAAGTCTCTATTGTGTGTTGTATCCTTTGCTGCAACTTACCTTGACATCAGTGTACTGCTGTGAGTTTGACACATAAATAGTCTGTTTGTATCTTCTTGCTTGGTTATGCTGCTGTAATCTGGATCGGATTGCCTTGTATCAAGTTCTCACAGATGTATAATTGTACTACTGAGTGGTTTACATGGCCAGTCTTTATATCAGCCACTGCTGTAGAAAGTAGATCATTTGGTAGTGACAATACCGGGGAGAGTATCTCAATATTCATACAGTATTTTGCTTTGTAGTCGAACCCAAAACATGTCAGCTTCGTAGGTCTGTTGTCTTACGATGCAGAGTTGTGGCGAATGGTCTCGTTTTGTCGTGTGAATCTGCATTCTTACACATTGCCTGAAATATGATCGCGTTTTTCTATTACTGTTCCTTAAAATTGTGGGCCAAAGTTAGGGATAGTGGTTCGGTTAATTGAACCGAAAATCGAATGATTCAATCCAAAATCGAAGGCGATAATGGTTTATTGATTTCGATCAGAATAAACCGTAAACAAAAAATGAACCCTTGAAATCATTAAGAAATAAGGATTATGGGTTTTTGGTTTAAGGGAAATCGAAAAATGCAAATCGATTTCTACTCATTATGGAAAATTTATAAGGCTGAAAATCTATTCGGTTTTGGTTAAACCCATCGAATCACCACCCTAGGGTAGAGTAGCTAACCTTCATTGAATTGCATTTGGACTGTAATATGATATCTTTGTATAATATTGACTTAATTACATTGTTTATATTAGAATGGGGAAGAAGATAGAGATCACACTATAATACTATATATATATGTGATGTGTACTTGGGATAAAGTCCACAAAAACGTTCCAGTACCACAGTCCACAGATGGGTCTCATCCTACCGTCGATCTCGTCCACAACAAGATCTTAACGGTCAGTATACTCGACATTGCCCCGATCACGTGACCGTCCTGGCTAAAATAGCGTGAGCTCAACCGCACCTAATAACTGCAACAGTAAAAAAATGAAAATATCATTTTGTAAAAATTAAAAAGAGAGAAAATATTTAATAGCGTAGGATTTACAGTCCCTGGCTGGAGATTAAGGCTCAGAAAGACAGAGAGAGAGGGAAAGAAAAGAAAAAGGAGAAAGAGAGAGGGAGAGACCACCGCCGCCGCGGCAACGCTTATTTCCCCCGATCACTCCCCCGCTCTTTAGCTTCCGATCGCCGGCTGTCTTTTCTGAATTGATTCTGTTTTCCACCGGCGTTGTTCTGTTTCAGATTTCGATGGTTGATGAGGTGAATGATTTGGGTAGGGTTTTGTTGATTCGTGTGGAACGGGAATTCTAATAACTGTGTGGAGGCGTTTTTTCGCATGCTGTTTCCCCCAGCGTGCTAGCCGACGGGGATTGCGCGGTCGGATGTCTCAAAGGCGATCGTCGTCCGTCGATTGTCCCTCCCAACGCACTGCCGGTGGCGGCGCCGCTGCTGCTGCAGCCGCCGCCGATTACCGAGTCTCGGCTAAGCGCAAGTTGGACGATTACGTGTCTTCAGTCGAAGAGGACGATGAGGACCCGGCCGTCTGGGACCTGGTAAGCGTGAGAATGCGGAAGGACGATTCCCTCTCCGCCGTTAACTCCTCTTCCGACGGTCAGAACCAGGGTCGGTTTTCATCGAGCGGCGGCGGCGGGGTTGGCGGTGAGGATGGGCCCGTCTCTAGCTCGGGGGATGGCGCCGGAGACGTCTCGTCTCTCCCTTCTTGTTCGCGCGCGGCGTCGCCTCCTGCCGTGGGGCTCACTACGTCGGTTACGAGGCTCCAGTTCTTCGTCCGGATGATCTCCAACGGGAATCACATCGTTATCAATGCCAGTTCGGAGGACACCGTGGAAAAGATTCTGTTGAGAATTCAGGTCATCACTGGGATTCCTGCTTCCGAGCAGAGGTTAATTTACAACGGGAAGCAGCTGCAGCCGGAGCAATCACTGGCGGAGTGTGCGATTCAGAAGGATGCCGCACTTCATTTAGTTGGCCGGATGCGGAGTACAAAGCATCCACAGACTTGCCGGGTAGTCGAGGAATTGGTAATGCTTATTTGCAAACTATGTAAAGGCGGGATGCATCCCGCTTATGCGCCTAAGCAGATTACAGATTTGATGACCGAGTTCTTCAAATTGACTGGAAACAGTGAAATTGAGGACGCAGGCGGCCATTTTGAGATTTTCATGTCATACTCTGCTCCAGAAGCATTGGTGATGCTGTATATCTCGACCACCACAGGTAACAAAGAATGTGCTGATAGTTCGATTAAGCACTTCGTAAACTCCTGTAGGGCTTTGCCAAAGTCATTGCATGCGAAGTGTGCACTTGTGATCTTAGAATTTTGCAAGTTGCTTAGGAAGGTTGCTAATGATGATCTTCTGTATGTCTGCTGTCGAAGCATTCTTGGTTCATTCTTGGAAAATGATCTGGGGTGGCGTTGGTCATTGAAGTGTGGGGTAGGTGTGGACGATGTAAAGGCATCTATTACGATATCAGAGATTTTCCCTTTTGTTCAGGAGTTAGCTACTAGGTTGTGCGATGGTCTGGATTCGAATCTGGAAACTCCAGGAAGTTTACGGCCATCAGCTACTGATGTTCGTGACTTCTCTGGATTCTTGTCACCATTACGGACTGCTATAGCAGAGCAGTTAAGAACTGGCCGACTACTATATGCTGAAGAGATTGAGCAGCTTCGTGTTATATATTGGGACTTGTTAAGGAAGATGGATCAGTGCCTTCTTAAGTTGGACTCCTCGACTTCGAAGTCAAGTGGAGAAGGTGAGTTGAATCTTACATCAGGGTCTCAGTATCTTGCCATTTTGAAGGAACTGAATGAAATAAGTAAGCTTTACGAGGGTTCCGAAGAATTCTGGATGATGTTGAAACTTAGAAAGACTTCGATTCGTGGTTTGATCGTTAAATACGCTAAGAGAACTGATGATCATCAATGGCTTCTTCTGCACAAGGATGTAACAGATTTTGAGTCGCGGAGGCATTTGGCTATGATGATGTTACCTGAGGTGAAAGAAGACTATGAGGATCTATACGAGATGCTTATTGACAGGGCACATTTGTTGGAGGAGTCATTTGCATATATAGGCCGTGCTGAACATGAGTCATTGCATGGAGGTTTATTTATGGAATTCAAGAATGAGGAAGCTACTGGTCCTGGTGTACTGCGAGAGTGGTTTCCCTTGGTAGTTCAGGCTTTATTCAACCCACAATATTCTCTTTTCCTGGCATGCCCAAATGATCAAAGAAGGTTCCACCCTAATCCTGGTATGACTCTACTCGTGTTGGAATCTACTGATTCTTATCATGCTGTATCTAATCTGTATGCAATCATGGTGGTGTGTCATATAGTAAAATCTCTTGAAGTCACGCCTTAATTCTCGAACTTTACTTAGTGATACTGATTGGTACAATAGTTTAATCTCAGTTTGTGGTGCACCACCAGATCAATTTAGGAGTAGTCTAATCCCCTCAGCTGTTTGACTTAGGATGCTCGTACCTTCGTCTCTCAGAGAAAATATCATTAGAGCGGTCGGTTGGAGTAGTTATACTGGATAAGTGTCGGGGCCATTCATTTTAATATGATATACTTTCCACATCCATAGTTCATAAAGTCATATGATAATATTCTTTATGATTTTAACCTCATCCAGGTGTCCTTTATTCAGTAATATGGTGTAACCAGTTTGGTATTGGTTGACTTTTGTTTTCTCACCTTACCCCCCCCCCCCCTTTTAAAAAGGCATTGCGTCTATTAACAATATTCCCTCTTTGCTAGACTAGTGGCCAAGATTTTGAGGTTCTATTTTGTTGTTTAATTGTATCATCCATGTTGGGATTTGCAGCATCTAAGGTGGAACCGAGGCATCTCGAGTATTTCACCTTCTCGGGCCGATTAATCGCACTAGCTTTGATGCACAAAGTGCAAGTTGGAATAGTTCTTGATCGCGTCCTTTTCTCGCAATTAGCTGGAGGACACATATATTTGGAAGACATAAGGGATGCAGACCCAATCTTGTACAGTAGTTGCAAGCAAATTCTGGATATGGATGCTGACTTTATTGACTCCGATGCTCTAGGACTGACATTCGTTAGAGAATTCGAGGAGTTGGGGTCCAGGAATTTTGTGGAACTCTGCCCTGGTGGGAAAAATGTCATAGTAAATAGCAAGAACCGAGAAGAATATATCAACCTCCTGATTCACCATCGATTCGTCACATCAATCTCTGAACAGGTCTCGCATTTTGCACAAGGCTTCTCTGATATTCTTTTGAATGGAAGCCTCCCTAGGTTCTTTTTCCAAAGTTTGGAGCTTGGAGATCTTGATGGGATGCTGTATGGGAGTGAAGGTGCCATCTGTGTTGAAGATTGGAAGAAACATACCAACTACAATGGCTTTGAAGAAACAGATCCTCAGATATCCTGGTTCTGGGAGGTATGTTTTTCCCCTTTTGGCTAGTTGGTTTATTTACTATGGCCTATGCCTTTTTACATTGTCGCATAGCATTTTGAATTTGTCTATGCAATTGTGTGGATTTGTTCAGAAGAAATCTTGTATTCTATCAAGAAGCTCTGTGGGGCTTCTTTTCTCTTAAAGTCTGGACAACCATTTGAAGGTGGTTTTTTAATAAGCTTGTCTGTCTTTATTAGCTATATATTGTTAATATCCTGGATTGGCAGTCTGTTTCATGAATGTTAGTGAAGTTTAGTTGACCCTCATTTGCTTCAGAATCAAATGGTCGATGTGCTTTGTCTTCAGGTACATTTTTCTTTTCTTGTAACATGACTGTGTTAGCCTATCGAGTTTTGCTGTCTTTGGTGATCTCGCCTTACATCATAGTGAAGAGAACCTTGAGTTCCTTTTCTCACTCTATTTCCGTACTAGTTTCTGTTTGTTTTTATTTTTTATTTTGGGTGAGAGTGCTGAATATTAGAGTTCGTAAGTGATGTATCGAAGGCTTTTTTTTTTTCTTTTTTGGCTACTGGTTTAGCAATCGACATGGGAACTCGTTCCTGAAATATAGGCTCAACACGTAATCTGTCATTCAATGTGTATTGGTGAATGGCTGCTTGGTGGCAATTTTGAAACGCAGCAGAAAAGAAAAAAACTGGTGGTGGTAATGTGCCATCCAAGTAACTGTGTGAAAGCTACGAACAAATAGATGTCAAATCTGAGTTGGTTCTCAATTGAAATTGAAGGTCTTTTCTTTTACAGCCTATGTCAGAACTAACTTCATAGTTCCAACTTACAAATTCATTCAGCTTCGAGGTTTCAACCATACTGTGATTGAAATTGAATGGCTGATCTGCCGCTCTATTGTTGAGTCACTACCCCATCTGTTAGCTGGGAAAATCTTGCGCCCTGTGTCGTGTATGTGTCACCTTATTTTCATTGTGTCACATTGCAGATCGTTGGGGAAATGTCAGCTGAGCAAAGGAGAATACTGCTCTTCTTCTGGACATCGGTGATGTATCTTCCTGTAGAGGGTTTCCGAGGCTTGAGTTCTCGGCTCTACATATACAAGTCCAGGGAACCACATGATCACCTGCCTTCATCCCACACATGCTTCTACCGCATCTGTTTCCCACCTTACCCATCCAAGGACATCATGCAAGATCGCCTCCGCGTCATAACCCAAGAGCACATTGGTCGCAGCTTCGGCACCTGGTGAAATGCCTGGGTTTAGAGGAGGCGCGTTCTTTAATCTGCACATAGAAAGAACGAGAAAAAAAAGCTATGAAAAAAGGAAGAAGAAGAAATCAGGTTTTGTACAGATAGGGGGTTTGATGCCAAAAGTCCTATAATTTAAGGAAGGTCCATTGTTAGGTTTTGATCTTTACATTGCCGCTGTCGTCATCTCGTCGGGTTATGGATCATGGAGGTCATTGCTCTGGTCTGGTTCGTTTTTTGTTTCGACGGGTAGGTCTGTTAATATAGGGTTCTTAAGCATATGAATAACGGTCTGGAGTCATAGAAAGGAAGCACAGAAGGGAATTTCAGTGCTTTCTTCCGTAAGACTTCTCTCCCCTTCCCCCTTAGTTTTAAACTATTGACAATGAGTCTAATGATCTAGTTTTTCTTCTTTTTGTCGCTATTTTCGTCGTAAGTACGCAGAATCATGCTTGCAGTGACATCTCAAACCCTCATCTCGAAAGTTCTGTGTTTTCTCGGTTTGGATGTCATTACAACACGTACGAAATCAAGTACCGTTAACGCCCAGTCTAACAGAGAGTCGCAAGAACTCGAATCCAGGTCGTTGGCGATTGACTGTCGGGTCATCACCTGTGTTTGGTTTTTAGGATGGCTTTAAGAGCTAACTATAATATTACACTCTAAGTACACTATTATCACCAATATTGATATAGAATAAGCTTCAGAGCTAAATGCACAAACCAGCATAAAATTAAACCATTCCGACCTCCCCGAATCCTATGATTCCACGTGGCGCGCCACGAATGCTGACGTGGACACGCACCGTACAATAATAACATCTCCCACACTCCATTCTATACTCCACAAAGATCCCAACACTCAAAATATTTCTCAAAACCCTCCAAATAGAATCGTGGTAATGAACATCGAGAAAGCAACAAAAGAAACATAGATAGATAGATAGACAGATCCCATGCTTCATGATCCAACTGAAATCAAAGCCACCATTCATTCCTCAGTTCCCTCCACAGCGACTTCTCCTTCTGCTTCTGATGGCTTCTCAATCACAGCTGCCACCGGTGCCGAGGCCTCTGTTTCTGCTTCCTCTACCGCGACCTCAGCAGCAACAACGGCAGGCTCCTCGACCTCTGCTGCTGCTGCTGCTGCTTCTTCAACTGGCTCCTCAACTGCTGCGGCGGGAGCAGCTTCTTCCTCCACAACTTCCTTTGTGACGATCTCTTCAGCTTCCACTGCGGCTGGTTCTTCCGCTTTGGCTTCTTCCACAACAGCAGCTGCAGGCTCCTCTGTTTCTGCAGCTGGCTCTGCTTTGGCTTCTTCCACAACAGCAGCTGGCTCTTCCACTGCAGGGGCGGGGGCGGGGACTTCCTTTGACTCGGTCTCCACCGGCAATGCTGCAGCTGAATCAACCTGCAGAAAGGAATATCCAAAACAGAAATGAGACAGAGCTTCTTTTTAGCGACCAAAGAAATGGACACAAAAAAATCTTTCGCGACGGAAAAGCTCTGGATTCAGTGACATGGGGATTTTCGTATTGTGATCATCATCGATCGATGATCTATACAGAAAGATGAATGAAAACCCAGATAGGAAAACGTATGTATCATGTCTGTAAACTAAGTACCTCAACGCTGGCCATCTTAAGGAATCGGGAGAAGGGTCTTGAAGAAGGTTTGGAGATGGAGAAAGAGAGAAGGCAGAGGAATATAAGGTGGCTGAAGTTGAGAGTGTGATGAGATGAGCAGAGTGTGGGAGAGGTATTTATAGAGGCTGTGAGAAGCAGAGGATCGAAGTATTTTAATTGGTTTTGATTAGAAAAATGGGAGAGGAGTTGGTATTTCTGTGAATGATAATATTTAAAATTGGAAAGGAAGGTAGGGGAATGATCAGAAAGATACATGGGAGGAATCTTTTTTTTTTTTTTTTTGCAATTAGCTAAGACAGTTACCATGTTACTGACACATATTGATGCAGATGTTGTGTCCAGTTGTAAAATCGCATTCTTGCTGTCAAATTGATGATCTCTTTCTTCTTTCTTTTCTTCTACAAATTGATATATATTTGACGAAGTCTAGATTTAAATCAAGATCATCGTAAAAAATTAAGATCTAATATGTAAAAATCTAGCGTCATCAGAAGACGAAAGTCTGATCTGAGCATGCAGCTAGCTATCATTCGCACGGTAGAAGTAATCAGGTCGATATCGATTTCCATGCTCCTTATCGAACTACAACTGGACAAATGTTTGGGGTTAACTCGCCTTACTTTGATAAATATTAATTATTTTTGAAGATAAGGAATATTCTACATGATTTTTTTTTTTTGGTAAGGTCATTTGGTTATAAGAAAAAGAAGATACAGATGAACTGGCATGGTAGTGGTGGAGTGGAGGCCACTACTCTCCTTCATGTGAATGATCGATCATATGACCACACCATCACAATTAGGTTTCACCCCCTTTCCCCCCTAATTTCTATCATGATTCCATGTTCTTTGCTTTTCTGATTTGCTTTGATTAATGCTAACTTAATAACATGCACTTTTTTTTATGTCCAAAGAGATATTGGCACCGGCACATACATTCAATTATACTTTGAATACTTACTAAATTTATGAGGGTGGGCGATTCGATTGGTAGGCTGTAAGAATTGAATATGAAATCACACTATATTAGCTTTCATGTCTTGCTACTTGAATCACTTGGTAGTTAATTTGACAACATACTCTTAGCAAAAAAAAAAAAAAAAAAAAAAAAACCTCAGTTGCTAGACTGTCAAACTTAAACTCGAAATCACATTATACCAACTCTAGTAGTTTCCCACTTGAATCACTCCTAGAGGTTTTGGTGGGAGAGCTAAAGAGTAAAGAGTGATGAAACATAAGGGGTAAAAAAAGACTTGTTGGTACCAACTATGTTCAGAATTAATGAGAATGCATAATGGATCTGAATAGTACACCTTGCTAGCTATGTCCAATGGGTTATTGGGTTCATTAAATATTGATATATGAAGATAATTTCAGAAGTTAAAATAGTAATCTTTAACAGGTGAACATGATGATGATTCTAAAGTTCAAATTATGAATCGAATAGTATGCACTTCTTATTATTATGATGAACATAAAACTAAAACAAAGGGGTCCAATTTTGGTACTATATTGGTCAAATTGTTGGTTGCTTTTACCATCTTTGGGGCATATATGTATATATTTCCCTCACTTTCCCCCCACTTTCTATTCATATGAGAAATTTTGAGCACATAAAGGAACAACACAAATGTGAAATAATTATGATGTGGGACTTTAGGAGGAGGGGGAGGCAAGCAAATTGCAACAAGGTTGCCTAGGCCGGTGCTTGTAGGGACCTAATTAATATCCCCCACCAAATTTCATTAGTAGTAATTTCTATAGTCATCATGGATTTTTCGCATTTTCTCGATGTTTGTGAAACTATACGATATGATTTCATGATCTGATCGTCTATTAAATGATGTACTAGAGTCTGATTTGATGTATCAAGTTTTGTATCGTTTAGTATCATTGCACAATTGAACAAAGTTCGATCGATAAGGTTTCGTATTATAATATGATTGAATTTTCAAATGAGTTTGTAGATAGTTATATCAGTCAAATTTTATCAAAACTCTCATTGTGCATGAATACAATAAATAGATAAAAAAAAAATTTACAAGAGGCTTGAACTACCACGACAACTTTGACCTAGTTAAAAGGATCGATATCTTGAAGATGATAGTCAAGTTCGTGTTGTTGTCGCATCATTTTGCTTATGATACAAGAAGTACTAGGCCATCATCAGTGTTCCAACTCATATTTTTCATTTCAACTCGCTATTACAAGCCTGACTAGGCTGTACATGTTGTTCTTATAGACCATCTTAGCCCATAAAGATTCGTATTTTGCCTTTAAGTACTCATATTATATTATTATTACACCAAACGAAGAGCGCATAGAATAGTGTACACTTGTTAAACCTACTTAACATCAAACATCCTATTCCCATATTAGTATATCACATCCATATATATCATGGTCACAATGACACCTAAGATAATACCACTTTAAGAACATGCCCTTACTAGTAGGGAATTTTTTGATACATACTAGTTGGGGATTGCTCTCTAGCTAGTTAGCATCAATAATGAAGTGCAATATTAATGGAGGTGGAGCATGTGGGATGGCAAAGGAAGGACGTGTGTTCTTTAAACATATGTATGCACCATACGTACACGCTGTAAAGTCTTCAGAAAAAGGGTTATATAAGGAACCAAAAGGAAAGGGCGGTGGCCGAGTGTCCCCCAATCTCTACATCTTTATCACCCATGTAATGTAACTATCTGTTATAAATCGCTTTGTTCCAATAACTCGAGTTGATGGAAGTGATTCAGGGATGAATCTCAATCACTTCCATATGTAAGAGAGTGGTATAAGATTAATAATAATCTTCCCCCAACAACTCGAGTTATTGTGAGTAGCTGGCTTTTGACTGGTCGTTGTTCGAATCTCCACGACCTCCAATATTAACAGTTGATTAAAACACAAGGTATGGTGGGCCTGTGCAAACTTCAAGTTGTGAGTTGGCTTTCGTCCGAGAAGGCGTGTAAGAGAGTGGTATAAAATCCATAATAACTTTTTCCCAAAAACTCGAGTTATTGGAATCAACTGATTTATAACATGGTATCAGAGCCTTCTGTTATTGAGTGATCGTATATTCGAAATAGGCTTCTTGTTCAAATTATTTGGACCAAACAGTTCTAAAGAGTTGAACTTCCAAATTTTGAGCAAAGATAGATGTGAATCAAGGCACCTAAGGATATTTTGTTTGATCTAAGGCAACAAGAAATCTTGGGGGTTGATAATGAAGGCTTTGATGACCGATCATGGTAATCAAAACATCTTTTGAATTGCATGAAGTACTTTTGTTTTCTCTTTGGAAAAGGTGGGTGGAAGTGTTAGATCATTAAAGGTTATATTAGTGTCACCTAAAATGAAGGCATAGATTGAATTAGTAGGGAACATCTTGGGTTACATATGCTTTATTTTTCTCTGGAGTTGATTTAGAAGAATCAACTATAACATTTCTAAATCGAATTGGAGGTGAACATAAAAAGAAACAAGATCTTCGTTAAAATTAAAGATTTCATCGAATGGAGATATTTGATTGTGTTGATAGAAGAGTTTAGGATAATGACGCGGATGGGTTGCTAATTTTGACGGGTAAACCTGCATACACCTAAATTATGGTGGATCTATTTGGAAACGACCTACACCCATCCGATCATTGACGAATCAATTTTAGTTGAGTGGTTTTGAATGGGTCTGACGAATGACTCACTCAATTCTCATTCCTATGAATGAAGATGAACAAACTAAAGGAAACAAGAACATCAAAAGCTTAAAGCAAATAATGTAGCCAACTTTTGCCAACACCTGAGATGATGGTCATGGTTCAAAGCATCCAAATCCTAAAAATTATACCATATCATTCATTTAGCTTTGAACAATCCAATCAATTACCCATTCATGCTTTCAAGGGCCCTTCTAAGTCATCCTTAGTAAGCTAGCTAGGTCAATTCCTCTTTTCTTGCAAACTCTATTGTGAAGTTAGACCTACTAATTCTTCCTTCCTTGGCAACCACTAATCTCGACTCCTTCTAAACGAGTTTCAAAGTTGTTTCATACATACACTTGGACAAGTATTTCATGAAAGAAAGCATCTTATTAATTTTCGCTGATGCCACATTGCTTCTAAAACCTGAACAGATCACACTTACAACTATGGCTAGTTATTAATCAAACATTTATCGCTCTCGAAATCAAAATCCATCAACGAAATTTTCGAAATAAAATATTAAGCAATAGAAGTTAAAAAAAAAATAGATAAATAAGATGTGCAAGAAAGAAAAACATTAACCACACAACATATCAAGCAAACACTCTCTTGCAAAATCATCAAGAAATGGAGTTCCTCCACCGCCTCGCCGGCGTCTTCCGGCTGCTCCCCTGCCCCTCCCCTGCCCCCCGGTGATGATGATCGCCACCGTGATCACTTCCATCCAATCCCCCACCCTTACCAAACATACTCAACTTCCTCCAACCAACCGCCCACGCTGACGACCCATGCTTCTTCCCACCACCACCGCCGCCGCCGCCACCACCGGCCGCCGCGGTCGCCTTCTCGAACTGCCTCTGCAAGCTCTCCAGCTCCCCCTGCAGCTCCATGTACTTGGCCTTCACCGTCTCCAGCTCGAATTTCAGCGTGTTGATGTCCTTCTTCGCCGCCGACCAACCTTCTTGAAAAGACTGCGGCGTCCCCTCCAGCAGAGTCTTCCTGTTGGGCACCATGGGTTGGTAGAAACCGGCCGCCGCTGCAGAGTCCCCTGTTTCCTTGAGGCTGCTGTGGTTGTTGTGGGCTATGGCATTGCTGATTTTGACTTGCTCGGAGAAGAGGACTTGAACCACGATTCGGAGCGGGAGGCGCTCGTTCTGCGCGGCGTGCATGCAGGCGTCGATGGAGAGCTTCTGACAGTCCATTACTCTGCAGAGGCGCTTCCTCTCGTGCTCTGACAGCGTCGGGTGCGCCTGTGTGTGTAACAACAACAAGATGTTTGAGTTCAATTCTATAATCAGTTAAACAGCGGCGGAGTCAGAAATCTGAGCGGGGAGGAGTTAGAAAAATCTGCGTTGTATTGTACATACTGCTTCATTTCTATAATTTGTTACGAAATTTACATGTATTGTACATATTTTTTAGAGTTGAGAGAGGCTATCAACGTGGTGGTTCCACCACTGCACTTACTATTAGGGGTGAGTATCGGTCTATTTGGTTAAATCAAGATAGAATCAAAGCTAAAATAAAGATGAAGATCGGATCATAATAGTTCATTTGGTCCGATTCAATCTGGTTCAAATGCAATGTGGGTCACTTTTTCCTTAAACGACATGGAATAAAACCAAATCAGATTAGATTTGTTTAGATCTGGTTCGATCCGAATACTGAACCGTTCAGGTGTAGATCGAATCGATGCTTACCCCTACTCAAAATAACAATACAATGCAACATATACATAAGGGGTGTGCAACGATTTAATCCGCGTGAATCAAATCAATGTTAGAATCCGATTTAGATTGAATGTGTTACGCTTTGATCTCGATTCTATGAACCCTCCTAATAACTAAGAAGAAAAAGAAGTTCGAATTGGACCAAATACAATTTCTATCTGATTTCTGACCTCAATTTTCCTTTGTTTTGATCATGTACTATCAAAATTATCGGACCGAACTATTGCACAACCCAACATCCAACATAAAAAGCTCAAGCTTTTGATAGATGCCAAATTAAAATGATCATTTAGGGAAGTAGAGAGGGTTTATGCAAGTACCTTAAGGTAAGAATCAATGGCCCTGTAAAGTCCATCGTCACAAGTCCTCGCGGATTCAGGCAGAGCCTCAGCCAGAACCTGAAACTTAGTCAGTGACAGGTTTCTGTCTCGAGCAACCTCTGTAAGATAGCTATCAACAAGCCTCGCCACTCTCATCTTCGCACTAGGATGATTATTACCACCACCTCTCTGAGCCGCCATTCCATCATACATATTGCCATGCTTCTCAGAGAACGATTGCCTGCTAGGACTAGAGCTCTCTGCAGTCTGTTCCTGCACAAGGAAATGCTCCAACAGCCTCTGCACAAGATCCACATCGTACATTGTCGTCGTAGTAGTCGTAGTCGCAGTCGAATCCCCACCGCCGCGGACATTGTTGTTGTTGTTGTAGCTAGGAATCAACAGGTCTGCCAATGTAGCCTGCTCGAACTGCATACCGACTCGCTTCTCCAATTCGGTCACCAGAGCAGGCGCAACTCGCAGCATGTTCGCCATCCTCAGAAGCTTGAGAAGGAAGCTGCAAGAGACACTGTCCTTCTGCGGCGGGATGATGCTGATCAAGCTCTCCACAATCATCCTCTGGTCCTTGCTCTGCACCGAGGGAGCGAGCGGATCGTCCTTGTTCGTCGTAGTTCCTCCTGCGATGATCATGTGCAGCCCGCCTTTCCAATTGCTGCTGCTGTTGTTGTTGTAGCTGCTGCCACCACTGCCGCTAAAATCACTGTTATTGCTTCCTTCATGAATGCCACCACCATCTTTGATCATCCCAGGGAGCCATTTCGTAGCATAGTGCATGATTGCAGCACCGATTAACTCGAATCTCATCCCTTTCACTTTAATCGCGGTGATCACCCTGACGAAATGGTCCGTCCTGAGGATCGAAACGTCTTCGAACCACCAATCGGGAGGAACCGGCTGCTGGTTTCGACTAGGACTCGACGAGCTATCAGTCCATTTGGGGCTGGAGACCTTAGGGGGAACTTTCCCAGTGTAAGCCCACCTGATCCCTTTCGGATTAGCACAAGCCTTCCACGCGATCGATTCGCTGCATCGCCTCACGATCTGGAGATTCTCTGCCCACGGTGACAGCTTCTCGCAGTTCTTGAGCACGACGATGGAGTCTCTCCACGAGGAAAGAACCACGTAGCTGAGGAATGCTTCGGTTTTGAAGATGAGGTTGCCTTCCTCCAAATCCTCTGTCATTTCCATGTACTCTGCCGCGCACCTTAGCCCTGAGATGTTGGATGCGGTTAGATCGACAGCGATTCCGTAGCAGAACTTGGCTGCTAGCTCGAATGCGTCGGGGCCGCCGGGGAGATCGTCGAGAACAACCTTGTTCACCTCTGCTGCCTCCCTCGATTCGTAGATCAGTCTGTTCATTTTCCCGCTCCTGGATAGTAAAGGGTACTGAAAGGAAAAATGAAAAAAAAAAAACAGAGCAACCTATAGTATGAGAAAAGGAAAACAGAGCAGCCTTGTTTCAGAAGTTCAATTGTTGAAGCAGAGCAACGAGTTTTACCTTGTGGAGGTGGAACTGAACGCCTTCAATTTGGACCAGGAAATCGCTCGGGATATCAGTAGCAACATACCTTGAGAAAATTCCCATAAAATAAGCCAGCGATTCTGTAGTTGAAGAAGGCTAAAGGATTTAAACGAAAGAGTGAAAAATCAAATTTTTCTTACCAGGAACGGTCTCTGAGCTCGAACCCATCAGTCTGGAGGGCGTGTTTGGTGGAGGAAATAGCTCCATTGCCATAATCCCGGCCGCCGCCGCCGCCGCCGCCGGTTTCACTCTCGGAGTCCCACATAATGCTTTTTGCTGGTAAGCCAAGGTGAAAAAACCAAACAAACAGGGTTTATGGGGGAGAAGGAGGGAGAGTGGAGCCTAGAGGAGCTGGTGGGAACTGTGGACAGTGACTGAACAGAGCAGAGCAGAAAAGCAGGGGGCGATGTGAGAGCTCAGAGAAGGGAATTCGAGATGATTGGGGGTTAAGCGGCAAAAAGAAAGAGGACAAACTTCCCCTCCATCACATGTGGTGCCTGCCATTAGAATTATCTCTGTACATTTGTCTGTTTCTTATCTCCAAGTAATCCACCGATGGCAGAGACTGCCCCGCCGCCGGCGGGCATTTACAAGCTGAACAGGGACAGAAAGGATTTTTGCACACGGGTTGGGAAGAATTTCTGTTTCTGGGGTTTACCAGAAAGAGAACAGGGAAAATGCAGAGTGGGAAAATGATGAAGCTGATGAAGGCAGAGGCATTCAATGAAGAAGCTTTCAGGAAGAAGAAGATAGAACTGGCTGTGATTTAACTCTTTGGTCTGTGATAAGATGAAGTAGTAGGCGGACAAGGTGGGTGAGCTGGAGCTATGTGGCCGCCCGCCCGCCATGCCTTTGCCCATTTCTTGACGAGCTGGAACCACCACCCTCTGTTTTGGGCCAAATCGTCCGCCCATCCATTTGGGCTGTTCAATGATCAGAGAGAGAGAGATGTACAGTAAGAAACCTTACTGCAATTCGCTGGCTAGCTAGACAAGTTACTGCTCAATGCTCAGAGTTTCCATGTCCGGTAGTGAGTAATTATTGCCCTGGTGGGGACTCTGGAAGAAGGCAGCCAAAGCCAATTTGCAAACAAGGGTTGGGAAACCATCATGTTGCTAATTTAGGGACGACCCTACCATCTGAGGGGAGTCTGATATTGGCCACGCTCAATCACGGTCCTCCAGTCTCATCCTGTCTTCACAAAAAGTTCAATCATAATGCGATTTTCATGGCCAAGTGTCCTCCAATTTCTGTGTCATGAACCTTCCCATGCCATTGCCATGTACCTATCTATGGGATCCATTATATCCCTTCACAAGATCGACTGCAAAAAATGGTCACTAGACTACATTCTCGCTGCTCAAAACCTTCAGTGACGAGCCAACTGAATCGGCTCGAGGTTTGGCACATTGAGCAGTCCAATCTGGACCAGCCAGAAGGTTGGGAAATTAGGAAAAGTAAGGAAGGGGATGAAGATGGAGACAGTACAGGAAACAACCCACATCAAGCTTAAAAGCAAATGTTATAGCCACAACTTTTTAGCCAACACCTGAGATGATGGTTATGGTTCAAAGCATCTGAATGTCTAAAAGTTACACCAAAATCATTCATTCAGCTTTGAACAATCCAATCAACCCATTCATGCTATGGGGGGGCCTTCTAAGTGAACCGCGATAAGCTAGGTTCTTCCCTCTTCCAGACAATCTCTATAGCCTAGTGGAGCTACTGGTTTTTTATTGCAGTAGTCAGCTATCTCAGCATGAGAATTGAGATGAGAGCAAGTTGATGCAGCTCGATCTTCAAAACGTCCTCATCAATTATGATTTACAGAAACCACTCACATTCATCCAACAATCGGAAAATAATATCCCTCCAAGTCCCTGATTAAGCAAGTACCCATACCAGTCGTTTCGCAACTCAAGATTTGGGGACAAAATCAGATGATTTGATCCCCTCTACAGAGTTGATTCATAAGATAGAGCCATGTACTTGAAATCAATGGAAAAACAGTTAGTGAGACATCTTGACTAATAGTGGCACTCATTTCATATCACCTTTCTTAGCCGGGCCCCCGAGAAATGCCTTTAAACACAAACATGAGCTTCAGAAAACCATGGCAAATCGACAAACTCCTTTTTTTTCTACCCTGTTCCTGTTTTCTCTCCCTCTTTCCCTGACACTGCCTTCTATTACATCCATTATGAGTCATGACCATATTTTCAATTTCTCATCCTATACCTTTATTTTGGCAAACAAACCTAATCCACTTTTGAATGTCCCAATATCAACAGATTAATTCTACCAAGATACCAACTGGTTTTATTTTTCTTCTGAAGAGATGATCATGGTCATTATCCGACAATCAGAAACCAAACAATATAATACAAGCCTGCAACTCATGCTTCAGTGAGAAACTATTGAAGACAGTGTGCATACAAGGTGCAGTTTCCTACAGCAATGGAGCAACAAAATCAATATGTGTTCATATGTTCGCCATACGATTTCATACAAATCTGATGAACTATCATGAACTGTGTGCCCTTTGTTTTCAAGAGGTAAGAGAAACAAACTACAGTAAGCAGGGTGGAATTTTCTCACTGATCATATAATCTTGAGAAACAAAAATCCCAAATACAAGGATCGATTCACTGGGCTCGCGGGTAATTGTTCTAGTCCAGTCAATTTTCTAGCTCACAGAAGATCTATGCAAGACTAGAGACTGTTTTTTGCATAAATCAACAGAAAACCTTAACTTACAAGCTTTCTAAGGACTGCTTCTGCACGCTGCTCAAACTTTGGTAGGGCCCATTCGTGCTGAACTATATCGAGCCCATCTTTCTCGGCACCCAAATTCTGTCAAGGATGGACATAGGCAGATTAGAAATTACCCAGATAGAAATTTCTTTGAGAGTTATTAACAATCTGGATTCAGATATCTCAAACTAAACACAAGGCTGATATAAAGTATAGGGTCCAAAACAGATACTTGTGAATCTCGTATCTAAAAATCCAGTAATGTTAACCAAGGGTTGGCTTACCGGATGAAACATCTAAAGAAAGGACAATTTTACCAACTTGGACAAACAAAAAGGACAAGACTCAAGCCAGGCACATGTATCTCTTTTGTACTTAGTAGTCATTTATTTTCTTCACCATGGTCTTGTATAACTTTTTGGTGCCTTAAGTTGTTTTGGCTATTTATGATTCAATGTGGGACTCTCTAGTAAAAAAGATGCAGCAATTGCATGTGAACCGATCTGGCAGCCATTCAAGAAGACAGGTAGGTAGCTGTAGATGCATGCTCTGGAATGCAGATATTTCAGTAGCTAAAAAGAATGGATAAGACTGCTACGGATGGTTCAACTGAATGAAGTACAAGAGTGCATGCTTGGATTAAGGCAATTGTGACCATGTACTGCTTAAGATCTTTAACTTCTTAGTGCAGACCCATATGAAGTTGCTACTTATATTACATCTATCTATCGACTGCTCACAAACCATCACAGGAAAGACATAACTATAACTACTAGCTAAGGAGTAAGCGGTTTGGGAGCAAAGTTAATTGGGAAGCTTAAAACACGGCAACTAGCAAATTGACCTTAACGGGGATAAAATATGGGGGCAAATTTTGTCTTCAGGTAGGTCACAATCAGATGCAACTAGTATACTACAGAGAGCTTAGACAAAGTTCCATTATCAGAAGCTGGGTTACCAAGAACTAAAGTAAGCATGCAATGCCCCACAATAATCTAGGAGGATCACCAGTCAAAAATGCATGTATTATTAAAGAGTTATGCTTATTCGATATCAACTTGGTTGCCTTATATCTATTATCTTCCTCGGACATTAGATATGAAAAGCAAACACTCTAGTACATGGCGATTCTTCCAAAAAAGTTGCACGTTAAGATTATCTTGTTATCTCCTACTGCACAAGATCGATTACATTATGACAAACTGAAGTCTCCCTAAATCATTTCTTTATTCCGATCATAATATATGATTCTTGTTCTGAGAGATCGTGTATGCAGCCAGTATGACTGTTTATCAACATGATCCCAAGGCTAAATGAAACCTTCAAAAGTTAAAAATCCAGAACATACTGGCAATAGTTCTTATTATAAGCTTAGAGCAGAATCTTTCAAAAAAAATAGAATGCTCCTGTGAATACCAAGTTCAGTTCATACCTTCGTTGGATCAAAGCCAAACCCACTCATTTGCATCATGCGCTGAGCATCATCAGTGGCTGCATTAGGACCATAATTTGTCAGAAAATAACAGACAAAAGACGTAGAAAGCTAAGAACAGCCAGTAATGGTAACATATGGAATCTAAACAAGATACCACTGACCATTATCTTCTCCAAGGATAAGACTGAATAAGCCCCTCAACCCAAATAAATTAAGAAAATACCTGGACAAAGGATATTAACAGACGTGGTCAACTAAGTAGCTATAGGAAAAAAAATTAGATCAAAGTACATCATTTCTGCTTTGTGCAAGTAGGTAATTACCATGATCGGCTACTGACATAGCTAACATCAACAGTACTCAAGTCAATCCCGTTTTGGAGCATTGATCTGAACCTCTGAGTCAGTGGAAAGGGTATCTTGGCTGGGAGGAAGAGAAAACCAAACAATTAAGTGAGACAACATATTGTATTATGTAACATGTTAGACAAAAAGAAAAAAAAAATCAAAGCAGAAACATTCAACAAGACAAAAATAAACAGAAAACAAACCTGCAACAAATCCAGAGAAGAAAAAGTTGACCCAGGCGAAAGTAAGAGTCTGACAAGTAGCAGCGGCAAGACAAGAGAGTCAATAACTTTTATTATCTGGATAACCCCATCAGAGATAGCTAAAATTAGCTCCATCAAACGTGAGAGTACCTGAGGTATAATCATAGACAAATTCTTCTTCATCATATCCATGGCCATGTTCGGATCAGAGAACATTTGCGCTTGTGGGTTCTGAGCTTGCCCTTTAGGAACATGCAGCAGTCCATTCTCCTGCCAGCCCGGAAAGACAAGAACTTTCAATACTTAATGCCATAAACAATCAAATGCCAGCCTCCAGAAAGACAAAAACCTCCTTACATGTTGCCACAAAATCCAATGCTCTTCTGCTAGCATGCAGATACACTCTACAGATTCTTAACTTCAGAACCCAAATTTATTCTATGGAAGCTCACTCTTGACTCTCTCACCATAAGAAGGCATATATGCAAATTTGTGTTTCCTACTTCGAAACCTAAAGCTCTAGCTGTTTCATTGCAGCTACTTCCCCAAACCAACAATCCAGATTGCACATTCAAATTCGCTAAATTGATTCCTCTGCTAAAACCGAACATGAAAGAACTGAACAAGAAGCCCCAAGCAGCTCCAATGTTTGGGGTTAGGAAGAAGACAAACCTCGTTACTGAAATAAGCTCGACGAGCGCGAAATGACTTGGCAGGAATGAAATTCGCCGCCGCCCTCAAATTCCGAGCCCTAACGATCACCTGCCTGAAATTACAACAACCCAGCAGCAAGAAGTCAATTTTATGCCAACCCAGTAGCCATGATCGCAAACGAGAGAGAGGGAGTAGAGATTAGGGCAGACTTGCCCTTCTTTGACGATCTTGCCGTCGGGGACCTGAGTGGAACGCATGAGCTTGGAGACGAAGTAACGAAGCACGCCGATGAGAACCATGACGATGGAGAGCGGGATCAGAACCCAATCTCTGATCGCCGTGTCCAGAACCAGATCCTCCGCCATTGCTAAAACTACTCCTCCCCTTTTGCTAATCCCTCTGGGCGGATTACTAATCACCAGATGCTAAGTTCCCTTCCCCTCTTAAATCTCTCTTCCTATGGCGTCAACGGAAGTCTCTGAATCCGGCGATAATGGAAGAAGAGAGAGATGGAGAGGAGATTCCAGAGGGAATGGGATTGGGTTTTTGGGCTCGCAGCTGCTTCCCCACTTTGATTTGGGTCTTTCTGTTCTTGTCGCGCTATGATTTTTTTGGCGTTTCGCGCAAAGACGGACGTGACGTCAGTGACCAATACGCACCGTTTTCCCATATCCAATGGCCAATGGAGAGTTGCACTTGCATTTGTAGCACGAAATTTAAATTATCATAATGGTCCCCATAACTTTGAGATCTAACAAACTAGTCACTAAACTTTGATGGTAAACATATGGGACATTAAAGTTCGATAGAACTAACGTCGTAGTCATTCTATTTCAGTCCGTCAGATATTTTTGTATCTAGTAGTCTAAATCAAGTATCAATTTACTCAAATTAAAAACAAAAGAGCTAGATATATATACTCTATTTGATATATAAGAGAAAGTCTATGTTTTCTTATAACTGATTCAATTCGACCTAATTTCCTGAAACGATGCCAACTCATATTATTTAAACGAAATTTAAGTTTCTACTCTTAATAAGTTACAGTTTTTTTTAACTTCTTGTTAGTATTGATTATAAGATATTAGTATATTCTTTTGTTTCATACAACAAACATACTTTACTTGTACACTAGGGAAAGGAATATAATTCCTTATCCAAGAATGCATAAAGCATGAAACAACACTATATGAAAGATTGCATGTTCTCCCAATACTCCAAACCTATTTGCTTCCCACATAATTAATACCCCAAAACAATTAAACAAAATTTAATTTATAAGCCCCTCCAATCCATGGACCATGTTTTAAATCATCTTCAAGATGGCTACCATTGTTGCATTTGCATCTCCTTTTCCTCCACCTTGTACCTCCAAACTCTCCCACGTAGCTCCCAATGTTCCTCTCGGGTACCAAAAGACCCATATCGCCTTCCACAAAACCAACTCTTCTAGCTCCACCCGAAACCTTTCTTCCTCCTTTGAACGATCACGAATTCGTGTCAAAATCTTCTCCTTGTCATCATCATCCAAAGACGATAACAATAACAGTGGCACTGGCACTGGCACTGGCAGCAACAACAAAAGTGTTAACGACGATGTTGATGGCCATATGAATTCTGACGTTTCCAGTGGTGATGAGTTCAGTCTCTTCGGAAAGCAAGTATGTACATCTAGCGATTTTTCATCTAGAAATAACCCTAGTGAACCGTCGATTCCTTAATGTTCTTTAATGAAGACCCACGATCAGATTCCTTGCTTCGATGGCAATATCTATTGATGGATGCATTGTTTGATCAGCAAGCCATCCATGGCTTCTTCAAGCACTTGATGACGAGTTTGGGAGACAATGTTGAGTTTGTGGTGAAACCCACTTTGCGACATGGAATCAATGTTGGCTTCACCTGGAAATTTCGTACGTAATATAATACATAAAATTAATTATTATTTAATCCCCCCTCCTTTCATATTTAACTTCTTCTAATAATTTTCATTAATTTTATGGTGCTAATTATTTAATGTCTTCTTCATTTGGGTAATTGGGTTTATAATAATTCGAAGAATGGAGCAAGACACATTTTCCTCTTGGAGAAGGTTTAAACCTCTACATTCTCCAAACCTACCAGGGCAAGTTTTTTATAAGGTTTGGATTAATATCAATTTAATCAGTTAGTTCATATTGTATTATTATGCTTTTCCTTCATAATCCTTACTTTGATATAAATTATATATAACAATATATATAGGAACCTTGAGATGCTTGTGGAAGTACTACCCCTTAACATCGAGCCAATAAGATTGGTAAGGGATTTGACATGGCATAATTTGATCATCAATATCAATTTGGATTGATTTAATTATCTTTTTCCCCCGGTAATCTTGATTTAATTATCTTCCAATCTCATATTTGTTGCGTCTGAGTTCATAAACTCACTAATAAGCATAAACTTGAAAGTCATTTACCCCCTCCAAATCCCCCTAGCAAAACCTCAACTTCAAGGGATTACTTATGGATATTTGAAAACCAACTGAGTGCAAAGACTTGTTTGCAGGAATTCGATGAGTCAAATTTAGTTTGCTTAGCCAAATTTACTATGGGTTCTCATTGGCCGTTCCCAATTTGATATTTGCAGAGATTTGTGGCATTCGTGATGGGTATACTAAACATGATGAAAGGTTTAAACCTTTATCGATACAACATGAAACGAGCCATGGTGTATTTACTTTTGATGGCGATTGTCTTATTGTATTTAAGTTCAGAGATTTACTAAATGGTATGTATCAACTACAACACTTAGATTGAAGATAAGGTTGACATTCCAATGCAAAATTCATGTTTGTTTAGACTAGGTATGTGCAAGTTACCGCATGTATACTATTGTAATATAATACAATCGTAGAACGTTCATACGAGTAAATAAGATTTATTCTTAGTTTAACTTGTATCCTTATGTTGTTGGACATATATGATCTTGGATAAGAAAAAAATTTGCGTACTTTCTAAAATCATCGATAAAGTGAGTTATGTTTATATATTGGATTATTAATATTTTCTAATCTCATTTTATTTATTCTTCTGTATAAATATGACATGTGAAGGAGTCAAACCCAATTTCAACTCAAAATAGATCGTCTAATATGACTCATAAAACTTCGGATCACCACAAGACTATTTCCTCTGTGTATCTTTCATGTTTGCACTTTCCACATCTAACCATTGACACTATCTCTCTTAATCCTTTGCACTTATCTCCCTGATCAAATCCTGATCACTATTGATTGGTGAGAGGTTGACTTTTCTTTTCTTTTCTGCGTGTTCTCCATTTGTACTTTCATTTCATCTCTTCCATTTTTTCCCTATCTTTTGTATCAACACTTCTTACTTCTTCTTTGAGCAATGTTTAACTATCAAATGATTGCTACATCATTAGTCCATTCTCGAATTATAGAGAGGCATTAGGTTGTTTTGCTTTAATTTGGGATTTCATTTTTTTCCCCAATGATTTTGTAAGTTTGGTTTTCTTTTTGCGGGTATTTTTGCCATTCCAAGGCTACTTGGGTTTATGTGATTGAGAGAGAAAAAAACTAATTAAGAAAGGAAAGGAAAGCAAAAAAAATGGACAAAAATGAGGAGGAAGTTTCAGGAGAGAAATTGCCTGAAAAAAATGAGGCAAAGGAGACTAAAGGTAAGGACCATGAGGAAGATGAAGATGATGATCATGATGAAGAAAGAAAGATTGAAGTGGGTCCTCAATACACACTCAAAGAACAACTCGAAAAGGATAAGGTATGGAAATACTTATTCATTTCACTGATTTTTGTGAGAGATTCTGTTATCGATTGTTATTTATTTGGAGGCGATCCTATAACATTAAATAGTAAATTCGAAATTTATGATATTCAAATTTTCAACTATCTCCAACTACCTATCACAGTTGACTGATGGTTGAAATGCATAAGCATACATGGATATAGTAGTTATAACCCGTTGTGTTCATGGTAATTGAGAACATTATAGGATGACGAGAGCTTGAGGAGATGGAAGGAGCAACTTCTCGGTGCTGTGGATATTGAGGCTGTCGGAGGTAAAAAATTTCCGAGTAATAATGACTCGGGGTTGCTTTCATGTGCCTTTGTGTTAGTTTTCTAAAATCACATATTTATTCCTTAAAATCGTGCATTGTATTTTACAGAAACTTTGGATCCCGAAGTGAAGATTTTAAGTCTAGCAATCAAATCCCCTGATAGGGAGGATATTGTGCTTTCGATCCCAGAAGATGGAGATCCCAAAGGTTGTTGGTTCACCTTAAAAGAAGGTTGTCGATATAGTTTACTCTTCACCTTCGAAGTCAAGAATAACATAGTGTGCGGGCTAAGATATACCAACACAGTTTGGAAAACAGGCGTCAAAGGTTGCTTCCTCTCTCCCCGACATATTTAATTTGTTTCCTTATTTTTTAAAGATGTTTGTTAAGCTCAAGAAATTGTTAAAATTTCATTTATACGACGAGTAGACATTTTTGTTTTCAGTTTATAACAATTCAAGATTATGTGTTATCTTTGTTCTTGGCAGTTGATAGTACGAAGGAGATGCTTGGAACTTTTAGTCCACAAGCAGAAACTTACACACACGAGATGCCTGAGGAGACTACTCCTTCCGGCATGTTTGCTAGAGGATCTTACTCAGCTAGAAGTAAGGTGAGTGAGTTTTTAATTCGTACCTAGCAACGATGTGTTCTGATCAATTAATTAATTATTATTTTATATTAAGTGATGGATCTATATTCAATAACCGAGATATTCTCACAGAAACCGTAAAAAAGACACTCGCACTTGTGATTTTCACTAGTTTTATTATGATAAATTCATTAGAGAGTATGAAACACAAATTACACATAATAAACTATGGCGAGCGCACAAAATTCTGAAAGTCAAACTAGACAAGACAATTCAATATCGTGAAAGTGTCTCACACTACTAAAAAGTGGCAATAGTTTATGCTTTTTTCTGCCTTTGATAATTGACGAATTGAACTCATTTGGGTTAAGGGATAAAAAAATATCACGAAATTTGTTAGACTATGACATTTTTCTCTCTCACACTATTCATTGATGATTATCATATTGCGTGTTTGTTCTTTGCTACTTACATTTTGTTCATGTTTGTTCTCAGTTTGTGGATGATGATAACAAATGTTACTTGGAGATCAACTACACCTTTGATATTCGTAAAGAATGGCTGCCAACATAAACGCAACAGAGATATTGGTCTAATATGCTTGGATGACAATATAATTTTTGAGGGCTTCATATTGTTAAAATTTATTTTTGTGTTATGTTTATGTTATATTTACAATTAGCATTGTACGAAGACTTTGTCTGCCTTTATTTTGTCATTTTGATCGAAAAAGCTAAGAGTTCTTTTTTGTATCCTATCGGTTGAAAGTTTGTATGAGACTATTTATTAAACAATTGTGAGGTATATGTTCTTCCAAATCGAAATCATTATGTGATCGGTAAATACGGATCAAAGAATTCATTGAGCAAAATCGTACGATACATATAGATCACGATTTGTGAGGTTTTGTGACAGTTTTTAATCAACCCTCTCCATTTTATGAATGGGAAATCTCCAGTCCTTGTCTGGCGGGGATTGGGGAAGAGAGTATTCTGGTCTTTGAGATATGTGGAGCATGACTTATAAAATTACTAGTTTTATAACCTCAATTTCTATCACTTCTGATAGACATTTTAATTTCAAAATTTAGGCAAAATGAAATTCATTTCCCAAGCTATTATCATTTCAAACATAAGAGTATAAAATGAAATTGGAAATTGAATTGCAATTCCTCAATTTTCTGTCTGACCAAACATGCCGTTATATACTTTTTTTGGTAAAATAAAACACGGAAAATAAATATTAGGGGCAGATCACAAGTGGGCTAAGCCCAAAGGAGCTACGGCCCATGAAGTACACGACGCCGTATTCTCCTATTCTCTTTCCCGGTCGCTTCTCCGCCGGGAAACGAAAACCCGCCCGATTCTGGTTATTCTTCTGCCTCCATTTAGAAGCCGCCTCCCTCTCCTTCACTCCAATTTTTTTCCTGGCTCGCAACTCTCATTTCCAGCTTCATTCTTCGTCGACCAACATTGCTTATCGTTCTTCAAGCTGAGAACTTCTCCGCCGGACCCCTGGTCGTTGACTCGCTCGGGGAAGCACCAGAAGACAACAACAACGAGGGAGTCGAGCGGCATCACTGAACCCTAGAGGTACAGTTTGTAATCCCTTCGTCTCCTTATTTGCTTTGTCGACAGCCTCGGCAGTTAGGGTTTTGGTGTGTGATTAGGAATTTCGATTTCGAGAAGAAGCTTAACTTTAGGTTGGAGGAATTTCGATTTGCCCTTTTGTGTTGCAGGTTGTTGAATTTGGGGAAGAGAGAGTTTAGGGGAGAGGATGGTGAGGAAGAGAGATCATGAAGTGGAAGAAGGTTCCGTTAAAAGACAGAGAGTGGAAGAAGGTCCGTCTTCTCCTGTAGATACTGACAACCCTCTAGTCCCGTACAATGATGTGGACGAGGAGGAGGAGAATGAAGCGAGGGAGCAGAACAATGGCGGTAGGGGTGGAGAAGAGGGAGCTGTTGTTGATGATGATGACGACGATGATGATTATAATGAACAAGAGGCGAGCATTCAGAGGCGGAGGAAGCTACTGGAGCCTCGTGAGGACTGTCCTTATCTTGACACAGTGAATCGCCAGGTAGGGGGAGCTCTGATGTTTTTTGGGTGCTGAAAAATGTGGCCTTATTTTTTTTTCTTCTTGTATGTCAAGGAAGTTTGAATGATGGGTGTCGATCTACCTTTATTTTGTAGGTGCTGGATTTCGATTTCGAGAAGTTTTGTTCCGTCTCTTTGTCGAATCTGAATGTTTATGCGTGCTTGGTTTGTGGGAAGTATTACCAAGGAAGAGGGAAGAAATCCCATGCGTATACTCATAGTCTTGAAGCAGGGCACCATGTGTATATCAATCTAGAGACCGAGAAAGTGTACTGTCTTCCTGATGGATACGAAATCATTGACCCGTCTTTAGATGACATACGGCATGTGCTGAATCCGAGGTTTGTTTCTTTTGCTTTACCCCTTATTCTACCTTGTGAAGATGTACAGCTTTGCACGAAGCCTTTTCCTGAAATTTATTATGGGCGAGGGGTGATACACACAGCTTCTTGTTTGGATTGTGATGCATGCAGGTTTACCAGGGAGCAGGTTGCACAGCTGGACAAAAACAGACTGTGGTCTAGGGCGCTTGATGGGTCTGATTACCTTCCTGGAATGGTGTGCATTTAATTCTCTATTCTTGCTCCATTTCCTGAATGTTGATGTGGGTATTTTCCTTACAAAATGATATGTTTATCCCTTTGGTTTTAGCTGTGTTTAACTGTAGCCTTGATCCTTGTATTATCAGGTGGGCCTCAATAACATCCAGGGAACTGATTTCGTGAATGTTACAATCCAGTCTCTGATGAGGGTAACACCTTTGAGAAATTTCTTCCTCATTCCTGAGAATTATCAGCACAATCGGTCCTCTCTTGTTCAGCGTTTTGGGGAGCTAACAAGGAAGATATGGCACGCTAGAAACTTTAAGGGACAGGTAGGGCATTAGAAATGATGATATATTGGAGATGGTCTTTGTATTTTAGCTTTATCATTCATACTGTAATTGTGTGCAGGTGAGCCCTCATGAGTTTCTTCAAGCAGTTATGAAAGCCAGCAAGAAAAGGTTTCGCATAGGCCAACAGTCTGACCCTCTTGAGTTCATGGCTTGGCTTCTCAATACGCTTCACGCAGAACTTAAGACCTCCAAGAAGAATAATAGCATAATTTATGACTGCTTTCAGGTAATAGTCTGCCGTTGTAATGCTATTTGGCTAATTAGCATTTCCATGTTCCCAACTGTTCGCTGCTGTTACTTGTGTACAGAATCTTATGTTTTAGCTGCTTTGGCTTGGCAGGGAGAGTTGGAGGTTATCAAAGAGATTCCTAAGAAAGCTATCACTGAAAAGAAAGAAAATGTTGGTGACAAGAGTGAGAAAACTACTGATGGTGAGACAGAACGTGGTGATCCTCTGATGGAGAAGTCCAGAATGCCATTCTTGATGCTCGGACTGGATTTGCCACCTCCTCCTTTGTTTAAGGATGTGATGGAGAAAAACATTATTCCACAGGTATTTGACTATTCTCTATGTCCTAACTTTTAGGTTTGCAATGTTGTCTGGTGGCTCTCTCTCTCTAGGATTTCCCATACTTTATAGCCTAATAGATCCTTAATATGCCTTACTTTATCCAAGTCAATTCTGTTGTTGTTTTAAATGGTGTTTGTCCACAACCTAATGCCTTAATGTCATGTGAAAATGTTGGTCTTTGTGGCTATCCTTGCCCTTGGTAATTATTATGGCTAGATAAGGATTAAGGAATAATTAGGATACTCAATCGGCCATGTGGATTGTTGGCAATAAGTCAATAACTTACTGAATGTTAATTGTTGCCTAATTACTCCTCAATCTACTGTGACTTGAATATTAGCTGTCTTGCAGCCATGTTAATTGAATCTATGATAGATTTATCACCTGAAGGAAGAAGCATTCATCTAGTCTCATATTTGTTAAAATCGGAAGTGGATTACTGAGTACTCTCCTTTACCAATAGAGCGGCTGAACTCATATCCCGAGACATTGACATTGCATATCTGTGAACAATATACTGTTGGTTTTGGTAATCTATTATGCCAATTGTACACATCATGCAAAGATGTTAAAGTTCGTTTTTATGCTATATGGACTTGTTGACTCTTACTATGAGCAATACTGCCTGGTAATGTAGAACCTGGGTTTCTTTGATTTAGTGTTCCTCCGTGATTAATTCTGTACACTTCTCACTACTGTTGTTTTAGGTTCCTTTGTTCAACATACTGAAGAAATTCGATGGAGAGACTATCACCGAAGTAGTCCGGCCTCATATTGCCCGGATGAAATATCGAGTGACCAGATTGCCCCGATACATAATCCTTCACATGCAACGGTTTAAGAAGAACAACTTCTTCATTGAGAAGAACCCAACAATAGGTTAGTCTCCATCACGAGCCAGGAATTCTAGCATTGAATTATCATCAACTCCCAAAGAGCTTCTTGTGCTTACATTTACATATAAATTGGTGTTGCAGTCAACTTTCCCGTCAAGAACTTGGAACTTAAAGATTACATTCCTCTGCCAACGCCCAAGGAGAACGAGAAATTGCGGTCGAAGTACGACTTGATAGCCAACATTGTCCATGATGGCAAACCAAAAGAGGGTGTGTACAGAGTGTTTGTGCAACGGAAGTCCGAAGAGCTATGGTAAATCACATAATCCTCATTCCCAATATTGATCTTCTTCCATAACTCTATTAAGGCTAACGAAGTAATCTCTCGTACAGGTACGAGATGCAGGATCTGCACGTCTCAGAAACACTCCCTCAGATGGTTGCACTCTCGGAGACGTATCTCCAGATATACGAGCAGCATCAGTAGTAGGAGCCATGACGTCCAAGGCTGTGAAACTCGTTCGTGCTACTTCCCTCTCTTTACTTTGGATGCACGACGTGAAATCTGAACCCGATACAGAGCAAAATCCAACAAGATGAATGTTAAGGTTAATTGTTGTAGTGATTGATGTGATGAGGTATTTGATAGTGATCAAAATTTTGGAGGGTAGGGAAGTTCTTCCTTTGCTGTATTACATATGGCTATCAGGTTCGTTGTACGAAAATGAACGGAAATAATTTCTCTCTTCGTGAAGGTACCAGCAAGGTATTAGCCCATTGACTAACACTCGAATGGGCCGGACTCAGTTGGGCTTTGCTTGATCAGTCCAATGAATTCGTTTGGGCCCAAGAACTAAAAACTAGTTGAAACGAAAACGAACGGAAAAGGAATTCTTAAACAAAATGGAAAAAGGACTTATAATAATCCTTAAAAAAACAATCCTAAAAAGCAAAATGGGTAAAATTAAAATCTGAAACTCCCGCGTCAAATTCTCTGCCCGGACGGGAAAACGGAAGTCGAACACACGCCGGATTCTTCTCGAGCTCGCAGCTCCTGGGTAGTTAGATCCTTCACGAATCGGCTAGCTGAGCCTCTCCGCCGTCTGCTGGCCGGTGACTCGCTCGGCGAAGCACAAGTGAAAGCAGAGGAGAAGAAGAAAGACAACAAGGACTCGAGAGCGGTATCAGTATCACTCAACCCTAGGTACCTTTTCTAATCTCTTTCTCTCTTTACTTGCTTCTCGATAGTGAAAAGCTGAGATTGGAATGAACAATTAGGAATTGGATGGGAGGAGTAAATGAAATTGACAGAGGTTGAACTTGTCTTGATAGCGTACTGTCTGCTGGTGTTGCAGGCATTGAAATTGGAGAAGAGAGCGAGTGAGTTTGGAGAGATGGTGGTGATGAAGAGTGAAGAACTTGATAGGATAATGGTGGATGAACAAGGTTCCATTAAGAGACAGAAAGTGGAGGGAGCTGTTCATGTTGTTGATGATGATCAACAAGGGTCTAGCCTTCAAAGGCGGAGGAGGCAACTGCAGCCTCGTGGAGACTGCCCGTATCTCGATACCGTGAATCGCCAGGTAATATAGCTCTGATGTTTGCGGTATAATTTATGCAAATTGGCTCCATAACAAACCCGATTGGAACCATTGTTTCTTGCAGGTGCTGGATTTCGATTTTGAGAAGAAATGCTCGGTCTCTTTGGAAAAATTGGATGTTTATGCATGTCTGGTGTGTGGGAAGTATTACCAAGGAAGAAGGAAGAATACCCATGCTTATACTCATAGTCTTGAAGCAGATCACCACGTCTATATCAATCTACAGAATGAGAAAGTATACTGTCTTCCTGATGGATATGAAATCCTTGATCCATCTTTGGATGACATACGCCATATTCTGAATCCGAGGTTTGTTTCTGTTCTAATTGTGCATTTATTCCATCGATCCTTTATCGATTGCAGGCAGTGAGACACTCAACTTCATCTTTTGTGCGATGCAGGTTTACAGTGGAACAAGTTGCACAGCTGGACAAAAACAGACAATGGTCTAGGGCGCTCGATGGATCCGATTACCTTCCGGGAATGGTTTGCTTATATTTCCTCAATAATGCTAATGTGTTTATCTTCCCTAGCTAGTAATTCTGTCGGCAGGCTTGGAATGGTGTCATCTTTTTATATGTTTTTACCTTTTAGGTTTATGCTATGTTTTAACTATGGCATTGGTTCTTATACTATCAGGTGGGCCTCAATAAGCTTCAAGGAACTGATTTCATGAATGTTACCATTCAGTCTCTAATGAGGGTAACACCTTTAAGAAATTTCTTCCTCATTCCTGAAAATTATCAGCACTGTCAGTCCTCTCTTGTTCAATGCTTTGGGGAGCTAACACGGAAGATATGGCATGCACGAAACTTCAAGGGACAGGTAATAACGACTCAGTAATAACGTTAAATAGGCAATGCTAGTCTTGAATGTCAGCTTTCATAATTCATGTTTTGGAATTCTGTGCAGGTGAGCCCTCATGAGTTTCTTCAAGCAGTTACGGAAGTCAGCAAGAAAAGGTTTTGCATAGGCCAACAGTCTGACCCTCTGGAGTTCTTGCAATGGCTTCTCAAAGCACTCCACGCAGAACTTAAAAATTCAAAAAACAATAGCGTAATTTATGACTGCTTTCAGGTAAGTGCATCGACATTGTGATGCTACTGATTGTCTTTTTCCCTGTTTCCCAACTGTCTTTGCTGCTGTTACTTGTGTACTTATAGCTTCTTCGGCTTGGCAGGGAGAACTTGAGGTTATGAAAGAGACAGATGGCAATACAGGAGATGATGATGTTCTAATGGAAAAATCAAGAATGTCATTCTTGGTGCTCGGACTGGATTTGCCACCACAACCTTTGTTTAAGGATGTGATGGACAAAAGTATTATTCCACAGGTATGTTATCTATTCCTTATTTCCTTACGTCCTAAGCTTTAGGTTTCTTTCTCTCTCTCTCTTGGATGCCACTCTTCTAGTGCTCATAAGTATTGCTCAAATAGTTTCCCTTACTTGAGATAGCTTCTTGGCTTAGGTTCCTTTGTTCGACATACTGAAGAAATTCGATGGGGAGACTGCCACTGAAGTAGTCAGGCCTCAGAGGGCCTGGGTGAAATATCGGGTAACCAAGTTGCCAAAGTATCTAATCCTTCACATGCAGCGATTTAAGGAGAACAACTTCTTCATTGAGAAGAACCCTACTATAGGTTAGTTTCGTGTATTTAGTTGGAATATGAACCATGGATTATCATAAGCTCTGAAAGAGATCTCCTTATGCTTATATGTGTAATGAATTGGTGTTGCAGTCAACTTCCCCTTGAAGAACTTGGAACTGAAGGACTATATTCCTCTGCCTAGGAAGATAGAAAAGTCACCCTCAAAGTACGATCTGATAGCTAATTTAGTCCATGATGGCAGACCAAAAGAGGGTTCCTACAGAGTCTTTGTCCACCGAAAGTCTGAAGAGCTATGGTAAGAGATCCTCATCCTACAGCCTTCTTTTGCAATTCTGCCACTAAGGCCAATGACCAAATCTCTGATATCGGAATTTCTTTCGTTGCAGGTACGAGATGCAGAATCTGCACGTCTCAGAGACACTCCCTCAGATGGTTGCACTCTCAGAGGCGTATCTCCAGATCTACGAGCAGCATCATTAGTAGCTCTCTTAATTTTCCATGTACAATGACGTGAAATCTGAACCCGACTTGGAGCAAAAACCAACAAGATGAATGTTTAAGGTTAATATTCACTATAGTGTTTATCGATCGTCCACCCAACTCATGCATTTATTTCAGGTCTCGTGTACAATTTGATGATGATGATTGATGATCATCATGTCTGTGATCGCACTTGTTCAATCAGTTGTCTTCTGAGAATCTTCCCAGCACCAGACCTCGGAACCTTGTCCACGAACGTCACCCTCCTCAGCTTCTTGTACGGCGCGACCTGTGCTGCAATGAAGGTCTGCACACTCGCTTCACTGAGCGAGCTGTTGGGCGCACGGACGACATATGCAATAGGAACCTCGCCGGCCTTTACATCCGGGTACCTAGGTGATGTAGATGCAATGAAATTAACACGATGTTAATTATATTAGTTAAAACATATATAAGCCATATGCATGCAGGTTTTGCTTAGTTAGGTAGCTACTTACGGGATGACAACAGCGTCGACTATCTCGGAGTGGGAGAGCAGCAGCCCTTCAAGTTCTGCCGGCGCCACCTATAACGTACGTACGTATATTAATTAGTGTGTTATTCGATAGTACGTTAATCTTTATACTTAGTAGTAATTAATCCATGCAGTCTTTAGCAAAATTACGTACCTGAAACCCATAACACTTGATCAACTCTTTGATACGATCCACCACGAAGAGTTGCCCTTGTTCATCGAAATAACCAACATCTCCTGTGTGCAGCCATCCTTCCTTGTCTATTGTTTCTCTCGTAGCTTCAGGATTGTTATAATATCCTGAACATGATGATACATGCATAGGAGCCGATTAATTCAGTGCAACACGAGGAAAGGAGGTAGCTCAACTCGGCCATGTTGTTCTCAACACCACCATCTATGAGAACGTGCACATAGGCGTCCTCGGATGAATGCGGTGGCAATGCAGAACGCCCATCATGCACAATCCGATGACTGTTCGCCCTATTCGCCACGTTCTCTCAGATGGCGTGTTGCGAGCACCATAGCTTGTTTCGAGCTATATTTATGCGAGGAAAGTGAAGGGTTCAAAGTACAGTTGTTTAGCTTGATTGGCGTTACGGTACGTACCTTGCATCATATTTGGTCCACGAACACAAATCTCACCAGTTTGATTGGGTGGCAGTGGATTCGACGTCTCTATGCCAATTATTTTGGACTCAACCCCTGGAACTAGTTTCCCAGAACAGCCAGAATGTCGCATTTCTTCCCTCTCATTCTCCATTGATATGATTCCACAAGTCTCAGTCATGCCATATCCCTGCTCGTACCACCCACACATTGATATGTAAAAAAATACCTTGAACAATGTTCAGTTATATACAATTTGTATGCAATTGCAGCCGAAAATGGAGGAGTAAACATCAATTTACCTGAACAACATGGACGTGCGGCAGTTTTGTGGCACATTCCTGCATCAGATCCTTCCCCAGCGGCGCCCCGCCGGAGGTGATCAACCTCAACGACGACAGATCGTACCTCTCCCCCATCTCATCCCACCGCTTCGCCAGAGCGATCATCACCGGCGGCACCACCGCCAGCTGCGTCACTTCATACCTCTCCACGCACCTCACCATCTCCTCCAGCTCGAACCGCTCCATCGACACCACCGCGTTCCCTCGCCGGAGCTGCGAGTAGGTCGCCGCGGAGAACCCGAAAATGTGGTACATGGGCAGGAAGCAGAGTAAGACCTCCTTCGCCTCAGAATAAGCCTCCTGATCCGCCGTCACCATCGCCGCCGTCGCGATGAAGTTGCCGTGGCTCAGCAGCACCCCTTTGCTCTTCCCTCCCGTCCCCGACGAGTAGAACAGCGCCGCCGCGCTGCTCTGCTTCACCTCTGCTTCCGGCAGCTCTGTTTCCGCTTCGGCCGATTCGATCAGTTCCGAGTACCGCCAGACCGTCCCGGATTCTAATTCGGGGAGAACAGAGTAATCATTATTCAGCAGAATCAACGGCAGATTGAAGCCGGCGAGCTTGTCCACCAGTTGGGGGGCGGTGATGATTAATTTCGGCTTGGAATCGGTGATCTGGCTGGAGATTTCGCCGACGGTGTAAGCCGGATTGCAAGTTGTAGCAATCGCGCCGAGGGAGACGATTGCGAGGAAGCAGATGGGGAAATGAATTGAATTCGGAGAGATAATCAGGACGACGTCGTTTGCTTTCACGCCGAGCTTGTACCGGAGGGAGTGTGCCAGCTTGCTGACGTAGATTCTGAGCTGTCCGAAGGACAGAGTCTCGCCGGAAACAGAGTCGATGAGTGCGGCGGAATCGGGAGAGGAAGTGACGGCGGCGGAGCTGAAGAGGAAGGAGGTTAGCGAGAGGTTCGGGTCGGTCGGGAAATGGACCGGCGGTCTAGGAGAGGCGTAGATCTGAGTGGCGGCGTCGTAAACTGCTGGTTTCGCCATTTTTCCGGTTCTTCGGTCGGCAGTTGACTTTTCCCGCGCCTGAGATTTGAAAACAAAAGAATAAAGAAGCTTGAATTGCTTGTGAAGGCCAATCGCAGAGAAAAAGGTTCGATCTTTATTGTAGCAGGAAGACGTGGATGAAGGTGGCATTAAAATAACAGAGGTTGAATTCCGGTTTTCAGGACTGAGAACGTGGGTGCTTATATGTTGCTGCTGAGAGGGATCGTTGACAAATCCTTTTCCCTACAGCTGAAAATCTGAAACTCCGGCGTCAAATCCCTACAATAGGTTAGTTTATGCATTAAGTTCGATTTTGAACCATGGATTAGGTTGGTTTTCCTGTGAAGAACTTGGAGCTGAGGAGCTGTGGTAATAACATTATCTTGATCCTACAGGGTCTGTGTTGAATACTGTGCTACGAAGCTATCGAAGAAAGTCGTATCGAAATTTCTTTCTTTGCAGGCATGAGATGCAGGATCTGCACATCTCCGAGACGCTCTTCCTCGGATGGTTGCGCTATCCGAGGCATATCTGTCTGCAGATATATGAACAGCATAAGTTGCAGCAGCTTCATTCACCAGAGTTCAGTAGCCTTCTTCATTCTCATTACTTCGAACCAAGGTCTTCCTTTGCTGGTTTATGTTGGGATTTTGTGCTGTAAATTGGCATTAAGATGGAGATTTGTCTCAAAAGTTCTCTGTATAATTCTATCTATGATTCAGCTCAAAATCACCATATCTATAAGTGTATTCACAAATCACAAATTCCATTACTCTTTAGAGTCTCCTCCAAACATGAGATGGTTAACTTTGTAGACAGGAATATCTGAAATCGGCTTGATTGCCTCCTGCTGCTGCTGATCCCCTGGTGGCAACTTGACATCATCGGTGGCTTCCCGGGTGACCTCATCAAACACCATGGACATCGAAGTTGTGGAAGGCGTCGAGATGAAGTTGAGACCGATGTAGAAAGCCAATGCCAACACAATTGCCACCATACCATAAGTTGGCAAAGCTAGTGCCCAGTACCTGAACCAAAATTACCAAGGAATCTTGATAACCGTCAACAACCCAATTCAATTCATCAACTGAATTTTGAACAGCAAAGTTCACCTGTTGGGGTAGTAAGAGATGCCAATGGAGTGCAGCCAGGGTTCAGGAACATAAGCCCATGCCAGGAAGATGACTGCATCGTCACAATGTCCGCCATGGATGAATATGATCAGCTCGATTTCAACAAAACCCAAAAACGAGGGAAACACAGAGAGACAGGTATGGGAAACCTGTAGCAACAATGGTGGTGATGGAGCCTACAAAGCCGTAAACTTCTGAAGGTTTTGGACCCGAGACCGATGAAGGGTGACGGCAGCTGCTCGTGCTAGTGTGATGATGAAGGAAATCAGATGATCCTCTTCCTCCCCTTGTTGTTGTCCTCTTCTGGTTCTTCTTCGTCTTCGAGAAGCTCAGCACTCTTCTTGGACTGTTCACCGAGTAACCATCGTCTAGTTCCTCCATGATGTGAGAACCAGATTCGCGGAATGAGAAACCCTAGTCTTCAAATGCGCTCTTCTCTGGGGTCGAATTAGATTGAGCTAGTGATTACTCGGAATCTAGAAATGGGGAAATGCTCTGTTTTTATGCTCTCTGTGAACTCCACCTATAATATAAAGAAGAAATCGCCATTACCGCCTAACGACCATAAAGATGCAAGCTTTCCCGATTGGCAATGCTAGTTCTGAGAATCATCGAAAGCCAAATTGAAAAACCAAAATCAAGAGACGGTTTTAAAAGATTTTCAATTCGTATCGGAGGTAAGAAAGAAGGGGGGAAACTTACCGTCGGCGGGCGGTGAGAGGGTTCAGGCGTCAGACGTTACGGCTAAAAGACTAACGGAAGCTGGCGGATCCGGATCGAAGATTGCTTGCTATCACCGGCGCATCGGAAAAAAGTCAAATCGACAAAATTTGGGGAAGATCTCGTTCTCGAGCTCAGCTCTGACTGTGAGCTGTTTGAAGAATGAAGAAGGGAGAATTACATGATGGATCACTGAACTATGGGGTAGTTAACTTCTTAGTCATCAAATATTTGATCTTAACCGATTTGTTACTGAATTTTGAAATATAACTAATATAAGTTATATAACAGCCACATTGTCAACCATTTCATTGAGTTTTTCGTTTCGAAACTCTTTCGATGGATAGAACTCTTTAGAAAATGGTATGCTAGATGTACACTTTTACATGACAGTTTAATTATTTTCGACTCGAAATTGCAAGTGCATCAATATATAAGGATGCAAAGCTAAAGATGTCACATGCTCTTGATGAGTGATGAGTGAAATGAAACCACATATAAACCAAGGCGTAGAGTAGACAATCTTATGAAAGATACCGTCATTTTACATAATAATAATATATCTATGCAACATTTTAGTGGCCTTGTTTAGGAGAGATTCCTTCTTTGCTTATTCATAAAAAATTTAAGGTTCCCTAGACTTCTTTTTCAATAATTTTCTTTTTCCTATTTTTAAATTTTAATCATGTGGATCTTTGATTTCCGTTGACTAAAATCAGAGTGGTTAACAAGTGACGAACTAACTAAAAAAATAATGACATGATCTAACATGTGGAAGTGTGAGATTTTTAAATTGAACTCCATCCAAACCTATCAAATTAATATAGTATGTTATATGCTACCATAAGATGCAATATTCTCCATGTATGCACTAGCAAACTTCAAATTTAACGGATGACATTCAACATCATCGAACATAGAACGATAATTTAGATTGGAGCGGTAGTTTCAATCCGTTTCTTTCAAAAAAACAACATCAGTCATATAAATGTTAGTTCGAATTACTGATTCTAATCATAAACCAAATTAGCATTGCAAGCCACCTATTAATCATCGAAATCACATTAGTTTCCAATTACCATTTGATATATCATATAATAATAATTCCATTCCTACATGTGAATGTGTGATATGCGTACCACTATCTTCTATCTATCACCAACCCACAAACCTTTCTCTTTGGTTCCCCCAAAACCACTATTTCACTATCACACAAAGAGAGCCATAACACTTCCCACTCCTACACTGCTTCCTTCTCCACACTTCCCTTTCCTCTCCAAACTCCCACATTCCCTCTTTGTTATTAGCTCCTCCAAACAAACCCAAACACAGAACATAAGAAAACTAGAAAAACCCACATAGATCTCTCTTCTCAATCCATGGATTCAGCCATGGAAGAGGAAATCCACAACTTCATCAAGGTTTGGGCAACCATCTTCCTCTCCCTCTCCTTCTGCCACTACATGGCCAAAATCACCCCCAAGGGACCCACCAGGCTCCTCTTCATCGCCCCAACACTCTGCCTCTTCCTCTGCCTCCCTCTCCGCCTCCACACCGTCCATCTCGGCGGCATGACCTCCTTCTTCATCGCCTGGCTCGCCAATTTCAAGCTCCTCCTCTTCGCCTTCGGCCGCGGCCCTCTTTCCCCTCCTCCTCCTTCTTCTTCCCCAATCTCCCTCCCCCATTTCATCGCCATCGCCTGCCTCCCCCTAAAAGTTTCCCCGTCGCCAAAGGTGGACGAGAACAGAGTCCGTCCGCCGCCGGAGAAGAAATCGCCGCTCAATTACGTCGCCAAAGCTGCGATCTATGTTTCCTTGTCGTGGGTGTACGATTGGGGGGCCCACCTCCACCCGAAGTTCATTCTATTCGTCTACTTCCTCCACATCTACTGCTTTCTGGATGTTTCGTTGACGGTTTTCGGCGCGGTGGCGCGGGTCGCGATCGGGTCGGGTCTCGAGCCGCCGTTCAACGAGCCGTACCTCTCGACCTCGCTCCAGGACTTTTGGGGCCGGCGGTGGAACCTCACGGTCAGCAGCATCCTCCGGCCCGCGGTGTACGACCCGGCCCTGGCCCTGCTGGAGGGGGTTCTGGGCCTGAGGTGGGCCCGCCTCGCGGGGATCTGGGCCACGTTTGTTGTCTCGGCCTTGATGCACGAGCTCATGTTCTTTTACCTGGGCCGGCAGAGGCCCACGTGGGAGATCTCGTGGTTCTTCATCCTCCACGGCGCCTGCCTGATGGCGGAGGTCGGGGTGAAGAAGGCCGCGGAGCACGGCGGGGTGACGTGGCGGCCGCCGAGGGTGGCGGCGAACGTGGCGACGGTGGCGTTCGTGCTGGCGACCGGGTTCTGGTTGTTCTTCCCGCAGCTGATCCGGTGCGGCGTCGACGTCCGGGGGATTGAGGAGTACGAGGCGGCCGGCGCGTTTGTTCGGGGGTTTTTCAGGGAGAGGTTTTCGGCGGCGAGATGGACGGTTGGGATTTGATCTTTGGTGCGAGGCGCGATGGAGGGGAAGCGTTGATCGTGTGCTGTTGTATTTCCCGGGGGGAGGAATTTTTAATTTTTATACCTTCTTACAATCTTACTCCTTGATCTTTGTACGGAACTGTAGGATACAGTAAAAAAAAAAAAAGCATACGTTAATTTTTGCTATTGGTCTCGGAATTACAGTAAGCCCGTCAGACCTTCTGCTGCATTCTTTAAGTTTGGGATCAAAGCCCATCTAGGAATTTGAAAGTTACAGATTCATCTTTAGGAGACTCTCCAGTTTCCACTCATTATGAAGTATATTTATCGTTGATTTGGGCGAAAATTTTCCAGATGACATTTTCTTTATTTTTGGGCGATTTTTTCGAAAGACCATTTTTCTTGGATTTTGAAGGCTACAAATCGTAGATTCGGCCTTAAGTTACTCTCTATTCAAGATGAAGTGAAGTTTATTAATCGCTAATTTGGGCGGAATTTTTACGGGGCCATTTTTGGCAGACTTCAAAGGGGTACCATCACAGATTTCGGATGATTTTTTGAAAGACCATTTTCTTTGGATTTTGAAGGGTACAGATCACGGATTCAGTCTTAGGCTACTCTCCACCCATAATAAAGTCTATTACTCGCCTATTTTGGCGGATTTTTCAGAAGGATATTTTCATAATTTTTGGGTGATTGTGAAAGGTCATTTTTCTTAGATTTAGAAGGCTACAGATCACAGATTAGGTCTGAGACGATTCTATATCAATAATTAAGTCTATTAAACACTAATTTGTGCGCAATTTTTCCGTGGCCATTTTTGACAAACTCGAAAAGGGGCAAAGGGGTACCCCTCTGGAATATGTAAAAAATGAACTCAGAAAAAATATGCCCAAATCGTCGATTAATATACTTAGTCATCGGTGAAAAATATGTCTCAGGTGGATGTCGTGATCTAGCCTTCAAAATCCAAGAAAAATGGACTTTCAAAAAATCATCTAAAATTTGAGATGGTACACCTTTGGAATTTTCAAAAAATGGACTAGGAATTTTTTTGACCAAATCGGTGTTTAATAGACTGAATCATCGATGAAGAAAAGCCTCAGGAATCGATGATCTGTATCCTTCAAAATCCAAGGAAAAAGGTAGTTCGAAAGAGGCACAAAAATTACAAAAATGGCCTCGTAGAAAATCCATCCAAATCGGCGATTATAGACTTCATCATCGAGCGGGAATAGCCTCCTGCATAATTTGTGATATGAAGCATTCAAACTCCAAGAAAATGTCCTTTCTAAAAAAGTGACCGAAATTTGTGATCGCACCCCTATGGAATTTGTAAAAAATGGATCCCGAAAAAATCTGCCCAAATTGGGGCTTAATAGACTTAATCATCGTTGAATAATAGTTTCAAACCGAATTGTTATTTGTAGACTTCAAAATTCAAGGAAAATGGTTTTTCAAAAAAATTGCTTGAAATCTGTAATGGTACCCCTTTGAAATATGCAAAAAATGGACTTCGCCTAAATCGGTACTTATTATACTTAATCATCGCTGAAGCATAGTTTAGGATGAATTCGAGATCTGTAGCCTTCAAAAATAAAGAAAAATAGACTTTCAAAAAAAAAAAAAAGCCCAAAATCTGTGATGTTGCACCTTTAGAATCTGTAAAAAATGAACCCAGAAAAAATCTTCCCAAATCGGTGCTTAATAGACATAATCATTGGTGAAAAATAGGTTCAAGCCGAATCCGTGATCTGTATCCATCTAAATCCAATGAAAATGACCTTTCGAAAAAATCTTCTCAAATATGTGATGATGCCCCTTTGAAATCTGCAAAAAATGGACAAATTTTTTCCAGCTAAATGGGTGCTTAATGACTTAATCATACATGAAAAATAATCTCAGCCATAATCCGTGATCTAGGCCTTCAAAATTTAAAGAAATGGCCTTTAGCAAAAAGCCATAAAAAAGTATGAAAATGCTCTCCAAAAAAATCTTCCATAATTGATGAATCACCTATTTTTATATGCTATTATTCATCAATTTTGAAGGTCATTCATAATAGACCTTCACAGATTTCGGGCGATTTATCCAAAATGCCATTTTCTTTCGATTTTGGAGGCTACAGATCACGGAAACAGGCCGAGGATGTTCTCCACCAATAATGAAGTCTATTGATCCTATTCTCCATGAATGATAAGTCCATTAAGCACCGATTTGTGCAAATTTATTTTCTGATGGCATTTTCGTAATTTTTTGGGCGACGAAAGGCCATTTTCTTTGGATATTGAAGGCTACAGATCGCGGATTCGACCTGAGGCTATTCTTCAACGATAATTGAGTCCATTAAGCACCAAATTGGGCGGATTTATTCCGGGTCAATTTTTGACAGATTCCAAAGGGCTAGCATCAAAGATTTCAGGCGATTTATCCGAAATGTCATTTTCTTTCGATTTTGGAGGCTACAGATCACGGAACCAGGCCGAGGCTATTCTCCACCGATAATGAAGTCTATTGATCCTATTCTCCGCGGATGATAAGTCGATTAAGCACCGATTTTGGCCAATTTATTTTCGGATGACATTTTCGTAATTTTTTGGGCGACGAAAGACCATTTTCTTTGGATATTGAAGGCTACAGATCACGGATTCGGCCTGAGTCTATTCTCCAACGATGATTGAATCCATTAAGCATCGATTTGGGCGGATTTATTCCGTGTCAATTTTTGGCAGATTCCAAAGGGGGTAACATCACAGATTTCGGGTGATTTATCCGAAATGCCATTTTCTTTCGATTTTGGAGGCTACAGATCACGGAATCAGGCCGAGGCAATTCTCCACCGATAATGAAGTATATTGATCCTATTCTCTGCGGATGATAAGTCCATTAAGCACCGATTTGGGCCAATTTATTTTTTGGTGGCATTTTCGTAATTTTTTGGGCGACGAAAGGCCATTATCTTTCGATATTTAAGGCTACAGATCACAAATTCGGCATGAGGCTATTCTCCAACGATGATTGAGTTCATTAAGCACCTATTTGGGCAGATTTATTCCGGGTCAATTTTTGGCATATTCCAAAGGGGTTCCATCACAGATTTCGGGCGATTTATCCGAAATGCCATTTTCTTTCTATTCTAGAGGCTACAGATCACGGAATCAGGCTAGGCTATTCTCCACCGATAATGAAGTCTATTGATCCTATTCTCCGCGGATGATAAGACCATTAAGCACCGATTTGGCCCAATTTATTTTTGGTGGCATTTTCGTAATTTTTTGGGTGACGAAAGGCCATTTTCTTTCGATATTGAAGGCTATAGATCATGGATTCGCCCTGAGGCTATTCTCCAATAATGATTGGTCCATTAAGCACAGATTTGGGCGGATTTATTACGGGTCAATTTTTGGCATATTCAAAAGGTGTACCATCACAGATTTCGGGCGATTTATTCGAAATGAATTTTCTTTCGATTCTGGAGGCTACATATCATGGAATCAGGCCGAGGCTATTCTCCACCGATAATGAAGTCTATTGATCCTATTCTCCGCGGATGATAAGTCTATAAAGCACTGATTTGGACCAATTTATTTTTTGGTGGCATTTTCGTAATTTTTTGGGCGCCGAAAGCCCATTATCATTGGATATTTAAGGCTACAGATTACAGATTCGGCCTGAGGCTATTCTCCAAAGATGATTGAGTCCATTAAGCACCGATTTGGGCGGATTTATTCCGATTCAATTTTTGGTAGATTCCAAAGGGGTACCATCACAGATTTCGGGGAATTTATCTGAAATGCCATTCTTTTTCGATTCTGAAGGCTACATATCCCGGAATAAGGCCGAGGCTATTCTCCACCGATAATGAAGTCTATTGATCTTATTCTCCACATATGATAAGTCCATAAAGCACTGATTTGGGCCAATTTATTTTTTGGTGGCATTTTCGTAATTTTTTGGGCGACGAAAGGTCATTATCTTTGGATATTTAAAGCTACAGATCACAGATTAGGCCTGAGGCTATTCTCCAACGATGATTGAGTCCATTAAGCACCGATTTGGGCAGATTTATTTCGGGTCAATTTTTGGCATATTCCAAAGGGGTTCCATCACAGAATTCCGGCGATTTATCCGAAATGTCATTTTGTTTCGATTCTGGAGGCTACAGATCACGAAATCAGGCTAGGATATTCTCCACCGATAATGAAGTCTATTGATCCTATTCTTCGCGGATGATAAGTCCATTAAGCACCGATTCGGGCCAATTTATTTTTTGGTGTCATTTTCGTAATTTTTTGGGCTACGAAAGGCCATTTTCTTTCGATATTGAAGGCTACAGATCATGGATTCGCCCTAAGGCTATTCTCCAATAATGATTGAGTCCATTAAGAACAGATTTGGGCGGATTTATTACGAGTCAATTTTTGTAATATTCCAAAGGGGTTCCATCACAGATTTCGGGCGATTTATCCGAAATGCCATTTTCTTTCGATTCTGGAGGCTACAGATCACGGAATCAGGCTAGGCTATTCTCCACCGATAATGAAGTCTATTGATCCTATTCTCCGCGGATTATAAGTCCATTAAGCACCGATTTGGGCCAATTTATTTTTTGGTGTCATTTTAGTAATATTTTGGGCGACGAAAGGCCATTTTCTTTCGATATTGAAGGCTACAGATCATGGATTCGCCCTGAGGCTATTCTCCAATAATAATTGAGTCCATTAAGCATAGATTTGGGCGGATTTATTACGAGTCAATTTTTGGTATATTACAAAGGGGTACCATCAAAGATTTAGGGCGATTTATCCGAAATGCCATTTTCTTTCGATTCTGGAGGCTACAGATCACGGAATCAGGCTAGGCTATTCTCCACCGATAATGAAGTCTATTGATCCTATTCTCCGCGGATGATAAGTCTATAAAGCACTGATTTGGGCCAATTTATTTTTTGGTGGCATTTTCGTAATTTTTTGGGCGACGAAAGCCCATAATCATTGGATATTTAAGGCTACAGATCAC